TGCTTCCAGGTTTTCCACCACGATGGTCTAGCTTAAATTGACACATGAATTCAACTATAAAATATCGGCTTTTTAAATACAACTTAAAAACAGAAAACATTCACGGTGATTCACTGTTAATGGATCAGTAAACCAATATTTTGATTTGAAAAAAACCCAGTTTACTATGGTAATTCACAGTTTTGATGTTTTACACTAACTTGATTTGTTTTTTTTTAAAAAGAAAACGATGTAAGACAATAGTGATCAATTTGTTTACACCTATCATTTAAATCTTCAACAGTATTGACATCTATTTTTTCAGGTGTTTTTGTGGATATTATAGTAATTTCAATAGTTGAGATTATGAGTCAATTGAAGCTAGACCACCATAAATTGACTCATCATCTCAACTATTAAAATAATATCCACAAAACCCCCTTCTGATATTAATCAACATATGCTCATTAGTGACTGGCTTCATCAGGTATTTCCTGGAGTTCTAGTGAGAAGCAGTGACCAGTGGAGTTCAACCAGGTCTGTTGTGAGATAGTAACTCACTGAAGACATTGGTGAATGTGTCACTCAATTTGGTGGATCGGTTGAAGTCAGATATTAACACCGTTGGATGCTGGCCAGCTCAGTGGTTTAGAGGTTAAGCGCTCGCGCGTGAGACTGATAGGTCCTGGGTTTGAATCTATTTTTTCGTCAAGTGAAATTAATCACCTACAAACCTCATTTTTAATCACTAATTTTGTGAGATGAATGATATTAATTATTGAACAGGAATGAAGACTTCTGTGCGATTGAATAATAACGAGAAAAGATTGTTCCAATTTTCATTCAGTAATTAATTCTAAAACTAATAGGCATACAAAAAATCATCCGTAGTAAATACTCTTAATTTTGATGAGATTAGATGAACTGTTAAAATTGAATGTAAGGACCTAATGGCTACAAATTAAAAAATAATGTAAACACAATAATATGTTTTATACATAAAGAATATCGGCTGAATTTGAAATAGAAACCAATGAATTAATGATATGAAGTCATATAGCTTGAACATTATTGCTTAGCGAATTAACTTTTGGTTTAATGTTATCTGTTCATTGATATCTCAAGATGAATCGAAAATGAAAGATATGAGAAGCCTAATGTACTCCATCTCTTACTACTAGAAGGTTGTAATTCTAAATAATGTAAAGTTGAATTAATTTAAATAATAAAGCTTGTAATGCAGTAATTAAAGTATCTGAGACAATATCAAGTGATTTACTTATAAACTTATCTGACAACAGCGGCCAATACTGAAAAGTAACACTTCTATTTGATTAATAGCTCATCACTTTTATAAGGCTTGATAATGAGTAGTTTAGACGGAAATCTACTATTTATTTAAACACATAAATATTGGTACAAAGGGGCACCGAATACATACGAGCCACACAAATCTCATTTGATTTGTGTGTGGGCTGTCATACTGCACGAGTACCCAAACTGAAGCAGATGGTTTCCTTAGGAGCCCACACCCGGAGACTTGGACCTGAAGGTCTAATACACAACGCAGTGGAGCAATGTAAGAAGGTGCAGTCCCATGGTAGTCGATGACCAACAGTTGGTTCATACTCAATTTATTTCTTTAGGGTCCTGTAGTATCCCATGTGCACCGTTGGTTTGGAATCAGGGTTTTCCAACTCCCCTAGGTGAACCCTTCGTATCCACCAACTCGGTTAAAGCGCCGGACATTCACTTTTCATCCTCTAAATTTCGTAAACAACACCCTTGCTGCGAAAATGCAGTGAGTAGGACTACCTTGACAGGGGCTATATACGCGTGGCCATATGAGAGCATTTTGAGAGGGATAGCTGACTCTCCCCACTCTCGACCGTGCCAGGGCATCGTATCTCTCAATAATCGAACGTATAACTTATTTGATCTATTTAAATGAATATCTGGATAGTATATGTATATACGTTAATTTTTTTTAATACTACATTAGAGATGTATAGGTCTAAATCCAAATAAACCTATGATTTTCCTGTTCACAAGTGAATATATATTCCGTTAATTTTTATTACCTGTCAAATTTATTAATGATTAAACAGATAAAGGAATTACTGTGAATAATAGTTATCAGTGTAATTTAAACAGTCCATGATTACGTAACAATTACCTAACAATCTTTACAACTTGCTTTATCATTCTTATTCAATTTCCTTTTTAGAAACTACATCAATACGTCTAGAAAATCAACAATTCCAATTTACGATCCAATCACAGAAACAGTGCATATGAAATCTAGATTTTCTATTCGAAAAGAACTTCTGAAACATGTGAAAGAAGAGATTGGTCAGTTGGATACATTGCTTAATCATTCTAACTATACATTACCATGAAAAATTATTCTGGATATATAATCTTTGTCATTAATTTATCAAGTAAAAACACAGTAATTATAAAAGGATGCCTGTAACATATGAAATTTATTACTTCTGTGTTTCTATTTTAAATAATGATATGTGCCACTCAGTGATCGCCTGTCCATAAACTAAAAATGACGTTATCTGTAATGGACAGTTTAACATCAGTTAGATTACCTATACTAATATCAATATGAAGCATAAATGTTCAGTGATTTAATCATATTAAGATATGGGATGAATATTCATTTCTAATTTGTATGTTATATTCTTCACTAAGGAGTACTAGACAGCTATTTCGTTATGGTATGGGGATCCTCAGTATCTTTCACCATGAACGTACTATGTATCAGATCCGGAACTTTAGGGTTTTACTTTGAACGTTTAACAGATGTTCTGTTTCTTCTAGTTTGCAATGGAGAGATAAATTCATGATGAGTACTACTTATAAATTGAATAAATCTCCAACAACTCCATTTAAACTATGTCTCATTAAATAAATCCTCATAAATTTTTATAGTTATTGGATATTGACTTAAATGAAAATATGGGAATGATAATCGGGATAAATAAAGGTAACTGAAGCAAACGAAACCGAAAACGCGCGTACCTATGTAATATACTTCAGATTCACTGACCAGAAACAAACAGCTACCAAATGAGAAAATAATTGGGAAAAGATGCTAGAACTCTATAGGACACACAAACGTCATCAAACTGCAACACAAGTCAAGCTCAAACATTAGAGGAAGGGGTGTATACATAGACCGTATTAGGTTATTTTTATACTAGGAATGTGAACGTTAGATTGTTTGATCTGAGGTCCGTCAAGTTAAGGGAAAAGGATGAAATCACTTATTCCGAAAATTGTTCCAAATTTTTATTTCTGAAGGTTCGATTATTTTAAGCTTAATCTCCTTGGACAAACTACCGATAACATAATAGATGATTGAAAATAACTATTTGGTGCTAGCATCGTGTTTCATTTAAGCTAGATCAATTGAGATGGATCTATTGAAACTCTTCATCAAACCATTATTTTGTCAATGTGAAAGATGTTCATAAAAAAATCAGCTAATGAAATCGCTTCTAAGGTGAAATTAAACTATAGTTTCTAAAAATACTTCATATGCATCATCAAACATCAAATTAGCTTCAAAAGAAACCGTACTGTATTGTAAACAGCGGACGAAATTTGGTGATTTTGATATTTAGTCTACATATTAACCTACAAACTTGTTAAACTATAGAAATCAATGTACGCTTCAAATTGTCTGGGTGGATAAAAATGAAATGGTTGAATACGTGAAGTAAAATTTTTTCAATGACGAATTGTTGCTAAACAATTTTTTGTCGGAATCAGTATTTATATTCAGCTTATTACCATATCCTTCTTACATAACTGTCAACGGATCTTGGTGTTCACCCTCTTAAGCTATGAATCAACTAAAGTTTTGTTTAGGAAATAACACTTTACGGTTTATTTAGGAAAGTTGATCGCATTATATTATTGTTCCTAAATATGATTCATAAACGAAGCATACATTTGTATATTCTGCTTTGCATTACAATGTATAAGGGATAGTGACGCCAGCCGACTAAACAGAAGTTAGTGGTCTTGGGATTTAAGCGTGTGATCTAATGATTTAAACACGGTACTTCAAACAATAAACGATGATAACACATAAAAATACATATATGGAACTCCAAAACCCTATACTGACAACTGAAGTGTGCTCACAAGTGACTAGCCTTGAGAGAATTCTTGTAGTTCTAATCAGAAGCCTTGATCAGAGGAGTGTAACCGTGTTGCGTGTGAGGCAGTTATCCATTAAAGACAATGGAAAATCTTTTTCATCTTGAATCACATTGTCTATCCCTCATCTTTGTTTATTATCACTGATGCTTTTGTTACTCATTTTTTAAGTAGAAAAGTACACAATAAATTAAAAAAATTAATATCTAAAGATAGATGAAGTGAATGGACGCACACTATTCTAAGCAAATAACATTGATTCTTATCTATTTGAACATATAAACATTGACACAAAAAAGGCACCGAATACATATACACCACACAAGTCACCTGATTCGTGTGTGGGCTGTCATACTGCACGAGTACCCAAACTGAAGCAGATGGTTTCCTTAGGAGCCCACACCCGGAGACTTGGACCTGAAGGTCTAATACACAACGCAGTGGAGCAATGTAAGAAGGTGCAGTCCCATGGTAGTCGATGACCAACAGTTGGTTCATACTCAATTTATTTCTTTAGGGTCCTGTAGTATCCCATGTGCACCGTTGGTTTGGAATCAGGGTTTTCCAACTCCCCTAGGTGAACCCTTCGTATCCACCAACTCGGTTAAAGCGCCGGACATTCACTTTTCATCCTCTAAATTTCGTAAACAACACCCTTGCTGCGAAAATGCAGTGAGTAAGACTTCTCTAAGAGAGTGGTTGTATACACGTGGCCATATGAGAGCATTTTGAGAGGGATAGCTGACTCTCCTTACTCTCGGCTGTACCAGGGTGTTTGCGGGTAATAAGATTGTTAAATAGAGATAATAGCTACTCTCCTTTATATAATGAAAAAAACAGTTGATGTTTTGAAAGAATTTATTATTACAGTTTGATCAATTTTGTATGATTACACAATTTCTTCCGATTTCGTTTTTCTCTTTCTTTCAAAAAATTTACTTAAAAGTCATATACATTAATATTGACAAACATGAATAATTTATGTTAAACAGAAAAGACAGTGAGTGAGTAACACTAATGTTAATCGCATCAGAAAAGCACATCTACGTACACAATTGGCGTAAAACTCTGTTGAAGACGAGGTGAATAGATATATGCACATTTTAGAAGGGAGAACTTCATCTACAGTGTACATAAATGACATTTAAAGAATTACTGTACATGTCACATACGCATATGTGCAAGAAAGAATTCGTTTTTTTCAATAACCAAGTGGTATGAGTAGTGGGACATAAAGAGTGTTTTGTATTATACGGAAGAAAAAACAAATATGTTGTGTGGATACAATTATTTACACGTATTAAAAACATACAAAGAAAAGTAGGAGAATAAAAAATACGAACTTCTGATGAATACACAAGTGAGAGGACAAATAAAATGTGAAGTTTTCTAAAAATATATACACTTCTCTCTCTGTCCACTAAGTGTTTACATATATAAGTTGCTCGAAATAGAAAAAACAGAAGTTGAGATTGAGGGTAGATAAACAGAAGTTCACAGAAAGCAAATAGGGTCATTTCTTTTGTGCGGACAGAGAGGCACATGAGTGTATAATTACACATATCTGTTTCTATATGAATCGATTAGGCACATGATTACTATAACGAAACGTATACATATTAATAAAGAATAAGTCAGTTTTCAATTGATAATTGACTTCTAATTCTACCTCTCCTTATATCTTTCTCCAGAAAAGCAACTTCGCAATCCTGTTCACAGTAGTTTCGTAAAAATTAATTGTTTAGCAAACAGTATGAAAAAGAAAAATGAATGAAGAATATATAGAGTGAAAAGTTCTCTATCCCAACCATTTTCCTTCAGAATATATTTTGGTATAAAACATATATGCTCCAGTTTGCATGTGATAAAACATACCATAAAATTGAAGAGTAGTGTTTAAAGATGGTCTTTGAGATCAATTTAATTATGTGACAGAAAAGATAAATCGATCTCAGGCGATAGAAATCTAGAACAAATACACAACCGCAGTACGATAACAGTACACACAATGTACAGTTTATTCACACAAAGCAAGAAAAGAAATATGAATCACGTTGATATACATACATAAAGGGGAACTGATGCATTATTCAGTAAGTTTTGATTCTGATTTCAAATATTTCTCGACTTCAATTAAAGAATTATTTGCATCGACCATAAGCTAAACGAATTGGAAAGAAAAATAAAACATATAAACGTACATAAAATCAAAGATATTCAAAGTAATGACAAGATAGAATCGTTTCATTGAGTAGTCCTCATTACTGAGTTCTTAAAGCTAATCGAATGAATTCGATCACTTTGCACAATGTATGACTAACAGTTCAAGCGAATAAACATCGCAGTGTACATTTTTCATGTTATAAATAGTTGACAGAAATTCCCGGGAAATATAAACCTTCACGACTCCGCCTGTAGCCCCCTGGAGACAACTGCCGGTCCCAAGCCCGGATAAAGGGAGATGGTTGGGCATGAGGTTAGCAACCCCACCCTATAGAAAACTAACTCGCTAAAAATTACTAACCAGAAACAATTATTAAAGTTCTGCCCTTGGAATCAGAAGATCTTCATTTAGAAGAGTTATGACGCCTCATGGTGAAAGCCGGGCTTCTTCGGAAGCCACGAGGCCGATGCCCCTTCTGACAACCAGAGCAACCATTCATCTAGGTACATGAAATGCTCGTACAATGTGGGAGACCGGGACAGTCTTCCAAATTGCTGCAGAAATGAGGAGATACAACCTGGAAGTGATTGGAATCAGTGAAACACATTGTACGCAGGTTGGACAACAACGACCAGCTTCAGGAGAGCTGCTGATACACTCCGGCCATGAAAAAGAAAATGCCCCACATACACAAGGAGTTGCATTGATGTTTTCCAAACAACCACAAAAAGCACTTGTGGGATTGGAATCTCATGGATCAAGGATCATCAAAGCCTCCTTCAAAACAAAGAAAGAGGGAATTATAATAAATATCATCCAATACCATGTGCCTAGCAACGACTACAATAAAGACGTTAAAGACGGCACTATATTCCAACACAAACGCATACACAAAGTCACAATGACTTTATCGGATCACACTACGCAGAACCAAATTGACCATATCTGTATCAACAAAACGTTCAGGAGGACCATGGAGGATGTGAAAACCAGAAGAGGAACTGATATAGCATCACTTGCTGGTCGCCAAGATGAAATTAGAACTTCAGAAGCATTGGACAATGGGACGGACAACATTACAAAGGTTTAATACGGCTTTTCTTCGGCAAAACTACGAAAGCCATCATCCAGAACATACAAGTGTTTATTAACAGTTATCTACGCAAAATACTTCGGATCTGTTGGCCAGACACTATCAGCAACAACCTACTGCGGGAGAGAACCAACCAGATCTCAACAGAGGAAGAAATCAGGAAGAAGTGCTGGAAGCGCATAGGACACATATTGAGGAAAGCACCCAACCGCGTCATAAAGCAAGTCCTCATATGGAATCCTGAAAGTCAAAGGAAAAGAGGAAGACCAAAGAACACATTACACCGAGAAATGGAGACAGGCATGAGAAAAATGAACGAAAGTTGGATAGAATTAGAAAGGAAGGCCCAAGACAGAGTGGGTTGGAGAATGCTGGTCAGCGGCCTAAGCTCCATTGGGGGTAACAGGCGTAAGGAAGTACTAAAACTTCACGTTCGTTTGAACTCTGTAAAAAAGGAGTAACAATAATGTGAACATTTATCTTAGTGGCAATGTCTGTGAGATAATGTGAATGCCAATCTGGTATGTCATATTGATAATAAAATATGATTGATTGTTGAGCGTGGACAAACAGGAACCTAGACTACTAACTAATAAATATATGATTTCCTTCTCTCTCGTTGATTTCCACTTCGAACTCACTGAGGATGACTGCTTGTAATTGTGTTGAATAAAGTATTATATAGTCTACATTCTGGTTCTCTATTTTGGAGCACGAATCCTGGATCTGATATAACGTGACTAGTCTCATCATCGTATTATCGCATTATTATAATACACGTGAGAGAGAAATAAAAATATTTTAAGCCATCCGTTATATATCACAATCTTTCAAAGAGTATGTTTCTCAAGGATTGCTCATACGATTTCCGAACGAAATCTAACTGACATGGGACATTACTAGTGTAATGCAAGAGAAATAATTATCAACCATATTATTGAAATAGTTTTTCGACCACTAATTCACATACGTCCTTTCCAACCGCTTATGAAATGTCAGTAGTAAATATCATATGCCCCAGAAAAAATAGGGTTATTTAATGAAGATAAATTTGGGAATAATTCGTATCGAAAAATGACATTTATCACAGGAGTACAGAACAAGTGCCCCATCTTAGTTTTAAACAGTTCACTATTGTTTGTATACCTATTTAGAAATTGAATAGGGAACCCCAATTATCCATTTGTTCAAATTAAGTCAACTCACAGTAGATCAATTGACATTTCATATGTAATCTTATATTTGAAGCTTTTTTTCTCAGATTCATAAATGATAGATAAAACAATATAGATTATCGTCTTTGCAATTGAATTCATCTAAGGGTATGCAGGATTGTGGACTCGCATTGCTGTAGAGTTCCATACTAGAACGAAAGGGCCATCCAGTGATTATGGGTTTCCAGTGGTGGTCTAGCTTAGATCGACTTGTGAATTCAACTGTGAAAATACTACAAACTCCACAAATTCCTATACAGATTATTATCTGTTCAATTTTAGGGAAGAATATAAAAACAAAAAAGTCATTCTTATCAATACACTTACTTCATCTAATTCAAAGTAAAGAAAGACAGATTGTATTTTAGTTCGTATTGAACGTGAAAAAGGATAGGAGCCAAGTAAATCAGCAATTATTGTATAGGTACACGCATTGAAAAGTTGTATAGAACCTTTGAAATTTTTTTGTGTAATTAGAGCTTTATGAATAATTTCATCTAATGTATTACTGTTATTATCATGAGATGATGAACAAGAGAATACGTTCGATGACAAATTCGATATAGAATCTAATAGTTGATTACACCACATATCTTGTTCAGTCATCTCTTGGTCACATTGCGAGTCTACACCAAATCATTTTGTTTTAAAAAACACATGTAAACATTTACGGTTAATGCTGTGAATCAATTTCACATTTATCGACAAAGTATGACAAAAAAAGAACAATAAAAAGTAAATAATGCATTGATGAAAATTTCATGTCAACGATAGTAATTCGATAAGTATTGTAGCAGCCAAATACCTCGTCTATAAAACTAAAAATAATGAGTAAGCAATGGTTGTTTACCTGAGGATCAATCTCAGATGTAAACAATGAAATTCAACAATCTAAACAAACAAAATCTTCCGTTACGTTAAATAAGTCATATGTTAGTTCTTATATTTACTGTAACAATTATTCTTTTCACTTTATAAATATCAAAATTTATCTTTTACAACAACCAGATTCTAATGGAGTCTAACTGATATAGTCGCTCTAGTTTCAGGCGCTGAAAATATTCCAAAACAGTAAATGTGACAAAATCTAGTTTTCACACTGTCTGAAAAAGATCTTTTTCCGTTATCACGTTTGTGAAATAGTCAACTGCGTCCCAATCTAACAACATTCATTCCAGTAGGAGCATTAGAAGATGTCATAAATCAACCAATACTGTAGTACCTGTATCCAGAACATATGTCTCGTCATTAAATGCCTCATACTCGGGTGCAGACAGACGATTGATTTACAATTTAAGGTAGTAAAACCCAAACTGTCGGATTCCGACTCAAAAAAATAAGGGTAATAATAACATGTTACTTATGAAATAAAAACATTATAACTTGAACCCAGTTGTTTGACGGATTACCTTTTGTCACTTTGATTAGTTAATAAAACACACAATATAGAAAAGAATTTACTGAACAACTTTGCAGTATATGAATATGATTATGGCAATTTTCAACTTCTACCCCATACACTAATTTGCTTATCAATTATATTTACCTTTGGTGTTTACTGAACGTTTGAGAAATTTTAGGCTGTATTAGGTAGGATAGTGAAGACCGTGTAGTGGTGGCCCGTTCAACTTGATTATGAATATGACTGTGGGTGGAGACTGGAAGACTCTAACGATTCGTCAGTGTTAATTTAATAAATACAAACAATTCTCCTTACTCAAACATCTCGTTATTTATTCATTTTACAGAAGACGACCCGAATATTATATATATATATATATATATATATATATATATATATATATCACAGTGATGACAAAAGACATGTTTATCTAGTCCTCAGTGGTGATCGAACTTGCAGCCACAACAGCTCAGGAATAACTCCTTAGACGATGAGGTTGGATGATGCAGGTCCAAATCCATCAAGGAGCATTATTTTTACCAAGACTACAAGCACACCTTGATAATGGGTGTCGTCTAGTCTAAAGCTGCATGTTGGCTACTTCCAAATTACATACACTAAACATAGATATGAACGTTTTATGAGTAATATGTGGACAAATAGCAACTGCTGGTTATTTACCTGCCAAACAAAACATAAACACCATTGAACAAAACGACTATGATTAATAATATTACATGTATGTGAAGATAATAAAAATCCTACTATCACTAACCACTATTATCATTGTTAGTTAAGGAACATGAGTAAGAAAGACATGTATTAGGCAAAAGACAATTTGAATGAACTGATGAATTTGCTTTATTTTCAGTATTATTCCATCCATTATTATTATCGTTGCTTCCGTCATGATCATTTGTATTCTTCAACTGATGGTGATCATTAATTGATAACTCAGGAGATTGGTTTACATCAACTGGGATTATATACTCTTCAGATGACATTTTAACAACAGATAATCTGTGCGAAACATTATCATTTTTAGTCAGATTTGTTTCATTCACTTCAGATGAAACAAGCCAATTGTCAACTGCCCCCAATTTTTCAACTGAATGTTTTGCTGAAATACTCAATTCACTGAAGACAATAAATAGTTGTAAAGGAAAAAAAAAGAAATAAAAGATATCTTAGATTTTAACTAAAAATTATCAGCTAATACGAACAACAACGGTTACTTTTGAATAGATAACTAATTTATTCAGCAAACTATCATTATTGCAGAATTTTCACATATATTAACGTCATTCACTGCGTCTTTATTGGATTATGTCAACACCTGAACTAAGGATAGGGAGTGAAGTAGTCGAACGCGTCGACAACTTCACTCATCTTCGAAGTCTGGTCAGCCCTAATGAGTTGGTGTTTAACGAAATCTCAACACAGATTCAAAAAGCTCATTTGGCTTTTGCCAACCTACGTCGCCTATGACGAAGACGAGATATCCGTCTATCAATTAAGGGACGAGTATACTGCGCAGACGTTCGCTCTGTTCTACTTTACTGCTGTGAATCATGGCCATTAAGAGTAGAAGATATTCGAAAGTTACTAGTATTTGATCACATGCCTTGAAAATATTGCTCGCATCTGCTGGGATAACCGGGTAAGTAATAATAAAGGGTATTAGGAAATGACGGTAAATCGGTTGATGAGGTGATGAATCTTCATCGAATGAGACGGTTGGACCACGTGTTACCTATGCCTGAACACTGATTACCACGACGCGCTATGCTGACTAGTGTAGGGGATGGTTGGAAGAGAGTTAGGGGCGGCCAAACCAAAACATGGAATCAGTGCTTGAAGTCACTAACTTCTAGTCTGAGCCATGTTGGCAGATGCAGACTACCTGGTTGGGGTCCGCGTGACTTTCGTAACGAATGGTCGGAGACTCTAGGTGACATGGCTCGGAATCGATCACAATGGCGTAGGTGCATACACTCTTTATCTTCCCTTAAACCTTGAGATTAAAATTGCTTCATAACTTTCTTTCTTCATCTTGTTGTGCTAATGAGTGAGGTATGGCAACTTGGACCGATGCATAAATGTGCCTGGCCTTATTGGATTATGAAGTACCAATTTGGTTTTACATCAACTAGTTTTTTTCGTCCGAAGAATGGATTGTTAAAATCTATCAGTAAAACGCTGATCAATCAGTGATACGCATTGGCTGAGTGATGGCCACTCGTGGAACCGATTCATCGATATATCATCTCGTTCAGAACGGCTTGAGATCAAAGACAAGAGCACCAGCCAGAACAAAATCTGAACACAAAATAAACATGATAAAATAACACGGACGACTGGAACAAGTGAGCTTGTAGGTCATTCACTCTTCAATCAATTAAGACAATTAAGTCAACCAGTGTAGGTATACACAATAACAATTAGATTCGTCTTAGTTACCAAACTTATTCTAAAATACGTCTTCTGAAGAATAGGGAACTAAGAATCACACTCATTTTGAAACTTCATATAGCTAGAGGAAATAGGGATCCAAACCTATGAATTAATGCAGAGGAGAATGACCTTCCATTAGTATACTCAACGAAATTTATGCTAGGATCATTATTAAAATCGATCCGACTAGCAATCTTTTTCTTTAAATTAAATGTACTACTACTCAAAATTGCTTATTTTATTTATTTATTAGAAGCCAATTGCTCGCTAATCAATCTCACGTATGAGTTAAAGATAATCTTATTGAATAAGGCTGCTTTTCGAAAGTAGGAATCGACGAAAGTTCAGTGTGATTAGAAGCTTAAACAATTATACCGAAGAGTAGGAACAGCAATTTCTAAACTATGTGGGTAAAACATTTTACGCTACATTTTTGAAACCCTACTCAACCTGAATGGATCTACGATGCACATGATAATTCTTGTGAGACATCTTAAAACAAATAAATCAATTACTTACTGGTTTTCATGCTCAAAATAATTCTGATTAGATGACAATACAGAGGGAGTAGAAGGCTGTGCAGAAACACTATGAATCTCATCAAATATAAGTGATGATTTTTCAGACGTACGATTTTCTTGACGCGACAAAAAACTATTTGAATGATCAGCAATTTGTATACGGGATGAGTACAATCGGTTTTCCTTGTCACAACTACTATGTTGTAATGATGAAAGCTGATTGATATTATTTTTAGCAGTATAATTAGTAGTATCTGTTGAGACTTCATCAGGTATTGATGATAATGTAGATAATTTGTCGTTAGAATATAAAGATAACATTAATTGAACATGCACAGCAACATCAATAAAGGATATTGAATGTTTGTTATTGTCCGGAGAATTCAGTGATCTAAATAAACAATGTGAATTATCATTATAAAAAGGTTTGGTCGATACATTTGTTTTGCTATCGAATAATGATGATGATGATAACTGAAGTGATTTAATCGGATTCATTATTGTGTATTTCTGTTTATTTTTAGTATACTTTTTAAAGCCCAATATTTTTATATCAGTTGGTAAATAAATAATTTGATTTTTGTTTACACAGTGAAACAATGATTGTAACAGCCACCTGGTATCCAAATTGGAATTAGGCTTTGAATCGGTCAGTTCATGATCGTCATGATCAACAGCATGTGCTGATCCACTTGGGGTAAACACAGGTGAACTGAAACATAATCAGAGCGTGTTTAAAATTATTGAAAATTGACAAGAATAAAAACTTGAACTTGAAGGAAAAACATTAGTTTAGATATAAAGAAGCTTGTTTGATTACTAAGGAAATTTCATATTATCTAGATTCTTGTTAATAAAAATTAGTTTTTGTGTAAGGATAACAGCCCAAAAGTTTTTTTTTAAATTAAAATCTCCTAACAGACCTTTGCTGCAGTTCGATTGGTTATTTCCACTTTTAGTTCACGAATTTCACTGTAATTCAAAGTCATTATTGATGCTTCTTCAGCAGAGTTGTTCAACTTCATATTTGCTTTATTTAATATCGAAGCTTTTTTGATCACCTCTATTATCTTTTAGTTTACAAAGAACACTTTAATCGTAAATTGATTTTCATATACCTTCAGTGATTTTCCTAACATGAATTACGATAGAATTGAGAACGTTTTTCATCTAGTTTATTCAAACTACACTTGTTATGGTACAGAATGTTAACAATCAGTAGTAAACGGAATCTCATAATGAAAACACATTATCGACTTGTTAGAGCGACTTTAAGAAGGTGCAACGAAGCCTCCAAAGGCTTTTAAAAAAAACCCGAAAACTCTATAAAATCACAACCCGATAGAAATTGTAGAATATCGACGTGACGTGCTGTGATAGGATAACTGCATAAGCTTCCTGCTTGCGGATTGGCTGGATTATAATGATGTTACGACCTATACCAAAAACTGTAAATACAGTACTCAAAAATTTCTGTAGATCAGACGCCCTAGCTTTCCACCCATTCAAACAAAATCTTCGTATACAACAACATTGCCGACAGCTCATTCCAATATAGTCACACCATTCTGTCACATTCTCTAACTCAAAAGATCAAGAATTCTTTTACGTGTTCATGGTTGTCTACAGTAAATCATTATCTATCAATACGATATTTAATGGACGACAATCACTTATTTTACAACCAATGTCATCTTAACACATTTCCTTTAAGTCTACATCGTAACATATAACCCTCCTTTAGATAATCAACTGTTATTGTACAATTTATGATTCACTGTTATTTTTATCATTGTTAACTTTCTAAAATCATACAACATTATGTTTTATTGAATTACAGGTTACTTTACTAGATATTTAGTATTTGGACTATTATCATTGAAACATTTTTCAAATGATAAAAGATACTTTTATTTCATTGTAGATTACTATTTGTAAAAATTAACTGTAACTACCATTTTTCAGTTTGAGTATGTGATATTGTCTGCTGAACCATTTTCATTTTATCTAATGATGCAATGGGATTCTTTCATGGTTACTTATGTGTACTCTCATGAATTCTAAAATGCTGGTAATTAATCAAAAGACAATTTTCTTCACAATTGATTGATCATTGGGTGGTGATCAATGCCATGTGTATCATGTCCTTCTTAGTGCAGATCGAATGCTATCGATCAAGTTTCTATGTGGCCACTAGTCTTGGTGGCGCAACACTGAAAAGGATTTCGCACACATGACACTAATCACCACCCAGTGATTACATCTCAGTCCTACAAGAGGTCGGTCACGGCCTGGTTAGCTCAGTGGTAACGACTCTGACTGTGAAGCTGAGTGGCACGGGATCGAATCCGTCAAGGAGCGCCAGTTCACTCAAGATTACAGGTACACCTTGCTGACAAGTGACAAGTAGCACGAAACCCGTGTCCAGGGTTTCCTGTTGATCACCAACCACCATCTTATCACAATTTTTTTTGCGCTGAACAATCTTTCGAAATGTTAATCATTCAATAATATTAGACTAGTTCAGCAATTAGCATTAATCGACTGTAACATTTTCGTTGGCTTACCATGGCTAATTATTCAGATCATTGAACAATTTTTGTCAGCCTAAATCCATTAGTTATATGATAAGTTAAGATAATTCATGAAAATGGTTAAACGGAAAATCATTTTCACCTTATGAATTTTCAAGTTTATCAGTTTTTAGGTACAATAATTACTATTGTAATTAGAAATTTATATCTATTGACAATACACTGATCGTTACAGTCAATAAATAGTTATCAATTTAGTCTAGTTTCCTTTGGATGACATGCTAAATCATTCCATCTAAATAGAAATTGTACGGGTACATTTTTTTACCAATCTATTCTTTTTAGGCTTATCAACAAATCCATCTACATTACTGTGAACATTAAGTTTCACATGAACATGACTAGTAAGAAAATCGATTTAAATTATCACCTCTATATTCATTGATAACGAGTGTCATGCCAGTATTCGAAGAGGCTTTTTCATTTCTTCAATAAAAATTTTTAGCTCAGAAAACAACTCAACCGTCCAAGATTTTTTTTATTAAAATAAAATTTTGATATAAAGTGCCAATTTCTACAAATTATGCTACACGGATTTAAAATAATCTAATTACAATAATATATTATTTACAGCCAATTAACAAACTGATACAATAAACAAAAAGTGTGCTCGTATATACATTGGACAATCGTTTAGAACATGTCAACTAATCACTTCTAAATGTTTATAATCATTTCTTTAACTTTTAACAATACTCATAATGAATTTATACCAATGGTATAATGATGTCAACCGAGATCGAAACCAGAAGCACTGAACTCCTAGTATGTGACTCCTCGGAAGCGTATATCTTCGACCTAATCAGGGATCAAATCGAGGACCTAATGGGCACTTCCGAAGAGTCCTATACAAGGACAGAACAGATGTTCGATGTTTATTGGTTCTCAATGGTTCCCGAAGTAAGGTCAGTACATAATATAAATCCTAATATCCAATGGTTTTCAAAACCTCATATACTGGTTACATATAATTCGTATGAAATAGAACGATGTTTCAGCTGTCAAATCATCTTTGACACCCAGTCACTAAAAAGTATACAATTTAATGGCAACAACCATACATAAAGTTGTACTCATTGCATAAGTATAATTAACTATGAATCTAATATTATACCTTATAAGTTAAAGTTACGGACGAATAGACATCATCAACAGAGCCTGGTACAGATGTGCTTTGGCTTGATTTGCCATACCTGATTAGCACAGGATGAAAATAACAAAATAAATCAAATTATTTAGAGTAGTACTAATGATAAAAAGGAAAACTATAAATTGAGAAAACGAAATAAACGTGAAGGGTAAATGCAACTGCGCCATTGTGAGAAATGTTGAGACAAATTAACCAGAGTATTCAACTACTGTTCGCGATTGTTACACAAAGCCTAACCAGGTAGTTTGCATTTACAAACATTACTTAAAACAGCAGTCAGTGACTTCATGGGCTGATGGCACATTTTATTATGGCGGTCTATAACTTTATTCCGACCTATTTCTGAATAAGTAAGAATCTTTTATAGAAGTAAATGACGGTCACTAATACATAATACATGTCTTAACTGCCTCAATCAAAAAGATTAACTATATTTACTAAATATTCTATGTCTAAACTCAACATTGCACAGTCAGTGGTTCTAGGAAACGTGAGAAATGTCTCGAAGAACATATAGTTGAATATTAGTAGTCAGCAAATATCCTCCACTCTTAATGGCCACGCTTCGAATCCATACAGCAGAACAGGATGACTGCTTCTCCCTATACCCCCGCACTGGCTGAAAAACTGACATCACAATAACGCCCAAGCTGATGTACAATGCCATAGGCTAAAACAATATTTCATCCTACACCAACTCAACAAGGCAAATGAGACTTAGAAGATAAATTGAGTAGTGAACGGGCACAGCCACTTCACACACTATGATTAGCTTAATAATTGACGTAAAGCGATCCTGATTATTCTGGGTTAGGAAGATTTGTTAATCAAGGCGATTAGAAGGCTCTATATTTTGATAGTGTCTTTATTAAACAGGACTGTCATTTGTGTATTCTTAATCGAAAAGTGAGTCACTTGATAAGAGATCAGTCTTTGAAACGTGAGAGGACGAAAACATCAACTCTAAAAAGAATGTTTAGGACAGAAGTGAGAATTGGAAAAGTGGGCAACCATGCTAAATACTACATGATGGTAGTTCGAAATTGCTTCTAACTCAACTATTCATGTCTAAGTAATAAGCCTTTATGACGTTTATGTACTTCTTTGGTATGACTTCCAATGGCAGACGCTGACAAGAAATATCTCAATGGACCACATACAATCTAACTATTCCGAATATGATCGAAATAAAAGTATATTGTAAGGTTTATGTTACCACCTAAATCTTAGTGATCGAATCCGCTAGATTTGTAGAGTGTTGACGAGTTAAAATTGTTATGCTTAGACAACGATTTTCTGTAAACAAACGAGTATTAAATATACCTACCATATCCTTACAATAGATGTAAGCAAGGCATCACTAGAGGCAATAATACCAAACCATCTATACATGTAAAAGGTTCGAACGTATCACCTATTTCGTTGAAAATCAACCGTTTAAACGTGTATGTGTAATAGTTATATTTATCACAAGCATATCTCAGAAAAGTGACCAAAACTTGTCGTAGACATTCAACTTTAAAACTTTACACTCAATACTCAAACAACATTTGATCGTATCACTAGAGGATTGAGGATTCAAGTACAAATAAATTCAGTTCAAAAAAATGCATGTACAGATTAAGCAGCGTTGGTGTGATGCACATTAAAAAATGAGATTTCAAATTATTAGCAATAATTGATGTGTTTTGATATAATGATCTACCACTGAAGGAATATTTAAATTATTATGAGAGAATCTAAACTACAGTTTAAGTAAATCTGAGTATATTTGAATGGCACAGTAAAACGTCGAAAACATTAAAATCCAAAAAAGAAATAAATCGACTGTTAGTCTATACGTATAAACGAAAAATCACAAATGATAGTCATGGGAGAATAAAATGCCAAGAATTTAAAGTACTTTATAGTTAGTCATATAAATTGCTCAGGGAGTAGAACTAATGCATGATGATATTACTGTAACTCGGAGCTCTAACGAATGAAATAGTCACATCCAAAACGATGCTTAACGAAGTTTGTAACTTGATAAGAGCACAAAGAATATGACTAGGGTCTTAAATACCAGTGCTAGTACTAATTTCAAAATTCCTCATATAATATTCAGTATCCGAAACTCAGACGTTGTCAGTTATTAATACGTAAGAAAAGATTTGACAATTCTAAAATATTAAAAATCTCCTATGGAACAATACAATGATCCATTGTTTCTTCCGAATAATTTAACAAATAACTTAGGTAAATCATTTCTTAACAAAGTTACGAAAATTTAAAATTCGAAAAACTGTCATCTTACACAACTTGACGCTGTGGAATACAGTCACGATGTGTCCATGTAGAATAAGGTTTTTTGGATGAAATATTGACATATGATACATCATAGTTGAACGAAGCAATCTGAGTAAATGAATTTATTGAATGCTTTGGCTTAACAAATGACATAAAATGAAATGATGAATGTTCTCTTGATTCAGAAATTGGTGGAGAAAGTCGTCTATGATTAGGTGACCAACGACGATGCAACCGTCGACGAGAACGATTAAAGTTTTCAAATACTTGATTACGAACTGACGATTTGACGGATTTTTGTGCACTAAGAGAAAGATTTTCATTTTCTTTAAAAAAATATTTAAAAAGTAAGGTATAGATATTATTGTGCTGAATAATCAATAATGCAATAAAAACAAGAGTTAGTACCACAACTAGTTGCACAATATCACGAAGTGACCGAAACTTAACATGTAAGCTATTGAACCCCATATCAGTGGTCTAGAGGTTAAGCGTTAATCGCGAGACCTGAAACATACTGGGTTCGACTGCAGGTTGGGTTGTGGAAGCGCCCTGCTGAGTTCCATAATAGGACGAGACAACTGTCGCAAAGACAGTTACTTTAGTGTATTTTCTCTTATTATTTTTATAACATAGTTAATTCACCATATTAGCATAACACGAATCGAATCACTATAAAGAAAATTCATCATTTCATATTGCTTAATATCTGCATTTTCGATTATATTAAGAGAAATAAATGTGTAAGTGTAAATCGAATTTATCAAAACTAAACCTGCCCAAATAATTGGAAAATAATTTTTCATGAATTAATTAAATTACACTGGTTTTCGAGTCCTTTGTTTGTACAACTTCAATCTTACAACGCTAAAGAATACTTAACACACAAAAAAGGTTGGAATAAGAATTGTGACATTATACGTAAAGTATGGTTTCATCACGCGATTAATTAAACTACTACTAATAGTAGTTTTTGTACTATTGTTTGTTTTTAACTATTCCTATAGAAAGAGATATAAGTGGCTAATTGGTGCATAAGTATAACCGGAATAGAAATTCGTATTTAACGACACAATCTTAGATTAAAGCTATGGTGATTAGTTAGTGAAAAATATCTTATCTATTATTCGTAGATGAAAATTTTTATCTGCAAATGATTATCTGTTCGGTATCAAACTCTCTAAAACTGTGCCTCTGTTGATATATTGAACTTAATTGACAATAATATTTTATGAATTCTATCTACCTGTCAAACTGCATTTTGTTTTGGAGTGAACCTGTTAATAACAAATAATTCACAAATTGTCTTCAAAACTGCCAATTTGAACACCAATTTTAGTGTTTAAAAACACTTATTCGCATAACTGAGAGGGAGAGATAGACAGGTGACATACGAATAATTCAGGAGCGCCTGTAAGTTTTTTTGGAGAAATATTCTATGGTTCTATGATATTTGGTGTTAGATTGGATAAAAAGGCCAACCCTTAGTTTAAAGAAAAGAAAAAGTAGATAACATTGAATTCTAGAGTACCCAATCAATATATATTGTAAATATCTTACTAGTTTCTGTTCCAAAATTAGTGACTGGAGGAATAACAGAAAAGATATCAGAAAGTAATCGATTTGGTTTTAACTTGGTTTGGACCATTTGTTCACTGAGTGATTGAATTTCCGGGTAGACAATCATCTCATCTTGAGCTCCTTCATTAGTTTTAACGTCTCTACCATAAAATATTTGAGGAATGAATAACCAATCAGATAAAGATTCATTGCAGTTAAGATCATTAATGTGCTTTGATGTTCGGTCATTTTGTAACATTCCCAAACAGTTATGATGTCGAAAAATCTGATTTGATGATGTAGCGATTAAATTCAAACAAATCCATGCAACCCTAATATAAAAAAGAGGTTACAGAAAAAAAGAAAAGAAAATTGGGATAAATTTCAAAGATCAAGCGGAACTAATCGACGAAATTTAAGTTTCTTATGAATATGACAAAATGAGTGGTAAAAATTCCGCCAACAGAAATCCCACTAGACTCTAACATACGATTACATAAAGAATAAAATGCGGGATAAAATATTTTAACTTGAAACTAGTTGTAGTAAATAAACATGATCCCCTAAGCATTGTTAAGTGGAAAATGACAAAAGCACTGCTTAACAGAGAGTACGAGAAAACGTTGAGCCATAGTCAAAAAGATATGTGGAGTTGCTAAAGAAAAAAACATTAAATTATTAACTGGACAACTTAGTGGTACACATCGGGATTAACGATAACATTGGACGAGGAAGACACTATGCTACATTAGGATTGACTGGTTTTCAAAGTATGAACCACAATGATTTATGATAAATGTCTTAACAATACAATCCTCAAAGTAAAATATTAAGGTCTTGATCTTCTAAACTAATGTGGAGTGATAGGTATTCGTTGCCACAGGGTTTGTGTATTCGACCTGAGAACTACACTGTATATAGAGACCAATTGATACTCTAAAAACTGTCATCAGTTAACTATAAGATTCCATTTTAATTTGTGTAAAAAATCTACACAAAAACCCTGTGAATCAATAATAGTCAGTAAATTAATTTCAGCAACAAAATACTAACTGTGGTAACCAAACTAGTGAATAGGTGTCCATAGATAAGTTGACTAACATAGCATACTCCCTGAAAAATAAGCGAGTGAATCCTATTTACGGGAGACGACCAAAAGTTATATCGCACACTCTCAACATGAAATTAAACGTAATCTCAGTGCATATGTACATGAAAGAAATCAGATGAAATTAATTTCAGATAAAATCCTTAAGAACAGTAAATCAACATTTTTTCTAAATTGGTGAAACCATTTAAAATTATTAATCTTATCGGGTTATGACATAACCTGATGAAAACTGGTAGTTGAACGATATATTGAGTATAGCTCATCAAAATGGATGAAATGAATGTTAAATGTAATACTGAATGAATATTACAATAAATTAAAACGTGATAACTAATTTTATCCCGTCTTAACAAAGTCAGAATAACAACATTAAGTAGAAAATAACTCAGAAACAACCGTTTTTTAAGTTAAGTTGAAAGAGAAGATTGTTGTTTAAGTTAAAGAGATCAAGGTGTTAAGAATTAATTTGATGAAATATTTTAATTTGCATAAGTGATTAGTATTCCTAGCCTTTTTATATAATAAATATTAATCGAAAATGTATTATGTAAACATAAACTTGATGTTTAATTTGTATTTCTAATCTTCAAAATACATAGATTTTGAGGGGGAACGTACCAACAGTGATAATAATAAATTGATTTATACATTTGTTTAAGTGTTTAACTTACGCTCTGATGTTCATTGAATTGGAGTGTAAAGCAAGACTGGTAAATAATGTCATCAGCTCAGGATGCTTTAATAACCAGTATTGTCCGTAAGATGTTGAACAGGTATGAGCTAAAGCCCACATATCTGCTTTAAGTTTTAACAAAGAATTACTATCACTAAAAGTATTTGTTTCTTCATACTTATCATTGATTATTTGAGGCAAAACAGAACGCATATTAGCAACAGCGGTCTACAATTATTAGAAGAAAAAACAAAACCAACACATTATAGGATCCATTGACTGATAACAGAGGAATATTATTTTATGAGGACAATTTTTTTTACAAAGATACTTATATATATACAGCACATGACAAAATGGGAAAATATAAAAAGCAGTATGGAAAATCTATGTTCAATATTACTTCGTTTTTATCTTAGAAACTAAAAGTATATATGAAACGTGATTTACTTACTTTTCCTAACAGCTTAATTTAATTATTATAATAATGATAATCATTTGTTTAGCACTGACTCATCTACACGGGATTTTGAGTCATACTTTAGTGGCATGAGGGTAAGTACATAGTACACAAAATGCACATAATTTACCTCTAAATCCTTTCTCGTATCTAACAAGTTGATTCCATTACGATGTTCAGCTATACATGCATAAAGATGTTTTGGAAGCGGTAAACAATGAAAACTATCATGTCCATCAGCAACTTGACCAATAGATTGATCATTTACCAACGAAGGAGATACATAGGTTCCAGACATTGAATCAGTTTCTTCAATAAAATAATTGTCTTCAAAATTAAATTCAGAATTGCTAGGTCGATCAACTCTGTCACTGTTTTCTTCATCATCAGTATTGTTATTAAAATTCAAAGGTGACGGGATTTGTAAATTGATTGCTGCTGAATCAAAATATGTAAAACTTGTTGACTTATAAGATGCACACGAAAGTAGTTTCGTTCCATATGTAACAAACAATGACGTAAACCGACTGTCCATTTCTTGTGCATACGCTACATTATAGTACTTTAATTGATTTCGACAAAGAAAAACAACGATAAAACATATGTTTAAAACATTATTGTATTCTCTATAGATAGGAAATAGCCATTACATAAATTCAAGTTTGGGGAATAATAAAAGAAAATAATAAGAAACTCTATTCTAGCACATCTGGCCTACACCTGACCTACAGAATGAACGCAAAATTAGCTTTCAGTGTTATCCGTTAAACTCGTCTTACGCTTTTAGAATTTCTCTAAGATATCTAACAGAATTCATGAGGAAGCATATTGCCGAAACTAATCTATGTGTAGGGAAAACGTTTATATAGTCTCTTATCCTGGCATCTTACTTAATTACGCTTACGTTTTCTAAAGCTTTTCAATATTAATTACATTTAATTTATAACGTTGTTCTTAAGTAATATAACTGTTTAAATTTATTCGCATCGCTTCCACAAATAATAAAACATTTAGTATCAAGTAAGCTACATGTTCAAGTAAAAATGAGATATGAGCTAACAAACACGTAGAAGTAACTCAAAAAAATTCTACCTATCTACTAACTTTATATTTTGTTGTTTTTTTTGCAAAACAATACTAGAATCTATTATGTAGAAGTAACACAAACACGAGCTCAGTCACGAAATTCGGAAACAGAAAGTGTACTAACAGAAACAATCAATACCTGAGATTAATGCACAATCTAGGTCTTATTAAACGATGACAGACACTAGATTACTTAATTTGCTATAACTTTCACGTCTGTATTAATAAATATCTTAAGTACTTGGAAATTCAGAAAACACTTTGAACTACAAAATATCAGCTTCATTAAACTTTAAGTGGAAAAGTAGTCAATGTTAATACGTTGAAAACCAGCAAAAGATTTTGATGTAGTTTTGTTCTCTGAGCTAGATGGTTTGGTCGTGGAGCTTTCATCGTTCTTCTGAACATCATCGGCACAAACTTCAGGTAGAAGTGATGTGTTCGAATTTCTCCACGTGTGGTTCACAGCTTGCTCTGTAAACCTCGATGTTGATTGGTTCTTGTTGACCTAAAACCTGTCATTGGTTACTTCTTTGTTTTCGCTGCAGCTCCTATTGGTTTGATTTTCGGTTCGATGTTTGCTCGTAATTTTTCTGAATTGTTGACAAATTGGATTGATTTCAATGTGCTTGTTGATTGATCTGAGTACCACGCTTCTAAAAATTATCTGGTGTTTTTGGAATTGCCTCTATCCAAAATCTCCACATTTTTCCAGTCGAATGTGTCCGCAGTTGTCCACGTGCAGTGATATAAGTGAGGAAATGTCATGGCGTTTGACTGCTAGTTGATGTTCATGCAAGCGAAGATGAAGAGGGCGTCTGCATTGCCCAATGTAGTGTTTTTCACAGTTGACACAGTTTATTTTGTAGGTGATGTTTGGTTTTTATTCTTGTTTGTTTGATTTCAAACCAATGTAACTCATTTATCAAGCACAAAGTTTATGTACTCGGATTTGCGTTGCAAATTTTGTATGGAGTGGCTAGTGATTCTAATTGCGAACCCAAAATTAAATAGGTGAGGTACGGTTCAAACTTGAAAGGTGAAAGGTCTAACTATTATGCCACCAACATCATAATCAGATTTTATGTAGATTGTACTGCAAGCCTCAAGTTATTGTATTCTAAGAAAAGGAATCTCGACATGAAATTATGTTAGTCTTTTATCTTGAACTGACTGTTTTGATGATTGCTAAATTATGAAGAATTGATACGATGTTCAAAGATTAGGTTTCAATTGATTGAAGAATGAGTAACCTATCTATAAGTTCCTTCCATCCAACCGCCAGTCAGTCAGCTAAAAGTGTAGTGTCACGCACAACTATGCAACGATCCAAGTTGCCACACCTCATTAGCACAACAAGATGAACACTGAATTCATAGAAGTAGTTAATTCAATGGTAGTGATATATAAAAGAAAGATTGTGTATAATGATATAATACAGGAAGAAGGAATTAGTTAGTAGTTACGAAAAAAAGAAAGATATAAAATTATTTTATCATCACAGTCTAGAGGAAGACATATACTGTATACGCCTACAATCCTGTGATCGATTCAGAGCCATGTCACCCAGAGTCTCCGACCATTCGTTACGAAAGTCACGCGGACCCCAACCAGGTAGTCTGCATCTGCCAACATGGCTCAGACTAGAAGTTAGTGACTTCAAGCACTGATTCCATGTTTTGGTTTGGCCGCCCCTAACTCTCTTCCAACCATCCCCTACACTAGTCAGCATAGCGCGTCGTGGTAATCAGTGTTCAGGCATAGGTAACACGTGGTCCAACCGTCTCATTCGATGAAGATTCATCACCTCATCAACCGATTTACCGTCATTTCCTAATACCCTTTATTATTACTTACCCGGTTATCCCAGCAGATGCGAGCAATATTTTCAAGGCATGTGATCAAATACTAGTAACTTTCGAATATCTTCTACTCTTAATGGCCATGATTCACAGCAGTAAAGTAGAACAGAGCGAACGTCTGCGCAGTATACTCGTCCCTTAATTGATAGACGGATATCTCGTCTTCGTCATAGGCGACGTAGGTTGGCAAAAGCCAAATGAGCTTTTTGAATCTGTGTTGAGATTTCGTTAGACACCAACTCATTAGGGCTGACCAGACTTCGAAGATGAGTGAAGTTGTCGACGCGTTCGACTACTTCACTCCCTATCCTTAGTTCAGGTGTTGACGCAGGCCAGTCCTGGAGTAACTATTTACATTTAGAAGGGGCAGAAACGCATCCCAAACATTCTGGCATTGTTACTTACTGGTACCAAAAGACTCTGCTTTTTATAAGCGTCTTCATCAAACAGGACAATATCATCTGCGTTTTCAAAGTCGATAATTGGACGTTCTGGTAGGAGATAAACGCCCGAAAATCGAGATGACGAGAACGTTATTTCCAGCAATAGGTCTATAATGACGTTAACTAAAAATGGGGATAGTGGACAGTCTTTACGGACACCACTTGAGGTTGCAAGATCAGATAACAGTTCGCCATAATCTCTCACTCGACTAGTAGTGTTCGAGTAAAGAACCTTCACAAGGTTTATGTACTTCTGAGGTACAAGTTTCGATGACAGATACTGCCATAGAACCTTACGGTCTACAGAGTCTAGTGATGCTTACAAGTCATTGTCGGACGCCGATAAGCATGCCTGTGCTCTGAAACCTGACAAATGGTGAATATGTGGCCGATGCAACCACGATCAGGCCTAACGCCAGCCTGATTTTTTCGTGTTTGCAGTTCACAAGTTTTTGTTAGGCACCCGATAATTATTAAGGCTAGTATTTTGGATGATAAATTGGTCAAACCAATCTCTCTATGGTTATCACAGGATGATTTTAACCCCTTCTTATATATTGGGATAATCAGTGATTGTGACCAGTCAGATGGGATTACGTTCAACTCTCAGATTTCAGCTAAAATTTTAGTCAACTTAATCGCTAAAATTGAGCTAATCCACCTGGACCAGCTGCTCTTCCTTGTTTTAGATTAGCTATGGCTTTTTGAACTTCAATTAGAGTCGGTGGGCCGACTTCAATATTTCTTTCAGGCTGTTTGAGAATGGTGGGTAGTTGTAGATTATCTGACGGTCAGCTGAACTGCTCCTTAAAGTGTTCCTCCCTGGGCCTACAACATTGAATAGAAACATGTCGTTTCATTACATGCAAAGCTATTCATTTGGCTAGTGGTATTGTCTTTGGTTTCTAACCTTTTATGGGCTTAAGTCAATTATACGGTCTCAGAAGTTGCCATCTCTCGGTCACATTATATCATTGAGTTTACCTGTTGACTAGCATTCCATTCATCGATAATAACGCTTGAAATTTTGTCTCATAAAAACACAGATAACCTCCCCGTTAACGAGAATATGTGGCGTTTAAAATCAAACACAAATATTCCGTAGACATGACGATATGTTCTTTTTCGCCATGATTCGATAACAATATGTTGACATGTTGACATTACTAAACTTAAATCTGGTTCCTGTTAGTTGCATATGATTACCTGAGTTTCAAGGCCGTCCCAAATAGTTTCGCAAATTAAGGTAATGTCGCATTTTTTCAGCTGTTTGAGAATCTACTGCAAAACGAGGTAGGCACGCATGATAATGTCCAAAATGACGGAAGCTTTGAAATCAAACCATATACCTCAGATAACTACCCACTTGGACTACAAATCTTCATTATACAGGTTTCGTAAATAAACATACATTTTATTGTATTCCCAACGATATTAGTAAATAAAAATCGTTGATTATTAGATAGATAGTGCAAACTCAGAATTTTAGGGGGCACTTGCTTATTGAATTTACCTTCTAGTTATTCCTAATTTATGTTGGAGAACAAAATGTACCAAGCATTAGTTTTCACATCGAATTTTAGAAAATGATCGAATTTCTATAGTATCAGAGAAATTATTCTAAAGTTAGAATACAATGAGAAATGTATGATTTTAACTTCATTATAAAAAGAGCGAGAGGTTATTCTTATTTGTAAGTAAAAAGTTATACCTTTTAGTGTAAAAGATAATATTACAAACTGATAACGACTGAAGAACTAGTGGAAATTGAAACAAAATGAAGTAATATACAACTGTTATATTCCCCCCCTGATTGATTTACTGATGTAACAAAAAAGTTCCCACTACGCAAACTTCAGTTATATTTTAGTTGTGTGTGAGCGCTACAGCCGTACACTTACAAAAGATCTAAGTGATGTGTTGTAGTGAAAGTACAATATGATTGGTCGTTGAGTGTGGACAAACACGCACAGCCTACGACTATTAAGTATTTGCTTTCCCTTCCGGTTATTCATTTCTACTCCGGACAAACTGAAGGTGAGTGTTACCTAGTGGTAATTTGGTTTTCTACTCTGGGTCGTGAATCGTAGTTATGATATAACACGATTAGACTTATTATTGTATTATCGTCATATACGTTGGAGAGAAAAAAATATTTCGAACACTCGTTATATTTAGAAGGGGATTTGTGGATTCGTTATATCACTAAAATTAATACGTTAGGCCCGGTCATAGCTGACTGAAAAGCGAGCGATCTAAAAAAATTTATTCTTTAAAATCATCTATCACCTTAATTATATCTATCGTTCTGTCAATAGTTGTTATGTAATATGATTTCAGCTCACTGAGTACAACATCTATAATTAAGTCTCATTTACATCAGCCGCTTTACCACAATGTATCATTGAATTTCGTTAATCAACCAGACATTATCTTTTCATTCTAACAATTACAAACTTAGTTCACTTATTAGGTCCTAATTCATAACAGTTGTAACGCAGATAGGATAACAGTGATAACCCTTCATTACACTACAAAACCAAGAGACTGAAGCTCCTTTTCTCATAGTCCCTGAAGTAAACTTCATGGGGATAACTGACTTATTGTTTAATGCAAAATCACATAATGGTTTAGTAAAATGTGAAAACCATACATTACGAGCATCATTTGCACATCTTCTTTGAATTGTTTCTTACAACCTTCATTGTTCCTTCATTCCTGTTGTTACCTTGATTGCCTTTAGTTTTCTCCTCTCTTCTCCATTTCAGTCTTCTTAATCTTCCGCTTACAGGTTTTTCACTTTCAATTGGTGCTACATACTACTTATATCTATCAACACCATATGTCAAAACGATTATCGAGATCCTGGTAGGAAGAAATTATCCTATCAAAAAGCATAAAAAACCTGACAAAAAATCTATGTCCCACAGAAATTGATGTTGAAGAGTACAGTTTATAAAGAATCCACAAGACAGCGGAATCTATCAGGCTAAATAGTTGTCTTCTATTGATTACTTCACGATACAACGAAATATATACATACCGTTTGTCACTATAAAACTCCACTCCGTACGGATGTAATTATTATCACTCAAACAATCTATGTGAAGTCATAAAGCAATAACATGATCTTTTAACATACTAGACAATTGATACGGAATACGAATGAACATCTCAAGCAATATATAGTTTTAGTCCTAATAAAACTAAATATTTTCATAGTTGAAAGCGTGAGTCAATTGAAGTTAGAACACCAAGAAAAACCTGGAAGCACTGGATGGCCATTTCGTCCTATTATGGGACTCCTCAGCAGCGAGCGCCCACGACCTCGCCTCGCGAGATTCGAACACAGGACCTACCAGTCTCGCGCCAGATCACTAAACCGATAGACAACTGAGCCGGCATTCGGTGGTGTTTATGTCTAACTCCAACCACGATGTTGAGCAACCGTTCACTACTTATCTTCAGTGAGTTCCTATCTTACAACAGATCTGGTTTAAACTCCACTGGTCACTGCTTCTCACTAGAACTCCTGGATTTACCTCTGGAAGTCAGTCACTAGTGAGTATATGAAAATACTAAATCTCCACAAAAACCCTTTCTGATAAAACTATATGTCTTTTCAGGTTGCAGTAAAGCAGATCGCCTGAAAGAGGTCATTGAATGTGGGAAAGTAAAACAGAGAAGGGTACATAAATGAAATCAAAGGATGAAAAAAATGAAATAAAGTGTTAATACAACTGTCATCCAAAATATGATCAAACGGTGAGCTACTGAATTTGTATGTCTTAAGAATTCATAGCATAACATACGTAGTTGCCTCGGCGGATATAATTATACAGAGAATTATAAACAAGAAACTTAAATGTTGCTCATTCAAAGCTTACCTTTCGCGCAATATCTAACATCCAGTTCACTGGATCACTTAACACTGATTTATTGTTATTACCATTATTACTAATATTCAGTTCATCATGAGACAGACATGAGTTTGGACAATTCTTATTTGTTTGCGGTGTACAACAACAACCGTAATCACAATGAAGAAATGATGAATTTGGTTGTCTCAAAATATCATGATTCATGCACAGTTTATCGAATATAGTTGTGATAGAAAGAACTCTACCAAATATTCTATGTCCTATTGGACCGGTATTACCATGCAATAAATAAATAGCAAATGGTGTTAAAAGGTTTTTTTGACAAACAATATTATTATTGTCATCATTGGTTTGATTATGTAGAATATTTTGCGATAAAGCCTGAACATTTACAGGATCCCAACATAATTCCTGATAAAAACATAAAAGAATTAAAGGACAAATTATAAACGAATATCATTCCAGTACGCCAACAACAACGTGGAACCTGTCACATGTAAATCAGTTCAGGTTCCTACACTATACCAATACAAGAAAATGGAATTAACAAGAGATAGCAGAGTTGTAGAAGTAGTAATGATATTAGTGCTAGTAGAAAATATTAGTTATAAACATTATGATTTCAAAACAATGAATTTGCAAAATATAAGATAATTTAAAGTCTGTAGACCTAAGGAAACACACTGGGTTAAAGCATCTGCGCTACGGCGACTGATTCTGAGCAGGTTTACACGAAGTTTCCAATCAATACTCACGATAATCACCCAGACCCAAACCAAGTAGTCTCACGTAGTTACACGGGTCAGGTAACCACATCGAGTACCGGAACCACGTCTTGGTTTTGTAGTCAAGAGTACGATTTCAGACTACAACAGATCACTAAGGGTTACTGACTTGTTGTAAAGGAAAGGGGTATTAAATTATATAATCAGATAACGTAATAAAATTTATTAAACACTTACATGAACACAGTGAATCAAATTTAATGAAACGTACGTAAACAAGTGACAATTCACAAAAAAATCTGTATTCGGTAGTTAAAGTGGCTTGAGACAGAAGAAAATATAAATGAAGTTTGAATAGTTAGTAATACGTAAACCCTGTCCACTTACTTGACGGATTCGGAATGGTGGTTAACGTTACTGATTAGTTTCCCAAGTCAATACATAAATTTAAAATGATACTGAAATCACTAAACTGGTACTTGAAGACTAAGTACCACACCTTTAAATAAAGAACAATTGTTCTGACTATACATCAAGTTAGACGGTGCGTTAGGGCTATTAAAACATCAGGATTTCTAGACGTAAACTTTAGATCAGCATTGATGAAGCTAAGGTTCTGAATACTGAACTGATACACATCCCTATTAAAATGTTTCGTCGAATTTCGTAAATAATTTTAAAAGACTCCTATTGAAGCATTTGAGGATCGAGTAGTTGTTTGATTGGGACTCGTTTTTTGTAAGCCAGGAAAGTATAATACTCGTAGATGCATGTAGAAACATTTCGATTTGTGAGGTTGATATAAACAACTTTACGCAAAGAACAGACAAATTGATAAAAACTGAGGTGACCCATAGTGTTAAAGATTAGGTTGGGCCACCACTCTATATATTTATCACTTTACTTGTTCTTCTATAAAGCCAGAAAAAATAAACAAAACTCCTTTACAATTTTGATTCACATTTTGTACAAACAAAAATACAACACACAAGGTTAACATGTTTTCGATACAGGACAGAATGGCATGCATACACTGTAGACAGACAGTTATTTTTTGAACTCTTTGTAAGTCTACAATTGGCTAGTCTACAATTGAAATTACATGAACACACAATAGAACAAAAATAAGCTGATTTTTATAAACCTCTTTAAAATAAATACAAACTAAGTGCATTTTTAAGGGATAACCACTAAAGTATCAATTTTTGTTTCCCAATCCTTTACATTTATAAAAACAAATAAAATATCAACAACGTCCTAAATGTTCAATAAATGTGTTGTATCCAGCACTTTTAGTGAATTTCCCATTTATTTAGCGGGGGTGTTGCATATTTCAGTGAAATTATTATTTCAAGAGTTTGGATTTATCTCCATCTTTTATATGTTAGTGTAGTGTAGCCCAACAAGCCGAATGAAAAACATAAATATAAAGTTAGGGCTTGAAAAGAAATGTTAAATGCAAATTACACTCTAATATGCAACACTCACCCTCCAAATAAACGGAAAAATGTCTGAGAAAAGCTGGTAACGACATATGTATTGAACATTGAGGGAGCTGCGGATAAACAGCCAAGAAATATTATACAGATAATCGTAGTATACATACTTCTAATAGACATAACGCTAAACGACGAATTTTATTTGATGAATCCATGCATAGTTTTACAACTAGATCTATACACCAACTTGCTAGAAATGGCAGTTTCAGACGAAATAAAAGACGAATCAAACGAATTGTATACATTCGTAGAGGCTGAAAACGAAGAAACAATAAAAATCATAAATAAATGCTTATATTATTCATTTATTTGAAAAATGTATAACTTTTCAGTTTTCGAAATGTAAGCCGGAAGTAGAAATGACCTAAAACATTGATGAATGAATGAGTGTGAACTTGAAACTATAGTGTTTTGTCTATGTCACAATGTCATGTATACGCAAATAATCATGTTTACTTTTTTCTGCAAATAGCTAGTAACATGAGAAATATACTGCTGTAGTAAAGTAGGATTTATGATTTAATCAACGAACTTTTGATTTTCAAAATGAAACCAAAGAACGCTTATCGACAATTAATATGCAGAAATAAAATGTTGCCGGTTAACTGCGCTTCACCAGACTGAAGAACTGAAGTAAACCAGCAAACTGAACTGATATCCGAAAAAAACTGATGCTTAACATAATAAGCTCTTTTTTCGAACGAAACAACAATAATTGTATTACGAATATGATCAAACGTCGTAAGTAATTTCAGAAAATCAAATTTGTGGTACACTTGTACTTCAATCAATCGAGACTTTCAGTTTAAACACTTAAACATATTGTTCAAACAATATATTAACACAGAATATCAACGCAGGTCAATATATGCCCAATTTACGAGTCTCGATTTGAATTAACCGTGCATCCTGAATCCCACTATTAAACACTGTTCAGCTCAACTGTCCAATAAGATTATTCCGACTAAGTAGTAGCGGAAATAGAAATTTGGAGTAGAAAAAGTTTTACTTCATCAAACAATGACCTATAAATGATGATTTCTATCAACTTCAGCTGCTTCCTATTATTAGTATGAGAAAAATTTTTCCATACTATGAAATATGCATAGTACTTTTTTCATTGAAAGAACAAAGAAAATAATAAAACGACAAATTATGACTAACCTTTACACCACTATTAACAGCAGTTGTCAAAAGCAAACGACTCAATTTAGTGGAATGTGAATAATCTAGACTAGATAATATGATTTTCGCATGATTTAGAAAAACGCATTGTTCATTACGTTTATCATCAGTATCATTATAGTGTGTTTCAGCATGTGAATTGGAACTTTTTTTCAATTGACTAGGAAACATTAAAATACTCTGGAAATCTAAATAAAGATCACTTTTTTCCAAACGTAATTCACCGACTTCAGAATTGGTCAATCGTGATGCGGCGAATAGAATTAAACCACCGCAACTTTTAGCTAAATAATTTGAATGGAATGTTAATATCATATTAGTGTTATTACTATCGTTATGAATACTATTATTGTCTTGCGAAAGTTTCTGATCCATTGATTTATTATTGCCGCTATTGTCATGATTATGACTGATTAATGATTTATTAGACTGTTTGTTAAGTACAAATTTTAAACATAGATGGAGTGCAGTTAAAAAACGATCCAAATATTGAAACGGTTCACTAGCCTAAATAATAAATCAGCAGAAAAGAAATTGAAAACTGAATAATAATAATAATAATAATAATAATAATAATAATAATAATAGTAATAGTAGTAGTAATGATAATAATAGTAATAATGTCAATTCAAGGAAATAGTTACCTTTCCACTAAGTTTTTTGTGAAAATTAAGAGAAAATTGTCAATAGTACAAAATACAGAAATCATAAGTAGCTCAATCTATAAGTCATCGAAATGTGATAAATATGCCGTATGGGCGAGACCCGAATTCAAAACTACAGAAGTACTGCTAATTTGACCTCCATATATTGATTAGTAAAGATTATTTGGCAAGCGCTTATCGACGACCTCGCGGAATCTTTATCTGCTTCGACTGACGCTGTTATTGCGTTAAATGCCAGAGCGAAAAAAGAGATTGCAAACTGGAAATTCAATACTGTAGAGTAGAAAACAGCTGTTATATCTGGTGACTACCGAAAGCTTTTTAAACGCATTCGAGACACTGGGATCAACAAGCCTAGTATGAATGTAACAATCTGTGAAGTGAATATAACATCGATTCATTACATACAAAAGAATTTTGAACGGTAATGGTCACTTCCCTTAACAACAATAATCAGAATGTTCAGCACTCACTGACCGTCCTGATGTTAGTGTGGTTTTAAAATGTCAACTTATCAACGTTTCGGTTGGAGCGATCCTGCTCTATACCTGAAAAACACTGACCTCCAAGTTGAAGATATTCGGTGACTTTGTTTCCCATCATCGTTGTCACTAAAAGATAGCTAACATCCAGAAGTTATATCATGTTATCAATACGGAAGTTTAACAATGTGTATTCGGGTGCAGTGAAGATAACTCACTTGGTGTCAACATCTTGAAACACTGGCTTCTGTGGCTTGAATATATATTGCGAATATCACCTCAGCGAATTCTATATTGTTCATTATTTTCCGACTCTGGTACTGGTTGGAAAAGGAGGATAAGCAGTCAGTTCATGGCATGAAGCAGTGGTATGAGGGAAAACAGTATAGGACTGGCATCTGTCGATCCTTCACGACTGTCTAGTTGAGGTCCTAGAGATAATGCAACATAGTGGGTTGAGACGTCGACAGGTATGACATAGAATAGAGGCTGATGGAAATCTTGCTGTAGTGTTATTTAGTAGTCTTCAGAAAAAATGAAAGGAAATTCCTTACTTGAGAGTATTCTTCCTAGTCGTATTATGCTATTCATTCACTTCTTTCTGATTGTACTCCCTACTCCCCACTTCCTCTATTTCTTCACAATTAAATTTCTTTATTTGTGTGACACATGTTTATTTCGGTGCCCTATTGTATGAGTACTTATCTGTATTAAATAAATGAATAAATCTCTAACATCTAACTAGAGTATCTATTTTTCTACTACTTCCAAAACAAAAGAAAACATATTTGTAAGAAACGTTAATCAGAACAATGCAAACATACTGGAGGATAGTGTGCTAAATGTGTTATTAATCCAGCAGCTAAAATTCCAGCAGCTGACGCATGAGGCCAATTATATGAAAGCCAAGCTAAATTGAAATTGGCATTCGGACTGATTAAATAATTCGATCGACTTGTATTAGAATTGTTATTCATGATAGTGCTTGTAACATTACTCTCAGATATGTTTTTCTCACGAGAATGAACTAATAGGCGATCAATATTATCGTGTGTGTTAAAAGTAATGAAATTTTGTAGCATAAAATTACGATTATCACTGATTGCATTCAGAAGTCCGTCAACTGGTAATAGCCCATCTGATGACTGCATAGATTTACTTGGAATAGAATATACTACTGGAGGAGAAATTGGATTGGTGCATTTTTCAGTTTTGCAATCTGATACACCTGTTCTGCATGTTTGATCTGGTATCAAAAACTCCATGACTGCTTTTAAAAATCTAGATTAAATAAGAAAAATTACATAAATATGTATAACTTTCAAATAACCTATTATTTCCTAATCATTATTGAGACTCAGTGACCAAGTACACATCCTGTATACTCAGCTGTAAGTCAATATAGTGATTTACTGGTTAAGGATGCAATCTTTCAATAAGGGGATCACGGGTTGTATCACTAGTCTTCATGCAAACGATGTGACTCAAATAGACGAACACTAACTTGATAAATATGCTGACCCTGAAATAGGAGTCAGCTGTCCAAACCAAATGGAGCACACTCAAAACTCGGGATTAAACCAATAAAAAACAGAAGTTAAGTCCACTGAGCGACAATACGACACATTTCATAATCTCACAAAAGAAGAAAGATACCCAAGACCCAGCACGAATTATTAGAAGCAGTACAAAAAAGCAATTAGATGGATCACCGATTTTTATCGACACTGCTTAGAAAAGCCGAATATAATCGCCTTTTCACAATAAAGTGCTATTTCATAATAGCAAACTGTTTATTAATCATTTATAACCTGATGAGGGCCCCTAAATGCCCTGGTACGGCCGAGAGTGGGGAGAGTCTGCTCTCCCTCTCGAAATGCTCTCATATGGCCACGCGAATATATAGCCTCTGCCAGGGAAGTCCTACTCACAGCCTTCTCGTGGCGGGCGTGTTGTTCACAAAAGTGAGAGGACGAAAAGCGAATGTCCAGAGCTCTAACCGGGTTGGGGGATGTGGAGGATCCACCTAGGGGAGTTGGAAAACCCTGATTCCAAACCAATGGTGCAAATGGGCTCTAGTATCCTGAAGGAACAAATGGCGTATGAACCAATCATTGGTCACCGGCTACTATGGGACTGCATCTCCTCACGATGCTCCACTGCCTTGTGGATTAGACCTTCATATCAAAGGCTCGTGGTGTGGCCCCCTAAGAAAACCACCTGCTTCAGTCTGGGCACCTGGGCAGTATCACAGCGCTCACACAAATCGAATGAGATTTGTGAGGCGCATATTTATCTGGTGCTTTTTGTACCAATATTTATGTGTTTAAATAAATAAAAAAATTAAAAACCCGATGAATCCAAATAATGGATTACTTCATAATTTCAAAGCTTACAGATGGAAGCCGCTGGAGCCCCACAGGCATTATTATTTAGCAGCAATATAAAAGCAAAATGAACAAATTACTATCCACACGATAAAATTTCATATTATGATCATGAGATAACAATGTAGATTCAGCATAGCGAATTTATATAAAGCATGGTATACACAGTAGCTTCGTTACCGGCCAAGAAACCAAAACACAATAATTGCTTGTTTCCCTGTTCATTTAAACGCATTTAAAACTATTTTTCATTCATGGACTGATACAAGGTATGACACAAACAGAATACTCTAGTCCCTGGGACTCTTTGACTTAACAAGACATGACTATTTCTAGTATACAGCATCAATCTTCACAGCTCGAAAAAAAACTAAGTCCGATCACTTTCAACCGTTTTACACAAGAAACTATAATTCTCTAAATCATTATTGTCTATATAACTTATAACTAGTTATTTCTTGTCAAAATAGATATCAGTTCAAAAATAAAACGAAAAAACTAAGTGATCATTAGTAGTCTATACGTACTTCATATGTGATTTTGATTCCCAAGAAAATGTGCATCGAGTTACAGCCAAATGACGGCCTAATGATGTTAAAATATTCCAATTCCATAACTCCGGTGATTTAGTGTCATATGTAGTTACCTGACATTGACTAAAACGACCATGTTGAGATTTCGACTTGAATGATAACACATTTGATGATGCAATCAACTGATCTAGGATTGTATCCGTAAGCTAAAAACAAAAGTGAATAAGAAAGATGAAACATACATGAATACTCATATACGAACGTGAATAGTGTTTGTAATATAATGACCTTGAAATCATCTTATTCTTTGGTGTGCATTGTTGGTAAGGTATATATTTATTGTTCGCGTAAATATTAGTACATAAGACTGATGGTACTAGTTTATACTCATTCATGGTTCGAATTCACTTGAACTTAAACAGATTTACGTGAGAAGATGGATGGAAAAACTAACATTTTGATTGATCTACTTACTCATTTATGGGATATTATCTAATCAGTCATTAGGAAACAGGATAATTGAGAGCATAGTTATTTGGAATAACCTAACAACGAATAATGTTTTACATGGGCAAAACTTTATTAATGTTGATGGACTAAATTTCTTTAAGAACTATAAATAGTTGATCGGCATCAAATTCATCTAACTCTAGATCAAGTTGAAAGCTTACATTCTCAAATCTGAGTAAGCTTATATCTATTTTTCAACCAATCAGAACAAGCAGACGAATTAGGAAAATACTGTGAGATTCTCATGTAAACTCAATATAAACCGTAATGTTTTTATTACTGCATATTTCGCGTTTCGGTCTACTGGAATATACTTTGTTCCTACTTGATTTTTGTTCAGATTTGGGACGAGCTCAGTGAAGTATGGTGGTTTGAGGATGCGAGACAGTAGAAAAAGTAAAGATGTAAAACTATAAGTTAAAAATGCATGAATTAATTCAAGATGTATATTTCATTTGTTATAATAAAAATTACTTAATTTCGCCACATACATTATAGGAATATAAAAGCCGAATTACTTTAAGAATGAACACTTATTAACATTTGATTTCTAGGAAAAAATAACACCAACTACTTTTCTAAGCAGACTTGGAGTGTGGCTAGCAGTGGGATCTAGGACACTCATTTGATTCCATTTGAAATGTATTTACATCTCGAACTTGAAATCGGGATCAGGTATTTTTTTTGCTTCAAACTCAAACGCATGATCTATTTATTTACTACATCTAAGTAGAAAATGGCTTATGGAATAGGGTGGATTTTAACTCATTTGCATGGACTGTCTGAAGCTTCCAATTGATATTTAAGATTGGAATTGGCAAGCCTCTATCGATATATGTGAATCTTGTGAGTTCTTACATGAAGTGATAAGTACTAAGCACGAATTTCAGAATGAACATCAACTCTAGGAACCAGGTACATCCAGCCCACGAGTGCTAAATAGAATGAAACGGGCGTCTTTGATTCTACTGTCAACCATTATCTAGCTCTGCTAAAAAAGTGTTTGTGGTTTAGTAGTATTGTACGTGGTTTCAGAAAAACTGATTCGGTATTCGTATTCGACGGGAACATTCACTTTCGACCAGACAGTGACTGGAGATCGTTTAGATAGAATAGAAGCCAGTGGCGATTTTGCTGTAACCTTTTACTTTCTTCATAAAGAGTGGTCATAACTTCCTTAACCGAAAGAGATCTTCTGGTTGTACATTTCAGTTTCCCCTATTATTATTCTAATTATTACACTAACATACTCTCTGTGGTTCTTGTTGTTCCTTCTTTTTTTTCTCCTTATATGCACCTCACCCTTTTTCTCTTCCCATTCTCAGTGTTTCGTCTGACGCATATATATCTGGTGCCCCCTTGTATCAATATTTATGTGTTTAAACAAATAGTTTAATGTTATTTGAATCTAATAAATAAACTTTTTTAAACATACTTCCATTTGATCTGGTTGCAATGGATTCAAAGGATAATAAGTTGGAGAGATATTATTTGCAGATTGTTTGGCTAAACATTCCAGAAAGGGGGAATGCAATGGCACATGAATAAGGTTAGATATGTCAATTAGTTGAGTTTCGTGCAATCGCATAGCACGATGTATTCGTTCCAACCATAAGACAGCTAACTGACTACCTGGAGTTTCTGGATGCAATAAACCAGCATGATGTAAACGCCTACACGCTGGATGTTCTTGAGGTAATAGACTTTGAACCTGCATGGTGAAAACAAATATATATATATATATATATATATATATATATATATAAAGATAGATACATATATGTGTACTTTATACCTTGTCTATAGTCTACCTAATACAGGATACAAATTAAAATTCTATTACCAGTAAACACTTCTCACCACATCACCTTTGGACATTAGTAAACCAATGTGGGGGTTTTTGGATTGTAGTGGTTTTTTTCTCTTTGCAGATGAACAACCCAATAACTAGTATGAAAAAAAGTTTCCCTCACTTTAAAGAATAGTTGAATGGAATCAATTTATCATACTCATATTATGCTACTACAACATAGAACGTTGAATAAAACTAAATAGAATGCTTAGACGATCTTTTATGAAATATTGTACAAAAATATTATTATTAATTATTAATAAATGCGCTCTCAGTGATGTCCTAATAATTAAAAAGCAGTTGATCCATCCAGCTATAGCTTCACTTTTTTCAGTTGTGAAAGAAGCTTGGTGCTTTTGCAAAGTATTACTAGCTCTCTTAAGTATACACAGTATGATAAAGACGAGTACATAGATCAGGTACTAAGTAATGAATGAATAAAAATTAGAAATTGGATTCATGAAAGCTTAATGGGTTTAAGAAATGATTAATTGAATGGTAATGCATAATGGTAATACATAATTTTCATTTACATTGTAATTGTTTTCTGAAACAAATAGATTTCTATCAACCAATGACTCGCAGTATTTTTAATCAACTCAATCAAAATGTTGTTTAATTACACTTTTATTTGATAAATAGGTTCCACTACTACTACACTTTCGGTAAAATGTACAAAATGAGATCAGATTAACGATATCAGTTATGAGAAATTTAATAACTTACTTTGTAAGCCAACACACCAAGAAGATAACCAGCACGAGTAGATGTTACTTGATTTGAATCAGAAACTGCACGAATCAGAGCCTAAAAAATTTAGGTAATAAGAATACTAATATTTCCACATAAATTGGTACACAACATTGTGCTCATACTGTATTACGTAAACTGATAAGTTTCAAGAAATTAAGTAGAATGTCAACTATTAAACAAAAGTAATTGTATGCTCTCAAGAACTAAAATAGAGGTTAAATAATCCGCAATTTTCTTAAGATCAATGATATAACTATGTAAAACTATTTGTCAATAATTTAGCAAAATCAACGATGAATGGTTGGAATAGAAGTTTATTAGGTAAGACTATAATTTACGGGCGACCTTTGAGCAACGCTAAAATGACCTTGAAATCTCCATCTTCTTACCAGGGTTAAATGAGGGTTACATATTAGTGTGAGGAATTAGGATTAACATTTACAGTTGAATGTTAGGGTTAGGAACTAGATTTAATGACATCAGCTATAATGCATAAATGGTATTTATTCGAATGAGTAGATGAATTCCGCGCCAAAATCCAAAACCTGCTATCTTAAATGTGATTGGTTCGTCCATAAATTATAGTCTCACCTTTCATTATTAACTCCTAAAGATTTTGCATTAACGTAGCCGATAATTTGACAATCACTTTGACGATTAGTTTTCAATGGCATACTGATTTACTTGAACAGATAACACGATTTCGATAGCATTTACATTTATAATAGCTAGTAGAGAAATTCCTGGACGTGCATTTTATACCTGCATCCCAGTATTGACATATGAAAAGAAACTCCAAATTCGATATTCATCGCTACACATACTAGGACAAAAGTGGATTTTCCCAGAACTGTAAATCGGGATAAAACATCAGTTCTTTTTAGACTGTAAATACATCATGATGATGAATATTGGAACTGTATAAAATCTGAAAACATTACCATCTATCAGCTGACTGCAAATATTTAACCAAAAATAAAGCTGTAAATAACGATTCTCTTTGTAATAACCGTGCAGTTTCTAAAACATATTTCCGTAAATATTCAAACAAGCTTTGAGACACACATATGTTTACTGAGACATAAATACGAGTATATTATTTTGTTTTTATCTAAATACCTTGCAACAATCAGAAAAATGACTTCAATGCATAAAAACAAAGTATACACGTTTGCCTACCCACAGAAAAGTGAAATTGGTTTCCAGGTATTAAATTGATTGCGTCATAGTAAATCCGAGCCTACTTTTAGTAACATTGACTGGTAAATAAAAGTTATGATTGATCAATATATATATATATATATATATATATATATATATAAACCGATCACTTATGTTTATATATAAACTAAGATTCGGATTGATTTGCATTTCACATCGTTGTAATAACCACAGAAAAAGAAAGAAAAAACGATACAATCTAGGTAAAAGTTAAATGGAAATACTAAGCATGAGATAAGTAGTTAACACAGGTAATTAAGAAATATAACAATACCACTGCACATTTATACACGCACATACATAAATACGAAAAAGGGATTGAACACACACCTCGTATAATCCAGCTTCAACCAATGTAGCAAGTAAGATGGCATAATAATTATTCATAAGATCAATTCCAATAGAATCGTACTTAATTAAAAGACGACAACCTTCTGCAGAAATGAAATCACCTTCAATATCCCAAGCACTAGATGACGATGATGAAATACACCTCACTGGTAAGATTGAGAACAGACGTCGTGAAGAACTGTCCAAATATGAAGATGACATTTCGTTGCGTAAATAATCACTTCTTTTCCCTGGTGAACTCGATAGATTTATTACAGGTAACAAAGAAGATGAACCTGTAGATAATGCTTCAATAAGACCCAGTATAGTTGGTTCTAATTCCTTGACAGATGAATGGGGTATAGGTATTGTTGGAAATAAACCATATAATAAGCTTAATATTTGGTTCTATGGAATAAAGAGAAAGACGAAAAGAAGAAGAGTTTACTACTTTGATGCAGGAAATAACCCTTTATCTATTCGCGTTGTATTCTTTGAGATGCATCATCCATCTCAAAAATACAACACTACTATCCTTATTCTTAGATAAACGTATGCTTTATGATCTCACTCCATGATCATCAATTTAGAGTTACAACTTAGTAGAAAAATAAATCAGTTGGGTAATCCATGTATTTGCTTTCGAACATTCTATTAATTATAATAACTTTCCATGTCCGTTGATTGCTTTTTTTCAGTGATATTGTATGAAATATAGCGATCTAAACAGGCGTTTTATTGTGTTTATTGTTGTATTTACTATCTGTCTTAACATACATGTCACTCAAGACTGTACACACTGAATCAGTCAGTTAACGATGTAGCAAAGAGCACAATTGCACATCTAAATCATGTTATTTAATTACTTATCAGTATAAAGAGTAAATAAATTAGTACGTTGAGATTTAGTGAAGGAAACATGACGATATCCATTCCAATAAAAAGCTGAATATGGGATAAGATGTAATTCAAAAGGGAAGAATACAATTCAATAATGAAGTGAAGAATGACATTAGGCTTAAGATTTTGAGGAAATAGCCAGAACCACTACCCTACGTGATTTATGAATTCCAGTATAAAGTCAGAAGTTTAAGTCTCACCACACCTACCTATATCTGAGTTGTAAGGTAGTTTCATAACTCTTACAGTAAATATGAACCCACAGACTAATAAACAAAGATCACTGGGTGCTCCTTTTGTTACCGCTAGCGATAATAAAGCCAGTTCCAACACTTCTTTATCAGGTCCACATGAAATCTAATCTTAAGCACAAACATGAGGTACAAACGATTTTAATCTAGAAACTTAAACAATTGGCAAAACTTTAAATATAGTACACCATGTGCCCATCATTCAATTGAGTAAAGATGATAATACACTGGAAACAATGGAAGTAATATAAATTTAAATATAAACCAATGACAAGTAAAATGGCAAAATATCACATGTAGTATACCAGTTCTTGTATGGTATATATATGGACTTTTATTATCCTATCCTTATAGTAAACCACAGATTTTTTTAGTTGAGCTGTAAAAGATAGTAAAAGCCAATGATTACAATATTTTAGATAATACAGTTGAAAATTAATAATCATTAATCAGGCTACTACCATCACTTTAATCAAGTGTAGATTTTATATACTGAATAGTCTGCTATCTTCTACTCATTATTCAATCTTGCCTTTTACTATTCTTATAAGTTAAATTCACTTCCGCTGCACAATTAAATAACTAAATACTATTTAGTAAGGTTAGTGTATTTGCCCGACATATTTACTTGTTTTGGTCAAATTGATAACACATAATTATTGTGTAACTGAAAATAAGTCATTAGTATATTTTATCCAGTGAATAAAAAAATCTGATCAACCAGTTAATATTTTCTCACAACTCACTCTTATTTCTGTATTACCAACACCCAACGTATACAGTAGAGTTTGCAAAGTTGGGAGACCATCATGAATAAAATGGAAAATACCTATCAATAATAAAATAGAAATAAATTACGGCTTAGAATGAAAAATAACAAAGATGTTTTCTTTAAGCTATATATTATGTGGTTATGTTGTGCATCCTTAAAAAATCTCTGTATTGTATTAGAATAGCTAACAGTGAGTTATAAACAAAGTAGAACCTGCCATATATGTGCATCGTTTCAAATTGCAACACGATAACAATACATCGAAATGAAATTAACAGGAAAAATCAGTGTAGCAGGAGTATTAACAATATCAGTGATGGTAAAAAAAGATTATGTGGTTCAAGAAGAAAGGGTGAATAACCTGATAGTTTGCACTTACTACCAGGGCTTAATTCAGCAGTCATTAACTTTATGAGCTGATACCATATATTGGCAAAAACTATGGAAAACTGTTTTTAATTACCATTAAACAATGAAAATACTTGTCAAGAAAAAAATAAACCCCCGAATGCCCTGGTACGGCCGAGAGTGGGGAGAATTCGCTCTCCCTCTCGAAATGCTCTCACATGGCTAGCGAATATATAGCCTCTGCCAGGGAAGTCCTACTCACAGCCTTCTCGTGGCGGGCGTGTTGTTCACAAAAGTGAGAGGACGAAAAGCGAATGTCCACAGCTCTAACCGGGTTGGTGGATGTGGAGGATCCACCTAGGGGAGTTGGAAAACCCTGATTCCAAACCAGTGGTGCACATGGGCTCCAGTATCCTGAGGGAACTCACAAATGAGATTTGTGAGGCGCATATTTATCTGGTGCTTCCTTGTACCAATATTTATGTGTTTAAATAAAGAAAGAAAGAAAATAAAAAGAAAAGACAAAATCAAAAAAAGAAGTAGTTGAAAGTAAATTGCGAATGTGAGATACCTGAACACACACTACAGATAAACAATACAAGAACAATACTATGAAGTTCATAAATCCCTTCAGTTTTGATTGAAAAGACGAACCATAACAACTAAGTACGACTATAAAATTGTAAAGAAAAAGTTAATAACTGAGTAATATTGTTACAAAAGAGAGTTTTATGACTTGAGACGAAGCTTTTGATTGATAGAAAAACTTTGATTATACGTACTGACCAAGTGGTGGCTGCTAACGAAACCAATTTACCGGGGGATCACCACCCACTCACCCACGAATGCTTTGAGATCAAAGGCAAGATCACCAAACGGAGGAATAGGCTTTCCAATGGCATAAAATAGGATTTTTGTATACAAAATATTGACACAAAAAAATGTGACAAGCGATTAAAGGAAATCAGTCTGTACGTCACTCGCTCTCCAACCAATTAAGACCTGACTACTAGGCTTACTTTTCGGGCCTTAGTATACTTGCTACTTCGGCTATGAATGCCTTATGCTAATCCTGTTTTTCCATTTATTCCTTTAAGCTTTTTTTGCGCAACAGTTTACCATAGATCCATTTTTTATTTGACACTGGATGGAGCATGCAAATATTAAACGGTGTGAAAACAGTCGAATCTTAGCTTAAAATAAAGAAACCAACCAGTATATACTTTTATATAGTAGTTTTTCCCAATGTTCATAGAGGTAGGATATATATATATATATATATAAAGTGCTTATCTAGGGCTAGGCTTTATCACGATGTTATGATGCACTAATGTTGAACCAATAAGTATGGAGAAGCGAACTAAACGTTTTATTATTATTTTGATGGTTGATGGGTTTTGAAACAAGGAAATCTGAAACAATGATGTTCAAATAAAACCGCAAAAATCAAAATTCAATTTTCGGTTATTATTTATTTATTTATTTAAACACATGTCTATTGGTACAAAAGGGCACCAGATACATATGCGCCACACAAAATAATGAAAGTAGGAAGAGAAGGGATGAAAAGATAAGGCGGACTGAAATGTACAACCAGAAGACTCTTTCAGTTAGGAAAGTTAGAACCATTCTTTATGTAGAAAGTAAAAGAAGGTTGCAGCAGGATCGCCACTGGCTTCTATTCTGAGCCATATCTGATAACGTCTCTAGCCACTGTTTCAAGATGGTGACACCAATTGAATTATCGTCACTGAGTCCAAACACACGATGCCGAACCCCTGCATTACTAACATTGTGTTGCCACTAAATGTCAGCAATCCTTCGGAGACAACGATGATCGAACACAGAGAGACGTCTAACATCCTCAACTCGGAGAGGCCAGGTTTCACAAGCATAGAGCAAAACTGCTCTCACCGACGCGTTGTAGATCCGACCTTTTACAGCCAGACTAACATCACGAAGGCGCCAAAGATGGCCCAGATTGGCATAAGCCGCTCTCGCTTTCATTATACGTGCATCAATCTCATCACTCACGCCACCACCAGCACTTATATAGCTACCTAGATACACGAACTTCTCAACTACTTCGATCTCCTCACAATCCAGGGTGAGTACAGGATGAGAATCCTGCCAGTCTTGTAGGAGTACTTTGCACTTGGAGGGTGCAAAGCACATGCCGTACCTGCGGACACTGATTGCCAACTGATTAAGTGCTGATTGCATGCCTTGGGCATTATCGCACAGTAAGACAATATCATCCGCATACTCGAGGTCGAGAAGTCGTTCTCCAGGCAACATATCTACACCGCCATTACTTACACCCATCAGAGCTGTTTCCAGGATGTCGTCGATGGCAAAGTTGAAGAGGAATGGTGAGATTGGGCAACCCTGCCTAACCCCACTGCTCGAATGGAACAAGGGAAAAAGGTGGTTGTATGCCCTCACTCTGCCTGAGGTGTTCGTATACAGGGCCTTTAAGATCTTAATGAACTTCTCAGGCACACCCTTCTTCAATAGACAATCCCAGAGAACAGTTCTGTAAAACGAATCGAAGGCCGCCCTGATATCAAGAAACACTACGATTGTTGGCCTGCGATAAGTATGACGGTGTTCTAACATTTGGCGGAGGGTGAAGATGTGATCAATGCATCCTCGACCAGTGTGCGAACGTTGAAGGAAGCCAGCTTGAACGGCATACGTGGTTTCAGAAAGACTGCTTCAGTATTCATTATCGGTGGAAGCATTCACTTTCAACCAGACAGTGACTGGAGATAGTTTAGATAGGACAGATTTTCCACCATGGGCGAGCTGCTGCATAAGTTGAAAAGTAAGGTTACACAAATTGGGGATAAAAGGGGGTGAGTTAGCGATATGGTAAATAATAATAATAATAATAATAATAATAATAATAATAATAATAATGTTAATTGTCTTGCTTTTAGTATGACCAGGGATATTATCGTCAATAGAGTTCATAATTTCATTCATTTGTGTAGGGCTTTAAGTATATACTAATGAGAAGTGGTATACGCTAGGGCCGAAACGGCTCCGTCAGCTGTTATCAAATAAAAAGACCCTCCAAATGACTTCAGTTAGTTTACACAATTCAAAAAATATACTCCCAAAGAGTACCACTAGACTCAGAGTAATACTATATTTTATTAGATAGTCAGAAAATAATAATACTTAAAAGCTACTATTTGCCTATGTTAATTAAAACGAGAAGTATTGATAGGTCTAAAAGAACAACTATGGTGTATAAAGAGCACTACTCACTAGAACCCTATCTATCTGACAATCATATTCAGAAAGTATACAGAATTGATAAACAATATATATGTTCCGATCACCATGACAAGAACAAAACATGATAAATCTAAACGGGTTTATGTTTAGCTTAATGAACCTGCAGTTCAAATATCCTCTAATAATTTATTTGTTAAACAACTTCTAACAATGTTTATTCTTGTATTCAATATTTTATCCATAAGTGTGCTATTTTGTTAAAAGATTAACCTATTCTACTGTCTTGTCATTGTACGTCGATTCAATTGACGTCAACAATTCGATCTTGTGAGCAGTTGTCCCTCGACATGTCGATCGGTATTCAATTTATTCATTTTAACAACAAAAACCTTTTTGATGTAACAAACTCTGATTCATAAAATACATAGTGATTATACATGGAAATTTGCATTGATTCAGCAAGCTATTTGTTTTAAATAAACACTATGAAAAATGGTACAGAATTGAAAAAATCAGAGTTTTGAACAGTTCTTGAATAGTCTTTAACGATATATTTAATAGTGTCTATTCAGGATTAAAAATGAGAGATAGAATATGGATTCATAATATAAGTGTTTATAATAAATCACGAATCATGTTTTTTTTCACACAATATGACACAGAAAGGAAGATTGACTCTAAAAACAAAATCGACGGTACCAAAATACATATAGTATGAATACACCCATAATATTATTAAAATCACCACACATTAAAAGAACAATAAAGAAAATAAACAGAGACAATTGCATGGAAACTTTACCTGGCCATGAACGAAGGAGAAGAATTAGACAATTTCTAGCACAGATCGGAAATGAAGGATATCTATCATCGCATTCCAGTGACAATCATATTAACAGAGAGAAAAGAGAGAACACAAATAACCTCATGTAACATGTCAAAAAGTGTTGATTAAAGCTTTAATAATTTTAAGTAGTAGTTTACAGAAGAGGAAAAGGAATTTAGTTAAACTGTATAGGGGTTTAAATATTGATGGGCTTTCGAGATCGAAATGCACAGAGTGAGTTTTAGTTTGACAATTATCGGTCGACTAAACAAATGAAAAACAATTTTGTTACAATACGTCAACCACTACTATAGGAACCAGGAAACGCAGAAAGTACGCCGTTTCAAACAACGACTTTAGTACATGTTGAAAATCCATGAATTTATATTCTTTTCCACAAGCTGAGTGTCCTATGAAGACATAAAAATAGTCTTTGATTGATGTAATTTAAGTCAAAGGTTTTTATCGTACCGTCATCTTTTGATTTTCACGAAATTTAAGATTTATATTTGTCTGTGTTTGGATAATCTAATTACCCAATATTCAATAAGAATACGCTTTTTTCACTCACACAATCTACATGATCCTCACAGTCAACTCAACAGAAACATACAAACATAAAGCTACAATAAACTGATTGTGTATAATTATAATAAATAAACAGCGGTTTGAAATTTAATAAAGAATGGAGACGCATATTATTCTAACTTAAAAGTATCCTATGCAAATGTTGACATACTTTGATGCTATAAGATGAATTTATCGCTGATTTTCTTTTTTAGACCCTGGCACAGTTTAAAAGAAAATACATAATTTTATTTATCGTAATAAACTCACACGTTGAAAGATAATTTTGATCGGTGCAGAAAATATGATGAAGATGTGAAAGTAACGAAGAATTTCTGCAATTTAATTTTTTTGATGGGAGAAGAATAGTGAAAATACATTATAAATACTTTCAGAAAGCATAGAAAGCAAATGATAAGCGTTTGGTAAGTCTAAAAATTATACACCACAATGATACAAATATTAATAAATGCACTTCCAATTCATTACTTATTCATTTTAAATTAATGGAATACTATGACTCAGTGATATGAGTAGAGTTAGAAGTACAATAGTGGTTTAATGGTAAAAACGAGTTGATATTCAACCAGTGCATTTCTAACTCGGTCATACATCACAATCGACTGAGTAGGTTGAGACATGTGCCACATATCCTTAACAAACACCTATTTTGACACATAAGATTGGCACAGGTTGAAGTATTTGGGGTTGGGGGAGTAACTTTAATCAATGATTTAAGAAACTGGGTGACGTAAAGCAAAAATAGATGCAGTGGGACAGATGTATCATTCTCTAGACCTCGAATTTCAATGCTATTGCATACCTTTTATTCTGTAAATTCATTTATTACTTCTGAATTATGTTCTCCATAACTAGTACAGTTTTTACTATCATTGACACTAATATTATTATTCTGATTTTTTTTATCAACATTTTTAATGCTAGCATGCTTTGTTGATGTAGTGAAGCAACTTGGAATGATATACACTCAAACTAGGTCCTAGGTTGAATATGGCTGCCTGAATAGTTCATTTAAACCACATTTAAGCCTACTTCGATTTGGATGATCGGTAATCTATCACTGGCCCACATACTCGAGCATGCGGCTAAAAATCCGGAGCAAAAGTTGGAACTTCATTAGGATTATTTTCTACTACACTGTGAAGAAAAAAAAATATTGATAATCATCAATTAAGGTTAGTAATAATAAGTGTGCCGCTTTCATTATGGACCATATTTATCATGGCTAACAGAAATATAAAATTACGATTACATAAGAACAATTCGGTTAATCATATTTAAGTAACTAACATTAGACTACAAGATGAAACCGAATTGTAAGGACGACCTAGAGCGACACATTAGCCAATCAAGAAATAATGTTTGGTTATGAAACAAATAATGATAAAAAGCAATAAACTTTCAGTAGATAAATAGTTTTAATATAATTGGTAAACTCTTATGTGTTGATTTAGTTATTAGTAATTTGTTCATTTTGCTTTTTATATTGCTGCTAAATAATAATGCCTGTGGGGCTCCAGCGGCTTCCATCTGTAAGCTTTGAAATTATGAAGTAATCCATTATTTGGATTCATCAGGTTTTTAATTTTTTTATTTATTTAAACACATAAATATTGGTACAAAAAGCACCAGATAAATATGCGCCTCACAAATCTCATTCGATTTGTGTGAGCGCTGTGATACTGCCCAGGTGCCCAGACTGAAGCAGGTGGTTTTCTTAGGGGGCCACACCACGAGCCTTTGATATAAAGGTCTAATCCACAAGGCAGTGGAGCATCGTGAGGAGACGCAGTCCCATAGTAGCCGGTGACCAATGATTGGTTCATACGCCATTTGTTCCTTCAGGATACTAGAGCCCATTTGCACCATTGGTTTGGAATCAGGGTTTTCCAACTCCCCTAGGTGGATCCTCCACATCCCCCAACCCGGTTAGAGCTCTGGACATTCGCTTTTCGTCCTCTCACTTTTGTGAACAACACGCCCGCCACGAGAAGGCTGTGAGTAGGACTTCCCTGGCAGAGGCTATATATTCGCGTGGCCATATGAGAGCATTTCGAGAGGGAGAGCAGACTCTCCCCACTCTCGGCCGTACCAGGGCATTTAGGGGCCCTCATCAGGTTATAAATGATTAATAAACAGTTTGCTATTATGAAATAGCACTTTATTGTGAAAAGGCGATTATATTCGGCTTTTCTAAGCAGTGTCGATAAAAATCGGTGATCCATCTAATTGCTTTTTTGTACTGCTTCTAATAATTCGTGCTGGGTCTTGGGTATCTTTCTTCTTTTGTGAGATTATGAAATGTGTCGTATTGTCGCTCAGTGGACTTAACTTCTGTTTTTTATTGGTTTAATCCCGAGTTTTGAGTGTGCTCCATTTGGTTTGGACAGCTGACTCCTATTTCAGGGTCAGCATATTTATCAAGTTAGTGTTCGTCTATTTGAGTCACATCGTTTGCATGAAGACTAGTGATACAACCCGTGATCCCCTTATTGAAAGATTGCATCCTTAACCAGTAAATCACTATATTGACTTACAGCTGAGTATACAGGATGTGTACTTGGTCACTGAGTCTCAATAATGATTAGGAAATAATAGGTTATTTGAAAGTTATACATATTTATGTAATTTTTCTTATTTAATCTAGATTTTTAAAAGCAGTCATGGAGTTTTTGATACCAGATCAAACATGCAGAACAGGTGTATCAGATTGCAAAACTGAAAAATGCACCAATCCAATTTCTCCTCCAGTAGTATATTCTATTCCAAGTAAATCTATGCAGTCATCAGATGGGCTATTACCAGTTGACGGACTTCTGAATGCAATCAGTGATAATCGTAATTTTATGCTACAAAATTTCATTACTTTTAACACACACGATAATATTGATCGCCTATTAGTTCATTCTCGTGAGAAAAACATATCTGAGAGTAATGTTACAAGCACTATCATGAATAACAATTCTAATACAAGTCGATCGAATTATTTAATCAGTCCGAATGCCAATTTCAATTTAGCTTGGCTTTCATATAATTGGCCTCATGCGTCAGCTGCTGGAATTTTAGCTGCTGGATTAATAACACATTTAGCACACTATCCTCCAGTATGTTTGCATTGTTCTGATTAACGTTTCTTACAAATATGTTTTCTTTTGTTTTGGAAGTAGTAGAAAAATAGATACTCTAGTTAGATGTTAGAGATTTATTCATTTATTTAATACAGATAAGTACTCATACAATAGGGCACCGAAATAAACATGTGTCACACAAATAAAGAAATTTAATTGTGAAGAAATAGAGGAAGTGGGGAGTAGGGAGTACAATCAGAAAGAAGTGAATGAATAGCATAATACGACTAGGAAGAATACTCTCAAGTAAGGAATTTCCTTTCATTTTTTCTGAAGACTACTAAATAACACTACAGCAAGATTTCCATCAGCCTCTATTCTATGTCATACCTGTCGACGTCTCAACCCACTATGTTGCATTATCTCTAGGACCTCAACTAGACAGTCGTGAAGGATCGACAGATGCCAGTCCTATACTGTTTTCCCTCATACCACTGCTTCATGCCATGAACTGACTGCTTATCCTCCTTTTCCAACCAGTACCAGAGTCGGAAAATAATGAACAATATAGAATTCGCTGAGGTGATATTCGCAATATATATTCAAGCCACAGAAGCCAGTGTTTCAAGATGTTGACACCAAGTGAGTTATCTTCACTGCACCCGAATACACATTGTTAAACTTCCGTATTGATAACATGATATAACTTCTGGATGTTAGCTATCTTTTAGTGACAACGATGATGGGAAACAAAGTCACCGAATATCTTCAACTTGGAGGTCAGTGTTTTTCAGGTATAGAGCAGGATCGCTCCAACCGAAACGTTGATAAGTTGACATTTTAAAACCACACAAACATCACAACGGGCCCAAAGATGAGCCTGATTGGTGTAAGCTGCTTTACTTCACATTATACGTTGAGTGGTCTCAACTTCTACGCCAACACCAGCACACACAGCTGCCTAAATACAAAAACTTTCCGACTACTTAAAAAGCTCATAGCAGACAATAACTAAAGGCTCATGCTCCTACCAGCTTTGCAGAAGTACTTTTCCTCTAAAAGGTACAAGTCACAGGCCGTGTTTACAAATATTGTCTTCTAACTGATCTAGTGAGATTTGTATAACTTGCCAGTTTATATTGGTATATATATATATATATATATATATATATATATATATATATATATATATATAAGCAAGGTATGTCTTACCGAAATAAGACTATTAGGTAAAAGTTGTGCATACTCTGAGCGATTAAGAACTGCAATCAGCGATAGAATAACAGCTTCGTGTATGCGTGACGAGTGATACGTATGCATTGTACTATTATTGCACACGAATGTAGTCATTAAAGCTTGAATTATAATTTGTCCAATTAATGGAAACAATAATAATAATTTTTTTTCTATTCCATTATCCATTGAAACGTTCGACTTGTTATTATCATTACTATTATCATTATTATAAAACTGTCGATGATGATTGTTGGTATGATCGACATCATGATGATGATCATAGTAGTAGTGGTAATAGTAATGACAATAATAATAGTAATAATTGGAATAAGATAATTTAATTTTTGAATGATTAACAACTGAAGGATTTGTGCGCAAAATTAAACGTTCTAAAGCCAAAATAACTAGAGAAAGAAAAAACAACAACAATTATTTGCAAATGAAATATATTCAAGAAAAAAAGGATATTTCCCTGTTCTCTGTGAAATTAGAATGGTCATATGAAATCTAATTCATTCATTTGTCAGGTCCTGATTAGTGTATTTAGAGTTTCGCTACAGTCTAAGTATGATGTATTAGTGGTATTACCCGATTGTTTAAACCGAAATACATGCAGTAGGGTTTGAGCCCGTGATTAGGTAGATGAAAGTTGAACATTTTAACTATTGAGCCACCACTCTATCACATTAACTAAAGGCGATACAAATAAGAAGAATATTTAAAGAGATGAATTGCATAGTTGGAGCACTTGATACCGGACCACTAATTCGGCTTAACCACTTCGGTTTTCAGAGCTAGATAGCAACAACACTTTATGAAACTATTGTGGGTCGAAATTAAACCCGTCATTAAAAAGTGATATCCTTCTTATCATTAATCAAAAATTAGAAAATGCTGCTAACTACTACAACGCTATGAGTAAACAGTCAAGAATTAGGTTTGATAGTCAAGTCTTTATTTCACTGACGGCTAACCGATAGACAAAGCAGAGTCACTGTTTTAAAGCCACTTTTGTCTTAGATGACACTTGCTAATATTTATTGTGTTATAATATTCAATACATAACTGTATAATTTTTTTAAAAAGCCTTGTTAGCTGATCAAATGTAGTTTATTACAATCTCGGTTCACTTTTAGTGAGTTGTGTTAATAATTAAGTCTGGTGTGTCGTTGCGATGTGGCCACACGGTTTAAACTGTCGATCAACAATCAGATCGTTTTAGAAATTAGAAATCGGTTATAAAAAATCCCAAAACCCAGCTCAGAATAGTAACTTAATTGTCAAAGTGCACTACATATGACGAATGTTTTGAATGTACACGTTGTAGGTGGCTTCAAGTAGTGCAATCTACTTTACTGACTACCTAAAGTATATCATTTTATGAGAAAATAATGTGACGAACTCGAGAGACAAACCTATACAAACCAGGAATTCATAAAGCATTAAGTACATATCTGATAGTTAAGTGAGTTATGCCTATTTTTATTCGTTTAATATGTGCTTAAAAACTTGCTGAGAGTGATATATATATATATATAAACTTTCGATATACTTCCTAATCACTGATATAAAATTAGAAATCGACTGAGCTAGAGCTGAAACAACCTCATCTCAATACAGTCACCTTGCTTCAGCACATGTGATTTCACAGGATACCAGATTTCTAAGTACAACTCTATTTTTTCATTACGTCTGTCCACTTCTTATTATGTCAGTACGCATGCGACTACTGATGAAATTAGTGTGAATATTAATTTGCATAAGCAAAAAAAATGGTATAATAGATTTACTAGACTTATTATTTGACGCCTTTCTTGTTTATCAAAAAACCACAGCATCAACTACAATCCAACCATACTAAAACGTGTGACGAGAAAATATTTTTGTAAATTTTATTTAATACAAATATGTCCCGGTACAACTAATGACAGTATATGGGCAATCCTTTTGGGGTACAATTATAGCAACGAAAACTGATCGGAGTCTAATTATAATAATCAACAAACGGGATAACACAAAAGCTTAACGAGTAAACATCAAACGCGTTGAAAAAGCTAACAGATATCAGGACTTCGTAACTCAAAGAGGAAATGTTTGATCGAACAGGTTACTATCCTTTCAATCACCAATGATTTTTAGTGAATAAATTGAAGACACGACTCACTAATTTCTAGATTGATTTATTCAGAGTTGAGACTTATAGTAGAGTGCAAATTTACTGAATACTGATTGATGGAAATAAAACCTTGGTAAGAGAAGAATGTCCATGAAATTGAGATGTAAATTATTCGAAACACGGTAAAACAAAAACAAACAATAATTGTTTTCTTACTTTAGGAGGTATAAACAACCAAATCAAAACGCTCACCTAATTCAGCAAGAATTAGTAAACAACCCCGAATAGTTGTATCTAGCTCCGAATCATTGAAACCACTTATTTTAACTTTTGCTTCTCCGAAATCTCCAATACGATGATGAAGATTTCGAGGTATATGGCGCGATACAACCGCAGGAACTCCCACACCTGATGCTGCATGAGCATCTCCTTTATTACTAGATTCATTTGAATTAGCAATTAAATAACGATGAACTTCTAAACAAGGAGCAGCAACAGCATGAATTATACTTGAAGGAATTAATTGTGGTGTAAGCCGAGTGATGTAGTAAATCAAACGCAGTACAATTTGGCGCTCACCAAAAGAAGATAGAAAAGATGGTGAAGAATTTCGAGTCGCTATAGTTGATTTTATAGGATGACCAGTATCCAAAAAAGGAGGACGAGAGAAACCTATCATAATGATTTTTTTAAAGTATTTCAAAAAAATGATAAACAAAGAAATTATTTCCATCAATTTATGTTTACCAACCTATTCCCTGATTGGGAGCGTACAAACTATTAATAAAAACCAACAATCCAGAAACCATTATGCGAAAATTACCAGTCAGTCATTATTGACATAGAGCCTACTGTAAATCTGCGTTGTCTCAAGTTATTACACTATATTAGCAGTATGAGATAGAACTAACGCGAAGAATTGCAAGAGATTGAAATAATATAGTGGCAACGATTAAGAAAACGACTTAACATTTGAAATATACTTCAGGAAAACAGGATGGAAAGGTACATACGAAAAAACTCTAAAATTTAAGATCGAAAGGTAGGGAGGATGCTTTGTGAACGACTCTGAACCATGTGACCCGAAATCTCCAAAAGCTGACCAGGGTTATCGCTTGGATTTCAACCAGGTAATCTGGATTCATCTAACAACACGGTCCAGATAAACAATCAAAGACCGTGAAGTAATGCCACGTCCTATTTTGGCTTTCCAAAGCTTTCTTCCAACCTACTTTCTACATCAGCAACCATCAAAGCAGGCGGTGGTTAGGCATGCAATAACGCCCACAAATGTCCTGGTACGGCCGAGAGTGGGGAGAGTCTGCTCTCCCTCTCGAAATGCTCTCATATGGCCACGCGAATATATAGCCTCTGCCAGGGAAGTCCTACTCACTGCCTTCTCGTGGCGGGCGTGTTGTTCACAAAAGTGAGAGGACGAAAAGCGAATGTCCGGCGCTTTAACCGGGTTGGTGGATGTGGAGGATCCACCTAGGGGAGTTGGAAAACCCTGATTCCAAACCAATGGTGCACATGGGCTCCAGTATCTTGAAGGAACGAATGGCGTATGAACCAACTGTTGGTCACCGGCTATCATGGGACTGCATCTCCTCACGATGCTCCACTGCCTTGTGGATTAGACCTTCATATCAAAGGCTCGTGGTGTGGCCCCCTAAGAAAACCACCTGCTTCAGTTTGGGCACCTGAGCAGTATCACAGCGCTCACACAAATCGAGTGAGATTTGTGAGGCGCATATTTATCTGGTGCTTCCTTGTACCTATATTTATGTGTTTAAATAAATAAATAAATAAAGTGCAATAACGCATTTCCTAGGCATTAAAGTCGATGAAGGTCTACAACATTATCAAACAATTTCCCACCTTTCTCTAGTAACCTCCGTCTAATCTTAACATTACTTACTTAATCGTTTCACGAAGCGCAGACAATACTTTGAAGAAGCATGGTCAAAAAACTGTGACCATAAAGGAATACAGAGTAAACTGCCGAGCAATATGCAAACGCTTTAGTTAATAGACAGGTATCTTCCTTAAGCCACAGACGATGAAAGTTCCCAAAAGTCAATCAAACTTTCAAAATCTGTGCTGAGATTGTCAAAATTGTGGTTGATTGATAGTATCAAGAAGATAACATACTACTTGGATAAACTATAGTGTATTTTCTAAGTCAATGAACGACTCTAGATCGTTTAATTTCTCAATTAGTTTGATAGATTATTAGAAGACGTACATATATCACATTACTTCTACTGTGCTAAGACCTAGAGAGAATATTCCTAATTGCGTGTGCAAAAAAACAGATTCATTTATTTTTCTTTACCACCCAACTGAACAGTTATCTAAAGGAATTCAAAAAGCTATAAACGGGAGCTGACTACTAAAATAATAATAAATAACCGTTATATAAATAAATTATTATCAACCACGTTTAATTTCAACAAATACTTCCCATGTAAAATAAAATTTATTACTCTTGGTTTTTATGCCATGAATTCTGTCCGTAGAGCTTTGGGCAAAACTTTTACAAGAAAAACAACACAAAACACTATATGTGCATTCATCACTTCAACTAGCGGCACAATTTGATTTTTATTAGTACAAATACAATGATACCCTATTGAACTACTTTACTATATTCTTTTAAATATTATTCACTTTACTTCTCGTTTTCGTTCTATCGTGTTCTGTTTTGACATATTTTGTAGCTTCGGTCTTACACTAAAATATGATGATCATTATCACTTACATCATTTCAATCGCTTATAAGTCTTCCATCACTAGACATTTCGCAATACAACTAACTCTTACAGATTTCCACATCGTTAGTCTTGTTTTTACATATATCATTGATCGTTAGAATTGTACCGGCCTAAACAAATAAAGGTTGTTTAATATCTGCTTTACAGCATCGATTGCAAAGACGTGAGATTACAAATTATATCAACTAAGCATCTTGTTGCATGAGTAGAGAAGGAATTTTAAAAGGTTGATTTTTCAAGTTAATAATCATTTCCAAGTATAGATTTTTATGATTGACTTTGACTAACAATGTTTGTTTGAGAGGCTAATACTGTAGCGAATAAGAACACTATTGGGGACAATCGAATGTATTTGGACTCAATATTACAGAACGTCTTAGTAAAATCTGAGAATCATACAGTAAATAATCAATTTGCAAAATGCCAATCAAGTGTCTCAAACTTGACTGTTTATTTTGCAAATATCAGTCAATCGTCTCAGATTTTATTGTTCCTGCATTTTCATGCCAATTGCTTTCCGTTTCCGTTCTTTCCTTCTCGATTTTATATGCCAGACATTCTATTCATGACTCACGACATACACTACTTATGTCGATAAGAGTAGCACATACTAAAATTCTACAATCCAGTAAACCAAAGCCGATGTAGGTAGAGCAGTTTGAACATGAAAGATAGGTACTTTAAGCACTAAGACAGACATCATATTCGTCAAGCTATGGTAGATAACTAAAGAGCCGTGCGTTAGACTATTCAAAAGAAAATAAACCAATCAGTAGATATATCAAAATATTGTCTTTATAATCACATTCACCCATAAAACTCCCTTCAAAATTCAACCAATCAAATATAGTTGACCTTGTCTCTTATTTCTAATGTTTCATTTTTAAGTACTTTCCAGAAGAGTAGTATCCTAAGCTATCATATCGAAAATCAAGCTCAAAGTTGATCACAAGAATCTGTACTTTGTAAGTGGATTACATTAAATTTAGTTTGTGCTCAGATTGTGTGAAACGCATAGAAAAAATAACTCATGAGGAAATGGACAAGGTCTCAATCAGGTTATGGATTCCATATTCACATAGCCTCTCTCCACTGACAAACATATGACAAGCTGAAAGCGTGAGTCAATTGAAGCTAGACCACTATGGGAAACATGGAAGCACTGGACGGCCGTTTCGTCCTATTATGGAACTCCCCTTCTGATAATAATAATAATATGCTTACTAGTGACTGATTACGAGAGGTAAATACAGGAGCTCTAGTGAGAAGTAGTGACCAGTGGAGTTCAAACCACGTCTGTTGTGAGATATCAACTCACTGAAGACAATTGGTGAACGGTTGCTCAAACTTCATCGATTGGTTGAAGTTAAACATTAACACCGTTGGATGCCGGCCAGCTCAGTGGTCTATCGGTTAAGTGCTCTGGCACGAGACTGGTGGGTCCTGGGTTCGAAACTTGCGAGGCGGGTTCGTGAACGTGCACTGTTGAGGAGTCCCATAATAGGACGAAACGGCCGTCCAGTGCTTCCAGGTTTTCCATGGTGGTCTAGCTTGAATTGACTCACGCTTTCAACTATGGAAATACTAAATCTCCACAAAACCCCTTCTGATAATAATATTACAAGCTAACAACCAGATGTTAGGCAAGGAATTAGGTTTGATTTTTATTAGCTGAAAATGACTGTGGTCTGAAACTGCTTGTTATACTGAAATGTTTATCGACACATTGAAAGTTTTATACAAAAGTAACTTAAACAATATTAAAGTAAATAAAAGTTCGACAGCTTTGCTCCTTACAGATAGTGCCGCTAAACTAAGTTGCCTGATCTAATCACTTCAAAAACACGTTACGTTTATAACGACAGTGGAGACTTGTTAGTTGAATGTTCTTCATATTTGAGTAGGCAGACAATATCTTACTGTACACTTATATGCAGACAACTCAAACTCCACCTAATCGATCCTTGATCAGTATCCATAGTGTTCCAACAAGACATTAGGTAGCTATATAAAATTAAGAGAAGTTTTTGAATTCATCGTTCTCGGGAGTGAACTACTGACCAAACTGAGAAGTCTGTGTCTAGATAGGTATCTAAGATTTATTGGTAGTGTTGGAAATAGGACTATATATGTATAAATATATATATATATATATATATATCAAACTCACCAACTCTTTGATTACATCAATCCGGGTATAAAATGCCTGTGGGTATGACTTTACAGACTACGTAATCAAATGGCTTGGATAGGAAGCAAACCCGAACCTAGTAAAGACTATGCCATTTTCTTATGGCCTACATAGACAATAAAATACTTCTTTGATAAATGAAACCGATTTTGGTTCGAAGGGCTAGTTTTGTGTACTATTATTAGATTTTTTTATTATCATTACTATTTTCCACCCTCCGGTTTTGAAACCTAACTCTGAATGTAGCCCCTCCGGGGACGGACAACATCACAAAGGTTTAATACGGCTATTCTTCGGGATACTGGCAAACTCAACGAATCCAAGATAGCCCTCAACAATAAGTTCCAGGCCTTTCATGATCTCAATGAAGGGGGAACTACCATGGAGAGAAACTGGAAAGGAATAAAAGAGACAATCACTTCAATGTGTCATGAGGTTCTGGGCCACAAGAAGTAAGTAACCTTTTGAAACATTATTTCGCATAGACCATTACTTATCACCCCACAGTCAAGTATAGTATCACATGAAATAACCAAATAGCACCATATAGAATACAAAATAATCAAAACTAACATAAAACAATGTAACATACATGTAGCATTTGTCCCTTTTAACAAAACACCAGAGGATTGATAATGATTACTAATTAGCTGATGATTTGATGATTCTTCACTCAACTGACAAGATGAAGAATTACATGTAGAACTGATTGGCGGATTCGATGTAACAAGGAATTTAGTACGGGGATTACTATTAACCCTTGAGGTAGCCGAAGAATTTCCAGACAGCCCATTTGATGAAATAAAGTTTGTGGGATAATAAGACAAGTCCATACATCTACAGTGAAAATTTTAAAAAAAACAATTGACATTTTATCTGATATTTAATATGTGCATATAGAAATATGTTGGTCAGCAATAGACACATTTATTTTTGCAGAGCTTCAAGATTAAGATTACACCTCATAGATAGCATTGGTTTACTGAAAAATTTAAATGTATACAATTCAAAGCAACAATTAGTCCGAGTATAGTTTTGGAATCGCGTGGAGAAAAATCAAAGTTTTTAAACGGCAAATTAAATGATGGAGAATACTAATACCTCAAGAGGAGGATTTGGGAGGTACTGTGTTCTCTAAGCTGGACAGTTTAGTCGAAAAGTTTTCATTGTCCTTCTAAACATTACCAGCTCCTACTATGAAATGAAGTGAGCTTTAGGAATATCTCGATAATCGACAAACAAATTCTTCTGTTGAAATTAATATTGATTGTTGTTCTTAATTGTATAGCCGCTGTTTGCACGTTTATTTTTATTGCCTTTTTCGTGAACCAGATAAACTAGATTCTTATACTTATGAATAAAACCTTTTAGGTACTTTGACATGTCAAAAAAGGAAATTAAGTGCAAATGGAACAGCGTGCAACCGTCCATAAATATTAAAGACATGAATCTTAGAGTTATTTTGAAATATTTAAAACTTACCGAGCAATCAATAGATCCAGACGACATTCCAAGAGTAGCTCAACATCAACGCTGCTATGTACATAATAACGAAGGCAACGTAAAGCTGCACACCGCAGTGAAGGATTATGGTGCCAAAGTGGTAAGCGTAAACTGAATAGAAAATTAGTATTAGATAAAAAGGGATTAAAATGTTTAAACTTTACGTATATGATTAGTTTGGAAAACCGAATAATATAAATGAAACTTTAAATCTTGTTTGGAATACATTTAAGCACTTTATAATAGAAAATAAGAAATTAATTATGAATAACGTTTACCAACAGCGACAATAAAACGCGTAAAAAATCAAAAGTGAAGGATTGCCACCAAGAAAGTTAGATAGCTACTGATCAGCGATCTTCAATGAGGTTTTACTAATATTGCAAACGGATTGAGATGAAGTCAAATAAATCAGTGAATTTTGACTAAGTAGAAGCTAAATGGAACCATTCATATTAGCAGCAGGACGTATAGGTTACTTTCAATCCAGTATGAGTTAGCACATACATAATAGTGATCAGTCCTCAACTAAACCGAAACAGTTGTTCAATCCTTTTGATGTTTAACGTCAGTCTATGGTGAAAGAAAATTTGATATCAGTTCAAACAACATTGAACTTCCGCTTTTCCCTACAACTAAAAAATGATTTGGAAACACTAGGGATTCGATGAAAAAATGCAGTTAACAACGTGCATTGTTTTTTTTATTATTATTAAGACTATTCTTGTCCCATTTCTACAATCATCATTACATTAAAAATAATCGTCATACAGTTATTGAGTAATAAACAAAACATTGGTATTCTTGATATTTCCTTGCAATAATCAAGATACCCAGACGAAAATAGTTGATATAATATCAAGGAATTGAGAAATATTTGACAAAAAATTAAATAAATGATAATCAAACTTAATCTAACAGACAGAAACAGGGTGATAAATTACTAAAATGATAAATACGTACATAAACTTATAGTTAATTGATCATATAGTTTCTGTTAGCTCGAAATTCAGTTTTTGGTGTAAAACAACACCAATATCATGGTATTTTATCATTTCACAAATATGGAAACGAGAAAAACATAGTTAAGTAAACTTTAGTCAGATTATACGAAAAATAGCAAAAAAGATAGTCGATATATTGGGTGATTGGACTTTAATATTAATGCATCAATGACCACTTAAACATCAGTTTATCACTCAGCTATAAGAACCACAAATCATTTGGAGATAAAGATTTATAAAATGTTAGAAAACTATGGATAAAATAGCTTAAACATAGAGTAAAAATGTAAACAAAAGTACTGAAAGAAATCACGTTAAGTATCCGTGTACAGATTATTGTACCAAGCTATTAGTTACATCCATTGTGATAATTACTTATGTTGCTTGACCGCCCAAATAATTCAATAACAAGTTTCATTTTTATCAATCATTCGAACGATTTTAAGCCATATAATTCAAAGTTAGTTATAAATCACCCAGACCCCAACCAGGAAGTCTATACCTATCGTCAATGACTTCATTAACTGATGCCACTTTTTGATTCGGCCGCCCCTAGATTTCTTCACGCAATACATGTCCCAGTCACATCAGTTGATGAAGATTTACTACACCCTCAACCGATTCGCCATCCATACCTAGTACCATATTCCCAAGCCAGGGGTTGCTTACTCAGTAGTCCCGAAATGCACGAACAATGCTTCATAGACACCCATAGTCGAATACCTGTAACCTACGAACATCGCCTACTCCTAATGGCCATGTTTCACATCCATAAAGTAGAACGAAATAAACTACTGCATTATAAACTGGTTCTTTGGTTGGTAAACGAATATATTGCCTACTCCATTAGTGGCGCATATTGGATAAAACCAATCGAGCTTCCTGAATTCGTGCCAAGATTTCCTCAGACACCCGACCATCAGGACTAATGAGACTCCCAAGATAACTGAAGCGGTCGATGTACCCAACCACTTCACTTCCTATCATTAGTTCGGGCGCTGGTACAGGTCAATCCTAAAGCAACATTATGCATTTTGAAGGTGAGGATCTCATCTCAAACATGCTTGCATTGTTGTTCAGTGGTCTAAAGACTACATTTTATCAATGTCTTCAAGCAGAACTATATCGTCTGCGTATTTTAAGTCAACAAGTGAATCTCTTAGTAGAAGATCGACCCTTGGAAAGTTTGACAATGAGCGCGCTAACTCTAAAGGAATGTCTGTGACAAAGTTAGATAAAAGTGGAGAAATCAGGCAACCCTGATGAACACTTGAAGTTACCAACTCTGATAACAGTTCCCCATAAGTTTCGACTCGGCCAGTAGTGTTCGAGTAGAGAGAGCCTGAATAAGGTTGGTGTAATTGTTTGGTCAACTCTCAATGACAGACAGTAGTAAAGAGCCTCACGATCAATAGAGTCAAATGTTACCTTAAGGTCAAGGAATATAATTATTGTCGGACGTAGAAAAATATGACTATGCCTCTTCCATCTCTTTTGCTCCTGCTATTTACCACTGCTCACGATCAATACGTAGGCTTCTCATGAGCCTATTTTTAAGTTGTCTCAGCTCCTAATCGTGTTCGGAGCCAGATGGGATGAATTTTCCGGCACCTATCGGTTTATCAGACGCCGCCGAAATTCTCCGATTTTTCTTAACCTTTTGGTTCAAGTTATTTGTAGATATCACTGCTGATTCCACAACTGTTTGGAAATCATGTCAAGCTACCTGGAGACTGACATCACTCTCATGGGTGACTAACTCCTCTAGTTGTTCATGAAATATATTCTCGGATTTTTCATCATTAAGTTTAAACTCAAGGTGTTTACTTGCTGTGACGTTTCTACGTCCCATAAGATGCAGACAAATACGTGCTCGTACTAGAGCATGAACCGAGTTGAAAAATCTGACCCAGAATGATTGGCAGTCTTCTCTCAAGCCTCTTCAACGATGACTGATGGTAATGTGGTCTATTTGAGTTTATCGATAAGTTGATTATAGAGGTCGTTACATCTGACGATGTTTCTCCTTATGTTTAAAGTTGGTGCTTATCAGAAATGGACGGTTATCTGAGCATAGTTACAACAGATGGTCGCCATTATCTGTTCGCTAGGCCACAACACCGTAAGACCCAGCTGAGTGCCTTTCAGTTTGGTTTAGTCAACCTACTTGGGTATTAAAATCATCTACATCAATGCGTTTGGCTTTTTAGAGGAGGTTGGATAGCTTCTTATAAACTTCATATTTAACATTATCCGAGCTCCAACCAGTTGAAACGTGGACAGAGACAACGGAAAGGCAACGGCGTGTCCCTCTATCTTTTCGAGTTCTTACTGTCCCGTTTAATCGGACAGCGCACAAGCGATTGTCCATTAGGATGCACTATATCAGAGCCTGTTCTGCTTTTGAACTTAATGCTAAACCTACACCAGCAAGGTCACAGGAAATACCAGTGGGGTGTGCAGATAATCGAAGGATAAATCGTGTCAGTTCTTTATATCGACAAGGTGTGGTCAAACGAATAACTGTACTTGAATCTTGTATGCGTGGTTCAGAGACGTAGCATACATCGATGGCGCGAGATTCTACAGTCCTAGCTAAAGAAGCCTAGTGTTCCATCCGATACAAGGTTCGAACATTAGAAGCTCTAAAGTATAGTTTAGAATGTTGTTTGGAGGAGACAAGGAATTACATTTTGTGAGCTCGAATCATTAGTATTGGCGGGGCGTGGTGATAAAGATATACGAGCAGGGTTATTCGTGGGGATGGGAGAATTATTAAGAGGTCAGGGAGGGATCTAATCGTCAATGAGATGATATCGGGCGTTGATACGGGTATGAAGACAGTTGTCACTTCCCGGTTGCCTACACCGTAGAAGGATATTTCTTCTTAAGGGACCTGATAAAGAAGCTGAATCAGTAGTGGTCTTACAGATCCGATAGTGAGACCGCAGAGCTATAAGTCCAAAACCTAGTTTTATTTTCTATTTCCAGCTATTCAATATCATCGATATTACTTCCCGTACACTGCTTTTTATCCTGTTAATTTCTCTTTTCACTTTGCTGTATGAGATGCGACAACTTGGACAGATACATATTTGTGACTAAGTAACCAAACAAAGTAATCAATGATGAAATTTTTATATGGTGAACAAAATTTAAGAAATCATAGCAAAATTAGTTGTGACTTACATATGGTACACTGATCGGAGAAGCGGAGTTCTTAGGTGAGGTAGTCCACGTACAGCCTCGAACACACGTTGCGATATAAGAACTAACACATTAAGTCTTGCAACAATTCTGCGCTGCGCAGACACTTGAAATGAAACATCTGATTCTTTAGAGCGCAGACAAGCGTTAGTAAAATCATTGTAAATCCCTTTTAATAAATTATTTAGAACATAAAATGTGTCTGCAAACAGAAAAAAGAACAATATAAAAGGGGGACACAAAGTATGATGACAAACAATAGGAATCAGAAGATATGATAAATAAGTTCGAGGTAACAACTTTGGTTTGACATTTAGACTAGTTTAGCTAAGCACTGCAGACAGACCATTTGAATAACCTTGTCACAAGTGTTTGCACCAATCTCCCCGAATCCCTAGCCATTTATTCATTTATTTGAATACATAAACATTGGTGCAAGGGGGTACCAAATACATATGCGCCACACTAACGATGAGGTTGTGAAGAGAAAGAGGTAAAGTGTGTACAATAAAAAGAACAACAATGAACAGAAACTAGTGTGTGAGAGTAAAATTATTATTATTGATATAATAATAATAATAATAATACTTATGTCTTATATTCTCATTATTTTATTCATGAATACTCATCATATCACCTTATTTATTTTCACACCTCTATAACCTTTATTTATTGTAGCAAAAACATTTTATTCATTTTAACGATCTTATTATATTCACTAAATCTATTATTATTACTCGTATTACGTAATCTAGTACTATAATCTTTCCATTACATCATCTTGGTCATTCGTGTTCACATTTCCTCACGGAATTAGTACTTTAACAAAACATTTTCATATATTTACGATTGTACAACTTGATAATAAATTCGTTGAAAAGAGATCCCTTCGCTGAACTTCGTGTTTTTAATTTTAATGTTTAAATGGGAATTATGTGTCAATAATAATAATAATAATAATAATAATAATAATAATAATAATAATAATAATGGGAGAAGCAGTTCAGTTAGGAAAAATACAACCAAAAAGAATTCCTTCAGTTAAGGAGGTTACGTCCACTTTTTATGAAGTAAAATAAATTTACAGCAGGATCGCCACTGGCTTCTATTCTGAGCCATATCTGATAACATCTCTAGCCACTGTGTTGCTCCATCTCTAGGACCCCAACCAGTGAATCGTGAAAGACTAACAGAAGCCAGTCCTGTGCAGTTTTCTTTCATACCACGACACTATGTCATACACTGACCACCTCCCCGCTTCTTCCAATCAGTCTCAGACTCGGCAAATAATGCACGACGAGAAATTCGTAGAACATGTTCAAGACACCGAAGTCGGTGTTTCAAGATGGTGACACCAATTGGATTATCGTCTCTGAGCCCGAACACACGATGCCCGACCTCTGCATTACTAACATGTTGTTGCCACTGGATGTCAGCTACCCTTCGGAGACAACGATTATCAAACACAAAGAGTCGTCAAACATCCTCAACTCGGAGAGACCAGCAAGCAATCCTAATATACAGCTTATGAGGAAAAAAATCATTATCGATTAAGATGAATGTCACATTAAATTCAGTGCGAACTCCGCTTATATACTTCCAATACATTTTTTGTATGATTTGTGTTTAATGACAAATTCTTCTCTTTTCTCTCTTTACGCCTGTTACTCCCAATGGAGCTTTGGCCGCCGACCACTTTTCTCCAACCCACTCTGTCCTGGGCTTCCTTTTCTAATTCTATCCAGTTCTTGTTCATTCTTCTCATGTCTGTCTCCATTTCTCGGTGTAATGTGTTCTTTGGTCTTCCTCTTCTCCGTTGACCTTCAGGATTCCATGTGAGGGCTTGTCTTGTGACGGAATCGGGTGATTTCCTCAAAGTGTGCCCAATCCACTTCCAGCACATCTTCCTGATTTCTTCCTCTGTTGAGATCTGGTTGGTTCTCTCCCGCAGTAGGTTGTTGCTGATAGTGTCTGGCCAACAGATCCGAAGTATTTTGCGTAGACAGCTGTTGATGAACACTTGTATCTTCTGGATAATGGCTTTCGTATTTCTCCACGTCTCCGCCCCATACAGTAGAACTGTCTTGACATTTGTATTGAAAATTCTAACCTTGGTGTTGGTTGACAATTGTTTTGAGCTCCAGATGTTTTTCAGTTGTAGGTATGCTGCTCTTGCTTTGCCGATCCGCGCCCTCACATCTGCATCTGATCCACCGTGTTCATCAATGATGCTGCCCAGATATGTAAAGGTTTCCACATCCTCCAAAGCTTCTCCGTCAAGTGTAATTTGATTGGTGCATATTGTGTTGTATCGGAGAGTCTTTCTTTTCCTTTTGTTTTTATTGAGACCTACTGCTGCTGAGGCTGCTGCTACACTGGTCATTTTCTCCTGCATTTGTTGTTGCGTTTGTGATAGAAGAGCCAGATCATCCGCGAAGTCTAAATCGTCAAGCTGCATCCTGCCTGTCCACTGTATCCCGTGATTTCCTCCAGATGTTGACGTCTTCATGACCCAGTCGATCACCAGGAGAAAGAGAAAGGGTGAGAGTAAGCAACCTTGCCTAACACCGGTCTTTACTTCAAACGAGTCGGTGAGTTGTCCTCCGTGGACGATTTGGCAGTTTAGTCCATCATAGGAGTTCCGTATGATATTGACTATCTTCTCAGGCACGCCGTAGTGTCGAAGAAGCCTCCATAGTGTCGTCCTGTCCACACTATCAAATGCCTTCTCGTAGTCGATGAAGTTGATGTAGAGTGATGAATTCCATTCGATTGATTGTTCCACAATGATCCGCAGAGTTGCGATTTGATCTGTGCACGATCTATCCTTACGAAATCCAGCTTGTTGATCTCGAAGTTGGGCGTCCACAGAATCCTTCATCCTGTTTAACAATACTCTGTTGAAGACTTTTCCTGGTATTGAGAGGAGAGTGATGCCCCTGTAGTTGTCGCACTTGCTCAGATCGTCTTTCTTTGGTATCTTGATCAGAAGTCCTTTTTTCCAATCTGTTGGTACTTGTTCTTCGTCCCAAATCTTACTGAAGAGGATGTGGAGTATCTTGGCAGTTGCTGCTACATTTGCTTTCAGTGCCTCTGCCGGAATGTTGTCTGGTCCCGCTGCTTTGCCACTCTTGACTTGTCTAATGGCCATGCTGATCTCTTCAGTTGTTGGTGGGCCAATATCGATTGGGAGGTCTGTGGGTGCTGCTTCGATGTTGGTGGATTCAGTGGGGCTGGTCGATTCAAGAGTTCTTTGAAGTGTTCTACCCACCTGTTTCGTTGTTCTTCAATGTCGGTGATTACTTTGCCTTCCTTGCTTTTCACTGGTCTTTCTGACTTACGGTAATTTCCAGCAAGTATTTTTGTTGTATCATACAATTGTCTCATGTTTCCTTCTCTTGCAGCCTTTTCCGCTGTCGTTGCTAAATCTTCAACATATTTACGTTTGTCGGTTCTGATGCTCCTCTTCACTTGCTTGTTTGCCTCTGTGTATTCGGCTTGTGCCTTGGCTTTTTCCGCTCTGGTTCGGCTGATATTGATTGCTGCCTTCTTGTTCCTCCTTGCTTCAATCTTATCCAGTGTACCAACAGTGATCCATTCCTTGTGATGGTGCTTTTTTTGGCCCAGAACCTCTTGACACGTTGAAACGATTGCCTCCTTGATACCTTTCCAGTTGCTCTCCATGGTAGTTCCCTCTCCATTGAGTAGATCATGAAAGGCCTAGAACCTGTTGCTGAGGGCTATGTTGAATTTTTTGAGTTTGTCATCATCTCGAAGAAAGGCCGTATTAAACTTTTGTGATGTTGTCCGCACCGTTGTCCACTGCTTCTTGAGTTTTAGTTTCATCTTGGCGACCAGCAAATGATTATCGGATGCTATATCAGTTCCTATTCTGGTTCTCACATCCTCCATCGTCCTCCTGAACATTTTGTTGATGCAGATATGGTCGATTTGATTCTGTGTAGTATGATCCGGTGAAATCCAAGTGGCATTGTGTATGTTTTTGTGTGAGAATATGGTGCCACCTACGACCAGTTTATTGAAGGCACATAGGTTTGCAAATCTCTCACCATTTTCGTTCCTTCCTCCCAGTCCATGTTGTCCCATGACGTCTTCGTATCCAGTGTTGTCCATTCCAACCTTAGCATTGAGATCTCCCATCAGAATTGTCAGGTCCTTGGTTGGGCACTTCTCGAAGATCGACTGCAGCCTATCGTAGAATTGGTCTTTAGCGTCTTCATCGTAGTCATTGGTAGGCGCATAGCATTGGATGACGTTCATTGTAATGCCCTCTCTCTTTGTTCTGAAGGAGGCTTTGATGATTCTTGGTCCATGAGATTCCCATCCTATAAGTGCATTTTTTTGCTTTTCTGGACAGCATCAATGCAACTCCTTGTGTATGTGGGGCATTTTCTTCTTCATGACCGGAGTATAACAGAAGTTCTCCTGAAGACAGTCGTTGTTGTCCAACCTGCGTCCAATGTGTTTTGCCGATTCCAAGAACCTCCAGGTTGTATTTTCTCATTTCTGCAGCAATTTGGAAAACTCTTCCGGTCTCCCACATTGTTCGGACATTCCATGTACCTATAAAAATTGTCGCTCTGGTTGTAAGAAGGTGCATCGGCCTCATGACTTCCGAAGGAACTCGGCTTTCATCATGAGACGTCATAATTATTCCTTCTACTCCCAGGGCAGAGTTTGAAAGGTTTGAATGATTTTTTCTGGTTAGCGTTTTTTTAGCGAGTTGATTTTCTACGAGATGGGGTCGCTAACCCCATGCCCAACCCTCCTCCTTTACCCGGGCTTGGGACCGGCAGTAACCCCCAGAGGAGCTACAGGCGGAGTTTTAGTGACAAATACTTAGCTTATAAATCCTAATCATTGTAACTGATATATAATCGATTAGCCTGAGTATATTTTCAATCATACTGTGTTCATCATTAACGGAACTCCCACTACTAAACTATTCTTCTTACTTTCGCTGGTGAGTAAGAGAAGACAACAGAAGTATACTGTAGATATGGATTCGTTCACTATATTGAAGTCGGAGTTGCGAAATATTAGCATAGCTCACAAATGGATCGGTCGGACAGATCACTAATAATAAAAATGGATAAGAACACTACCAGAACTATGTGATATATATTAGAGCAATACATTCCGAACAATATGATCACACCGCTGGTATATCACATAGTTCTGATAATATTTATCATCTTGTTACACTATACAAATTTATCAAACGGATTAACTGTTTTAAAGATGGATATACCTTTCTTCAAATCAATTTGCAAGAACGTCACGCTATATCGAAGTGAAGCTGAAATAAGAAAAAATAAAATGGTTTATTTATTTTAAAAAGTTTAGTTCAGTGGGACATTCAATGTAATAGGATGAAGTTAGTTCATTGCATTTTGCGAGTACTTATCAGTAATGGAAGATATTAACCCGTTCTCAAACCCCATGCTTCCAAACCCTAGTTACATTTATGTGAGCACATACCTTTTATATCAATCCATATGCTTTTATTTCTGCATAAAATTTATTTTTATTTTTACGATCGTCAGCGCTGTTTCTAAACAGTATTTCTAAAAGTTAATTATCTACGTGTTGTAATGGAGAATATGGATCCAAATTTAAAGGTGTCCTAGTAGTTAAAACTTGGGCAGCATCATTGACAAACACGGTGGATCTGATGCAGATGCGAAGGCGCGGATCAGCAAAGCAAGAGCAGCATATTTACAATTGAAAAACATCTGGAACTCAAAACAATAGTCAACCAACACTAAGATCAAAATTTTCAATACAAATGTCAAGACAGTTCTATTGTATGGAGCGGAAAGTTGGAGAGCTACGAAAACCATCATCCAGAAGATACAAGCGTTTATCAATAGTTATCTACACAAAATACTTCGGATCTGTTGGCCAGACACTATCAGCAACAACCTACTGCGGGAGAGAACCAACCAGATCTCAACAGAGGAAGAAATCAAGAAGAAGTGCTAGAAGTGGATAGGACACATATTGAGGAAAGCACCCAATCGCGTCATATAGCAAGTCCTCATATGGAATCCTGAAGGTCAAAGGAAAAGAGGAAGACCAAAGAACACATTACACCGAGAAATGGAGACAGACATGAGAAGAATGAACGAAAATTGGATAGAACTAGAAAGGAAGGACCAGAACAGAGTGGGTTGGAGAATGCTGGTCGGCGGCCAAAGCTCCATTGGGAGTAACAGGTGTAAGTAAGTAAGTAGTAGTTAAAACACTGAAATTTCAACTAATGAGTCACACAAATAAATAATATATTTGTAATATCCCAATGACACAAATACTACCCACAAAAAGGTCGTGTGTGACCGACCTCAAGCAGTTGTTCCTTGGGCACTGCGGTCACGCTCTCAGGTCATTAAGACCACTTCTAACCCAATTTCCTTTCCAGGTACCCCTAGAAGAACACTTCCACGGTGTGGGCAGCCGGGAAGTGATAACTGCCCTCATACCTCTAACAGCACTCAAGACCACTGTATTCATAATCAATCTCCTTCTTCAATTCCTACTATTCCTTCTACCTTGACTTTCAACACTAAACGTCCTGTTCCGGTTTCCTCCTCAAGTGTCACCATGGCCAACGATTCTAGTGCGCGAAACGCTGTCCCAGGTCTGCTAAAACCTCGCTCCAAACTACACATTGGAGCCTTCAACGTACGTACCCTATGCCAAATCGGTCAACAGGCCTCCTTGGATAAGACCCTAGAATATCGTACCATTGATGTATGCTGTGTCTCCGAAACACGCATACAGGATCCCAGTGTGGTCATTCACTTGACCTCACCTCGCCAAAATGGACAGCCAACGAAATACACCCTCCGTGTATCTGGCGACCCGTTGGCTAGTTCTCGCGGACTTGCAGGTGTAGGCATAGCACTAAGTACAAGGGCAGAACAGGCACTATTAGAATGGATCCCCGTTAACAGTCGCTTGTGTGCTGTCCGGTTGAATGGCTCCGTAAGAACTCGGAAGGATAGGGACACACGTCGTTGCCTTTTCGTCGTTTCTGCCTACGCTCCCACTGACTGCAGCCATGATGAAGTAAAAGATAACTTTTACAGAAAACTATCTGAGCTTCTTCAGAAAGCTAAGCGCTCAGACATAGTAGTCGTAGCGGGTGACTTTAATGCCCAGGTAGGCAGCTTAATTCAAACAGAAAGACATTTAGGTGGGTGTTTTAGTATTCCGGCTCAACGAACCGATAATGGTGATCGTCTGTTGCAACTATGCTCAGACAATAGTTTATTTTTAGCAAGCACTAATTTTAAACATAAGGAGAGACATCGTCTAACATGGCGACCACCTCCACCAAACCAACGATGGACTCAAATAGACCATATTGTCATCAATCATCGTTGGAGAGGCTCAATAGAAGATTGTCGCTCGTATTGGAATACTTGTTTAGACTCTGATCACGCTTTAATACGAGCGCGCATTTGTCTGCGCCTCAATGGACGCAGGAAAAGTACACTAAGAAGACCCATTAGGATTGAACTGGAGGACGAGAAAGCCAAATGCAAATTCCAGAAACAACTGAGTTCACATCTAGGCAGTTCTGTAAACGAGACTGACCCAGATGCTGCTTGGAAAGACACACGAACAGCTGTGGAAACAGCAGTCACATCTATTAGTCATTTAAACCATAGGGCTCCAAAAAACCAATGGATTTCTTCTAAGTCTATTTCACTGATGGATTCGCGTAAACTCATCCCATCAGGCTCTGAACACGATGAAGAGCGTAAACAAATTAGATCTAGGTTAACTAAAAGTCTAAGGAACGACCGTGAGCAGTGGTGAGCAACGAAAGCAAAAGAGATGGAAAAGGCAGCGGCTGTAGGCAACACCAGGCAACTACTTAGACTAATAAAAGAAACCGGAATTAAGAAGTCAAGTGTAAGTGAGACGATCTCGGAAAAAGACGGAACCCTTATCTGCTCTCAACCCAAACGTTTAGAACGATGGGCGGAACACTTTAAGGAGCAGTTTAGCTGGCCTTCAGCTACTGCACAACTACCCACTATTCCTAGAAAACCTGAATGGAACATTGAAGTAGCCCCCCCCCGACCCTACTTGAAGTTCAAAAGGCTATAACTAATCTGAAACGAGGAAGAGCAGCTGGTCCAGATGGATTGGCTCCAGAGGTCTTTAAATATGGTGGTTCAATTTTAGCGATTAGGTTGATTAATATTCTGGCTAAAATCTGGGAAACGGACGTAATCCCATCTGACTGATCACAATCTCTGATTGTCCCAATATATAACAAGGGGCCAAAATCATCCTGTGATAACCATAGAGGGATTAGTCGGACTAACATAGCATCTAAAATACTAGCCTCAATAATTATCGGGCGCCTAACTAAGACTCGTGAACTGCAAACACGAGAAAATCAGGCTGGCTTCAGACCTGGTCGTGGCTGTATCGACCACATATTCACCATTCATCAAGTTTTAGAGCACAGACATGCTTATCGGCGTCCGACAATGATAGTTTTTCTTGACTTGAAAGCAGCATTTGACTCTGTAGACCGAGAGGTTCTGTGGCAGTGTCTGTCATTGAAAGGTGTACCTGAGAAGCACATAAATCTTGTGAAGGCTCTTTACTCGAACACTACCAGTCGAGTGAGAGCTTATGGCGAACTGTCACCTGATTTTACAACCTCAAGTGGTGTCCGTCAAGACTGTCCACTATCCCCATTTTTGTTTAACTTCATTATAGACCTGTTGCTGGAAATAACACTCTCGTCGACTGAATTTTCAGGAATTGATCTTCTACCAGAGGGTCCACTTATCGACATAGAATACGCAGATGACATAGTCCTGTTTGGTGAAGACACTGACAAAATGCAGAGTCTTCTGTTGGAATTCAGTAATAATGCCAGGATGTTTGGGATGCGTTTCTCCCCATCCAAATGTAAATTGTTACTCCAGGACTGGCCTGCGTCAACACCTGAACTAAGGGTAGGGAGTGAAGTAGTCGAACGCGTTGACAACTTCACTTATCTTGGAAGTCTGATCAGCCCTAATGGGTTGGTGTCTGACGAAATCTCAACACAGATTCAAAAAGCTCGTTTGGCATTTGCCAACTTACGTCACCTATGGCGAAGACGAGATATCCGTCTATCAATTAAGGGACGAGTATACTGTGCAGCAGTTCGTTCTGTTCTACTTTACGGCTGCGAAACATGGCCATTAAGAGTAGGAGATACTCGTAGGTTACTAGTATTTGACCACAGATGCCTTAGAAATATTGCTCGCATCTGCTGGGATAACCGGGTAAGTAATAGTGAGGTTAGACGCAGGGTATTAGGGAATGATGATAAATCAGTTGATGAGGTGATGAATCTTCAGCGACTGAGATGGTTAGGCCACGTGTTACGTATGCCTGAACACTGATTACCACGACGCGCTATGCTGACTAGTGTAGGGGATGGTTGGAAGAGAGTTAGGGGCGGCCAAACCAAAACATGGAATCAGTGCTTGAAGTCACTAACTTCTAGTCTGAGCCATGTTGGCAGATGCAGACTACCTGGTTGGGGTCCGCGTGACTATCGTAACCAATGGTTGGAGACTCTGGGTGACATGGCCCATAATCGATCACAATGGCGTAGGTGTATACACTCTTTATCTTCCCTTAAACCTCGAGATTAAAATTGCTTCATAACTTTTTTTCTTTCTATACTATATCCTTATATACAACCTATAATTTATATACTACTACCACCACTAAATTAATTACTTCTATGAATCCGGTGTTCATCTTGTTGTGCCAACGAGGTATGGCAACTTGGACCGATGCATATATGTGCCTGGTCCCACGTTGTCGCTGACTGACTAACTGAATATCCCAATGAGTAGCAAAAATAGGTTTTCTGACGATTCGTGACTCAGTGTAAGCCAATTCTTCAGAGAATAAATAAAAAGAAGTGGCTTACACTGAGTCGCTAAACGTCAGAAAATCTAATTTTTCTACTCATTGGGATATTACAAATATATTATTTATTTATAACAATCTACCCAATGCTCAACTTATTCTATCCAGTATCATGATTAATCCTGTGATAAAAAAATGTGGCTTTAAATACAGTACACAGGTTTATACTTGGCTGACATTGATATTTACTTGATTGATAATAACAAATACATAACAGAAAATAGGTTTGAGATTATCAGTTTTACTGTGGATATGGATAGGCTAAAATACCTTTAAAAATATCGAACTAGATTTCTGACACTGGGGAAGTCGTATATATGAAAAGATTATTTTATTTTATTTAAACACATAAATATTGGTACAAGGAAGCACCAGATAAATTTATTTATTTATTTATTTAAACACATAAATATTGGTACAAAAAGCACCAGATAAATATGCGCCTCACAAATCTCACTCGATTTGTGTGAGGGCTGAGATACTGCTCAGGTGCCCAAACTGAAGCAGGTGGTTTTCTTAGGGGGCCACACCACGAGCCTTTGACCTAAAGGTCTGATCCACAAGGCAGTGGAGCATCGTGAGAAGATGCAGTCCCATGATAGCCGGTGACCAACAGTTGGTTCATACGCCATTCGTTCCTTCAAGATACTGGAGCCCATGTGCACCATTGGTTTGGAATCAGGGTTTTCCAACTCCCCTAGGTGGATCCTCCACATCCACCAACCCGGTTAAAGCGCCGGACATTCGCTTTTCGTCCTCTCACTTTTGTGAACAACACGCCCGCCACGAGAAGGCAGTGAGTAGGACTTCCCTGGCAGAGGCTATATATTCGCGTGGCCATATGAGAGCATTTCGAGAGGGAGAGCAGACTCTCCCCACTCTCGGCCGTACCAGGGCATTTGGGGGCAATGAAAAGATATTACCTGACGAAGTGTTAAGCTGAGTAATTTTGAATACTAAAATTCCGTAATGCGAAGCTTAGACTTATCAACATATTGTTTAAAGTGGCAAGCTCAGTGTTTCATCAAGATAACATTTTTTGTACTTAAAGAAAGTCATAAGATGAAAGCGAATATTAGAGAGAACAGTGTGGATTATTATTATTTGGGATTGTTCATAAACCTTCATTATATTAAGAACTATCGTTTAGAAACTCACGTTTCTCTACACAAATGGATCTACATTTATTTAAAAAGTACAGCTTATCAAAACTATCATTGAGGATGATTCACTATGCTAATAAACTAACCTTTTACTACGATATATAACAGACCAATTAAAAAAATAATCACAAAGTTGTGTATTAAGCCACATATAGCCAACACGCCATTAACAGTTAAGTATTGAACACTAACTGAAGCGATGGCTCGGAGGCTAAGGCGTTCAACTCACAACCATCAAGTCGAGAGTTCGAGCTCCCGTATCAAATACTTCGGTTAATGCAACCGCATAGTCACCAGCCCCACACTTAAATGTGGTCCAAAAGTGAATACGTCAATCAGTATCTTGGATATGATTTGAGTAAATAAACAAACAACTCACTGAGTCAACCTACAGTTAGGGACAAATGTATGATAACCCATGTTGCCGCATCACATCACCACAGAGCGACATTACTAAATATGAATAGCTGAGCTGAAATATTAGTTAAAGACTGCATATAGAAGAATACGGTTCGAAGAGATGACTTCGAAGGATAGAAACTATGGAATACGGTTAAAACTCAAGACAGTAGAAGATAAAGTGAGTGCATTTAATCCATTGTGGTCACTTTCGAGTCATGTTAACGTCTGATAGTTCAAACCTTACTCAAGTTGTCTGCAACTACTAACAAGGTTTAGTCCAACAGCCAATGATCCCAGTGAAATACTTGGCTCCCAGGGTTTTTACCAGTACACTTCTATTCCAGTCAACATCGCCAATCGAGAGGGGAGAGAGCAGTACTCAGACTACCTGGTTTACGAGCACAAATGCCAACATGGAGGTGGGTATTTCTAGATTACATTGTTGATTTTTTTGATGCTAGCAACAATACTATGTAAAATACTGTTGATTTATAGGAGATACAGAGCAGTATTTTGGTTGTTTGTTTAGATCTTAAAAAGTAAGCCAATAGGTTAAAAACAACGTACAGTCTGGGACAGATGTCCATTAGTCTCAATCGCCACTCTTCGCATCAGCTGAGAAACAGGAAACTTACAACCAGAAATGCGATTGTAAAAAAGTACGAAATTCAAAAAAAATATAGTTCAAAATAGACAAATGAAATTTTGGGGTAAGGAGTATTAACTAATACCAGAACTGAACAAGCATACCTGGTGAGTTTTTATCAAAGTCCACAAAACAACTGAGTAGCAGACAACAAACTATCCGAACAAGGAGTATTCCAAGATGACTATTTACCACAACGAACATTATATGCTTGGTAGGAAACCTTTATAAGCAAACTATGAAAACTTCAGTGCGTCTTGCCAGAGTTGTGCTTTAACGAATCAGATCAAATATACGGCTTTGAAACACTAAATCAGACTTGCTTTCTAACTTAGTCCCACTATTTTGGCACCAGTTATACTCTTAAAAATTTCCATTCCTCTTTAATTTGTAGAACCAGCTACAACACATCAGATTCCTCGTTGACATAAGTGCCTATGTTGGATAACAGTGAATCATCAAGAATTTTTAGACGGACAATAGGACACTTGCATACATAGGTGCGATCGAAACGCCAAATAGCTACGGACGATTGCTGTCCAGAATAATTGTAATTGACCGTTACAATGCAAATTTACTAGTCTAGTCGAGAGCAATTGAACTCCGCTACTTAAGGGACTAAAGAGATTCCAGCGAACAAGATAAATATCAACAAACGAAATCACTTAGTGAGATTTGATTATTATGTTTAATTTAATAAAGCGTAGGATGTGCTGTCTTTCTCCATTAGTATGCAGTGTCCCAAGAGGATATTAAATTAACAAGCTCAAGCTTTTATTTGGTATAAAAAATGATAGAGCTACAAAGCCCACCTATCAATTTATATTCCCAGACAATATTTAAAATAAAACGTAAGTAAATGCCAATGTCCGCTTAAGCACTGTAAGAACTAGTTCACAGACGAATCGCTCGAACAATGTCAACATTGCCAAACAGACATACATGTGTCAGGAACAACTTAGGTAATGAAACACAGATCTGGACTCATGTGGAATAAAATTTACCAAGACAGCAATAACGAATGGACTATACAAATGTCTCACCTCCAGTTGGTCTGAATCCTTTTAAGTCACGCAAACGAAACTCTTGGTGCATTTAAACGATTAGTATTTAAACCCTGAATACGAGATTGTCAGTTTTTATTGTTTTATGCAACAAAGGTTTCCGGGAAAATCGTCTGTCCCCTCACCATACGAAATATCCATAAGACCTGATAATCTATGGACAATGGAAAATCACGCCAGACCTCTGTTTAGGTTTCTATTGGTTTATTTTTATGAGCGTCTGGTATAGAGGTGGATATACACAATCGTCCAACTCCTCGTGATCAAATCGTTGCCAACTCAGTCCTTCAGGTGTTTAGTGGTGAAAAGACCACCCCGACGGCCTTGGACGAACCAATCAGAATTAAGATTGCGCCCTATGGATTTTGCAAGACATTAAAACTGTAGTGGATGATACTCCTTGAGAAGCAATTAACTCAGTAAAATTCAATGGTATCGGGCTCTCAAACGCTCAAGCTTATAAAAATGTCTATTATTCAGCTAGAAGGCAATTTTCTGGTGATGCGACGAGGCCGTGGAATACGGGCGCCTTGCGAGAAACATCAGTGACCTTGAGAACTTTGACCTGCAATAGTCAGAAAAAGGTTGAAAAAATAGTGTGAGTTATCAGGAATACAATCAAGAGCTAAGATTCTGATTTAGAAATGAAATTTAGGGCTTTTGTTACAAACTAGTATCGGCTATAATGCTAAAATGCTATCAACCAAAAACCGAGACCCACAACGATAACTATAATGATGGTTGCACGAACACCTGGATGACAAAGCTTTGCAACATATTGAAGACATTGTGTCGATAATGTTTCAATACTATTGGATGATCCCTACATGTGCATGTATCAGTTAGCGAGGTTTTCTTACCTATTCCGATCTGTTCAATGTATAGTTTCAGGGTTGTCCAAATTAACTGGTGCTGAAGATCGGTGTCTCGTTTTTGAAGCCACCAGAGTTTAGGAAGATCGATCACTTGAAAACTGTTCAAAGAATTCATACGACACAAAGCGTTTGGAACTACATTGTTTGTTCCAGAAACGTTTTGTATATCTGAAGTAAACTGCAAAATGTAGTCTAGTTGTCGAGAATCTCAAGGAGAATATTTGTTTGAAGATTAACTTAAAGAAAAGGTAAGAGGTTTGTGATCGTTGAAAAGGGTGAATTTTCGACCTCTCATGGAGTCTCGAAAGTACTATACAGCACAGGACATAACTAGGAGCTCCCTACCGAAAATGCTATGCTTCAATCTAGTTTCCAGTAACCGCCTCGAGAAGAATGTCAAAGGTTGTCCTAAAAAATCTAAGGAGGTGGTGCCGATTCGATTTCTCTGGATCTTTAAAGTAATGCCGTGTTTTTACTGTCTTTCAAAGACAAGGTCCACATGCTGAAGATGAGATTTTCTTTACGGACTTGCAAACAAGCAGTCATCAAAAAATGTCATCGATGAACCGTTGGAAAGTCTGGACAGCATTTCTTAAGCCTAAAGGCATTTACGAAAATTCGTGGAGTCTGAAAGGGGTGATGATAGCGGTTTTCGAAATATTGTCAGTAGCCATGGGAATTCGGTTATAGGCTTTACCTGCTTTGCAAACTACACAACTCCTCTAGTGGCCTTGGGATAAACTCGACATTTTTAAGTAATCTAGGTATATCGTAGTTACAGATTACAGTTATGTTTTCATTTAATTGGTTACCCAGATGTAGATACCTCTGAATAATTTATATAATAGAACTACTGGGTGTAAATCTTAGCTTTGTTGTAGTTTTTCTTCAATCATGATCGATTGCATTACGTTTGATACGTTCATAACATGATGGAGTAGCAATTTCATCGCATAAAACTTCACACTTTTCAAGTAAGCCAGCAAAAATAACTGAGAATAAAATACACCCAACATCATGGATAACGATAATTTAAACAATAATCAACGCTTCATTTTGATGTTTTGCCAGGGGCAAAATAGTGAACGAGAGTTAAACTTATCTTTAACCCTCAGGTGGACTGGAAGTAAACCTTTTGCCGGTTCGTAACTTTGACGGTCTGCTTAGCGACCAATCAAAACGAAGCGGAAATTGTCATTCTCACCATCTCTGTAACCAATGTGGGTTGTCTTGCCTTGTTCTGAGTGTTTTTCCTTTGGTATTCTTGTCTTTCTGCAAAACCAAATGACGTGAATAGCACTCAGTACATATGAGCGAATGAAAATGCACCTTAATTAATTATTTGTATCGATTCGACATACAGCACTAACACAGGGAGTAAGTGGAAGTGCTCCACTTATGGTACGTCATCAGTTGTAAACTGTTGACTGCTACAAATAACTGTGGACGCAGGACCCCGACTTTATTCACCTGAACGAAGAAAAAGAGGAAGCTGCAGTGGGAATCACGTATCAATTTAAACTAAACGCGACGAATGCCAGTCATACGGAAACATTCGCAATTAATTGTATGTGATCCATTATCTCTTTTGGTGGAAGCAACTTATAGTACAGCCCACACAGGTTTATGTGCACTTCATGGGTGTGGAGCTATATCTAAATAGATTCATCATTCAATATTAAAGCCAAATTGCCTATGAACTGCAGCAAACTTTATCAGGCTCGCCTCATAATTAAAACGCATAGTGGCACTCTCTTAAACAAACTGGATGAAGTGGAAACGCAATTGGGCTACAGTTTCTTCGGTGACATGGTTACTTTAAGTAACCATACAAATAACCAAATTGAAAGTTCGTAGAAACAACTGAAATGCAGGTTATGTCACAGAGATTCTTTATGTGAATGTATGTGGGAGACATACAAGTGGCAGTTACAAATAAGTGGACGTAAGCCATTGGAGTCAAGATAACACTGTGGTTGCAAAAGTAGTTTTGCTACATGGGAGGGTTACACACCTCTCTTAAGCAGGTTGACTAAGTACACTGAGTTTTTAGCCCTTAGAGATTATAAAAAAGAAGTATGATATACAGTGAAAGCAGTGTGTTATCACGAATGTTCTTTGCGGACCGCAGTCAATATCCCATGAATCAACTACTCAAGTTTCAGTTCTGTGTCGTCATTTATCGAGACTTATCTACTTTCAGCGTGGAAACCATCTCTGAAGTCCGTCACTAGTGAAGTAGACAAGAAGTTCAAGGTTGCTGTAATGTGTAACAGACTGCAGATTCCAGCTTTCCTCTATTGAAAATAGTTTTTTGGGATGACGTTTTTGAGATTTCAGTGGTTATTACGTTCTGGAACACTGCATATTTCGATAACATACACCGTAACACTATATCTATTTCTCCCATAGTAAGTCCAAATTTTCTTTCCAAACTGACGCTTATTCTCTACTAAATGCACCTACTAGGCTAATATCCCTATTCTAAATATTAGGTGATCAATGAACAAAAAGTCGCTCAATGTGCATCTGCCGAATAATGTCATTTGCTGAAATGCAGGTTATGTCACAGAGATTCTTTATGTAAATGTATGTTGGAGACATACAAGTGGCAAACACAAAGAAGTAGACGTAAGCCATTGGAGTCAAGATAACACTGTGGTCGTAAAAGTAGTTTTACTACGTGTACACATGTACGTGAGGTAAATATATAAGGCAGATTAAGTGTTTTTAAGCAGAGAATAATACATATAAATACATACAAACTCAGGCGTATGGTCTGCGAACTCACACCGAGCGTTTTTATCACTTTTTTCCAAACTCAGCACTATTTTACAATGCATGACGACAGAAACAGTCGAGATACCTTTTTGTATTTGTAGGCGGATTGATGTGGTTTGGTATTTTGACTTAAAGCAGGCTCATATAGAAGGCGCCAAGGTTTCTCTGTCGTTTTCAGAAAAGGCTATGGTAATACTATGGGTCTACATCAATAGTACTTTACGTGTGATTCACTAATGCGATGAATTAGTGATAAGTTGGAGCGAGGGAAATGCAATAAATATGATACATCATTGTCTAGTACCCTGATTCATCATGTACCGCACAAGTTGCAAGTTCTCAACTTCAGATTCCGGGAGCCAGTTACATTATGGCGCATACAGAATCTCTTACTGAACGTTTTCTAACTTAGATACTTAACAAAACCAACGGCAATGAAAAGTGAGGTAACTCTACTTACTAAATTTATGTGCTTTATCACTTCCTTTAAGTGTCATTATTATGTTGACCAAGCTAAATTATACGACAAACAATAATACTATACTAAAGAGGTCTCGTAATTAACGTTTCATTTCAACGGACATGTTTCTTTAAGGGGTTGAATAAAGATAATTAGAGCTACAAAGCCTCAAAAGGGCTAGAAGCTAATAAAACTTACCTGTACAGGGACAAACGATATTGTTTCCAGACTAAAGGCTACGGTCACTAAGAAATCAAAACATGGTTTACAGTACAAATGTAAGAACAAAACTTGACCTAAAATCTTTTTCTACTATTCTCTGACGGTCTACTTCAAAACAACCACCACTACTATTAAGCTTCTCATGACTTAGGATACCATTACAGCATGTAATACGCGTGCCCGACGTAATGCAGCATAACAAGTTGGTTAAAACTTATAGTCACAGCGAAATCCATAAAATCCACTAAAAACTACATCATAATGTGATAAATTCATTGTATACATGGACGTAAACATGACCATTATCCCGGTCGAAGACAAGCTTAGTTGGCATGACAACGTTGAGCATACTTCCAATCCCCAAGTAGGCTACTATTAAATTCAACTCGAATTCGTAATCTTGGAACTCTACTTAGCGGCCAATCAGAATGAAGCGCGATTTATTGTAAATACTGGCGGTCGGCTTTCTTCGTTCTGCTTTTTCTCTGCTATTTCTTTTGTGTAGCTGCATAATTTAACGTTTCAGTGTACTGAAATACCTCAGTTAATGTAATACTTTTAATGTTGGCACAAATTTTCTTTGATTTAGCTTTGCATTTTCTGCTTTTGCTGCCGCTACTCAATTCAATGTATTCCTTCAAGCAGTCCGTTTTGTTTTGAGTATTGTTTTGTAGATATTGAAAATGAAAGCTAGTTTTTTGTTGAAATAAGTGTTGTTACTTCCTGGGACTTTGGCTGTCTTCATGTTCGTTCCTATGTGAACAGTTATAAATGTCATTTATGATGTTGTCGTGAGCAGTTGCTCATTATCTCCGGTTTATTTTCTTCATTATTATGTTAACCTGTCAACGAGTCAAACTAATACTGAGTGTCCAGTAGAAGTGAATATCGGTAATGTTTTCGAGAAGATTGAGGCCCAGGCACCTAACAACCCTGAACCTAATCAGAGATACCATCGATCTACTGCAGAAGCTTTGCTATTAAAAATATGCTATATAACAGTACTAGATGAGTTGAACTCAGCACATCGTGCGTAAAACCAAGCTTAACATTGAAAATCCAGGAATCCGCTAGCAGTATGTAGTGAGTGTTTGATTTTTTGGCCAATAAAGGAAGCCGGACGGTCATGGTAAGGGAAAGGGGTAATTAACTGTTATTATGCTCACTTTTTCAATAGATTAATGCTTACCGGTTTCAAAGTCATGTTTTTTGTGATATGATGTTAACTGGTATGTAATAGCTTTGTCTAAGACGTCCTATAACCACCCTTGAGATGAGAAGCACCTGCGAATTTCTGCCTTCTTATTCGAATTATTTTTGGACAACTGTCTCCCAGTTTGAATGCTTTGTACTATCTAAGGAACTCGATTTTGATGACATTCATAATAACAGTATGGCTTTCTCACACAGTAAATTCAATTTTTCTTTCAAAATAGACGTTTAAGTCTTCCTAAATGCACCTGTTAAGCTAATATCCTATATATATATATATTCTATTTCAGGTAATCGATGAAGACAAGTAGCGCCATGCGCATATGCTGTATATTACTCTCATTTCCAACTGTTATGTCTTACTTTTGAAAAATAAAATCGTTGTACTCTGTAAATACACACTTATTTGCCTTGATGGAGATAAGGGGTTCATGACATGTTCAACATGACTGTGTTAGTATTTTCACTAAGAAGATAAGTGAGCTCGTAGACCGATGTATGGCACCATACGGGTTCTTCTGTGTTACTAGTGTTTCATTAGTATAGGTAAAGACGTTGCTGGCATATCGTAGGGCATTTAAGCAAGCAACTATGAGATTAGACGCATGGATGGTTGGGATGTGCGTAGTGCGCTTCCATCTATCAACTGCCGTGAACACGTCAGGTGGGTGGAATAGGTAAGAAGGCCTGAGTCTGTAGGTTTCTCAAGAAAACAACGAAGATGTGTGCTATATCACTAAAATTTATTACATATAAACTAGGTGCTGAGATGCTCGTGATTCACAAATTTCTTACGACTGTCGACTTGCTAAAACAAAATAGCATAAGATCGGCAAATTTATTCAGGACGTTTCATTAACAATGGAATATCAAGCAAACATTTACACCAGGTTTCTATTTAGATCTCGCTTTGGTAATGTTAAGTTGTTGTCCTTGTTATTTTTTTAAACTAAGTGGTGGAAGAAGTGACTCATAAATACTGCAAGTGATTATGAGACTAAAGTGGAGACGCTGTTAATTGAGTCTCCCGTAAACAGTTTCACTGGGCCATTGTTCTAACGACGAAACAGTTTGTAAGATCTGTGAAGGCTCACTCCTGTTGGATTGTAAATGGAAAAAAGTAGTAATGGCTTTAACCGAAAATCTAGAATAGGTAAATAAACAAATTACATGTTTTGAAGCACGAAATTTTCGCAGTCGTGATTTACCCGAGTTCATGAACACTGGTTTAAGATCATGCTAGCTGATACAACCTGTGCAAAGCATAGCATGTTTTGAGCTCAGTATTGCACAGCTCTTATTATTTTGTTCCCATTTAAGTATTTCAATGCGTCAACGTCTGGTTTGACAGAAAGATATGCAAGTAGAGTTAGTGTCTGATAAACCGAAATTCCCAGCTGTCAAAAAGATTTTTAATGTTTATCCACAGCCAACTGCATTTAATTTAGACACAGAACACTCCTCATCCAGGACTGTACACTGCTAATTTTTAGGAAAGTAAAAACACAGATACTTAGCCATCCTGCTATCGATGTTAACGTTGATAAAATTGATTAATGACCGTGATCTTGAAATATGGTCAGAGCTAGACGTACAGTCTGAAAATGAACACTATCTTATAATCCATGACAGCAACAGCACTTAAAGCATTCTTTTCCTATTCGCAAACACACTGATGTGAATTAGTATACTCATTAAAAGCAGGCTAATACGACGAGTCACTGCAGTTTCTCAGTAGTTTTTATCGAAGGTTAACTTATTACAATGGATCCATATCACTACTATATAACGTGTAAGTTATTGACGAAATAAATAAGCGCAATGTTAGGTCCAGCGGAAATATGATAAATATGATACATCAATATAACATTTTCGTGATTTCCTCTGTTCTGCACAAATTCTAAGCTCTCAACTTCAGCTTCCTGGGGCTATATACGCTGTAGTGTATATACATAATTTCACACTGATCATTTTCTAGTTGTGACGTTTAAGCATGCTAACAATTCGGCGTGTATTTAGGCGAAAAGTGGACAGTTTGAAACGCAGAGCGACATAAAGGGAGAAATCGTCACCATTTCTCCGGACAGGCGAAAAAGCAGACATTTTGAAGAGTTTTTTCCATAATTTCCCCTTGTTTTCCAACGCATTCTTCCTTTTATTTCCCCTTCGTTGGTTGTTTAGTATATACAATAGCCAAGAATACTAAACTATGCATGCGTTATAATTATTGTTTCATTTGCACAGACAATTTGCTTAAAGTAGCTAAATGTAGATAACTAAGCCTATAAACCCAAAATAAGAACTATATGCTAGTAGGACTTACCTAACAGACAGCGGTCGCTTACTCATAGAAATATAGTTCACGGAAAAACAAACCTTTCTCCATTAACATTATTCGTTGACAGTCTACTTGAAAAGAAGCCAACGGTGTAGTTAAATTTATTGTAATTTCGGATATCATCCCAGCAAACAATGCACGTCCGGCGTAACGTAGCCAGGCGTGGCATATATAAATTACAACCAGAGCAAAATTCACAACATAATCTAGTTGTTTATTAAAAAATTCATGATTTAACAAATTAAATGACTTCATGAACGCAAACATGACTGTTATCACACTTGACGATACATTGGGTTTACGTGGAAACGTTGAGGTTAAGTCCACCCTACAAGTGAGATAGCGTGATTTAATTCTCCGCCGAAATGTTTGTTTATTTTTACTGACCTTGAAACAAATCAAGAGTAATAATAGTGAGTCACTTTAATTGAAAATGTTTATTCTGAACTAAAATTCTCTTTTCTGGTTTCTTTACAACCTGCACATGATGCTAAGATATGCTGTATTGCGGTGCATCAAATCAATCTCAAAGCGTTGCAGTTTCTTCGCTAATCAGGTGCTGAAGGTCCTGTAAGTTCGTAATCTATGTGATCACTGCGCAGAATTCACTCTTCGATGTAACTAATACATGAATTTTGTGTTTTAGACACTCCATAAATGAATGGAAATTGCTACACTTTCAAATGGTTTTTGGACGTCATGTTGGTGAACTTGTGTATTTAGTTAAACATGGTTTTCAGGGTTGTGAAATGGTAGGTGAATCGGGTTATCAACTTAGAAATTTGCCAAACAACCGCTCTAAGCGTAACATAGAGATCGAGTGTGATTCCAGTACCTGCGGGCATCAATCTAAGCGTCCACGTCGTTCTGACTCGACCTCATCACATAAAGAGAACAATGGAATCTGTACGGCGCCAAAAAACATGTTCCCATCTAGGTCTAGAATACCTCCATTAAGGAGCATTCATCCGATGAATACGATCAATGAGTCCACAAATGTGTCAACACTTGTTCGGCGACTTAAAGTACCTGGAGATTTAAGTGAAACTACTACACGGCTGACGCGTTCATGTAGTGTCAAAACAAGTCCAGTTGTCAACCAAAAACGTACTTTGCGAAGCAGTCGCCGACGCAGCATTCAAACTATTCCGAATGCCATATTACAGGTTAGGCTGGAACGTTTCCCTGTTCAATCTTTTTCTGGCAAAAAGTCTGACTTGGCTGTCGGTTCGTGTAATAGCAGTTTGGCGAATGAATCACAGACAGAAACTAAGGCTTCAAAAGAGTTGCTATCCTTGTTCTCTCCCAGAAGATTTAGTTCAGCTGGAAAAGATCAGGCAGCCAAGCTAAAGCGACTAAATAGAAGGCGCATGGAGTTCGACGTTCAAGAATTAAACCAGTCTTTTGGCTGCGATCTTTCTCCTTCATCTTCCGACTCACTACATGTAAGTAAAAGCTTTAATTATGTAATTTAAAATGTCCATTATTGGTGTTCAGTGACTATTCAGTATCGTAGCCTAGTTACTATATGTTAATTTCCACTTTTTAGTGACCTCAAGATTCATATAATCTACTTGTCTTAAAACGGAAAGTTTACAGGTCTACGTAATTGCTCACTTCAACTTTGTATTTACTCTATCTAACAGAATTTTTATACTTTATGACAGTCGGTAATTTTTGTGGGTTATAAGTTTCTTGACTTAGCTACTTTTCCTTAATAATTTCGAATTTTTCAGGATCAATCTGTAGTGGGTGATCCCCTGGAAAAATTATTGCGGTTATGCGGCCAAACTGAAATCAAGTCATTCGATGAATATTTTGATCATACGTATGATACTCATTTATAAGTTCATAATTTTGTTTATAGAATAGTTGAAAGTATGGTGAAAATTGGCGAGGGTGTGTATGGTGAGGTATTTCAGTCACCGAAGGGCAATGTAGTCAAAATCTTCCCTGTGGATGGAGAAGATCTTGTTAATGGTGAGAAGCAAATGAAGTTTGAAGAAGTTTATCCCGAAGTGTTCGTGTCGCAGTAAGTCTAAGGTGTTTATTTTCAATCATCATTAGGAGGTTAAGTGAGCTTGCATACAAGTATCGACGTAACCGGTCAGTCAATTTTGCTCAGCTAAAAAGGTAAATACTTGTACGCTTTCATTTCACTTCCTTTCCAGAGCAACTGTTGTTCGAGGAAAACTACCTAAGGCTTTAGCTTCAAGTTGGAGAAAATATGAAAGTCAACGGGGTTCAGACAACGAATGTCTGGACTTCTTACCTGCTGAACAACAATGGATGGTTTTAGAATCTGAATTTGCTGGAGAGCCACTTTCCAATGTACGAGTAAGTATTATTACATGGAATTTCCAAAGTTGCGCAATTGTAGTAACTCATACTTCAACTATACACTAAGTCATTATAACTTCATTTATTTAGAATTTCTATACGATTTTTAGTTATACTTCTTGTCTCCAAATCCGGCCAGTTTTCTAATCTCAGTCCACCAAATTTTTCGGTTGTGACTCCTGTGACTCGGGGTATTTCTGTAATGTCTCCTTATACAGGTTAGTCGTCGACTCAATATTAGGTTTTATTTTGAGTAATCTATCAGAGGAGTTATGATCTATGGTGTTTCTAATTCGCCGACTAGAAAGGCCCACTTGACAGTACCGGTTACTAAATAGCGCTTTAGAATAAACTGATTGTCCTGCTTCAGTTTGGGCACCTGGGCAGTATCACAGCCCTCACACAAGTCAAATGAGATTTGTATGACGCGTATGTGTCTGGTGCCCTCCTGTACCAATATTTATGTTTAAATAAATAAACAAATAAAATATACTAATTGTACTATCTCACCATTTAATATCCACAAATAGTTTTATCTTGAGTTTTTATTTTGCCAAGGCACCACTAATTGTCCTCACAAAATTACACCTGTTACTCCTCATGGAGCATAAACCACTGACCAGAAATCTCTAACCTACTTCGCTCTGGGCTGTCGGTCTTTCCCACATGCTATTCATTATTTTGATGTTCGCCTCTAATTCTCTGTACAATATGTTATTTGTCATCCGTTTCCTTTTTGCCTTAAGGATCCCAAGTTAGAACTTGCCTTGTGATGCACTTTGAAAATTTCAGTAGTATGATCTATCCACCCTCGACGTCTTCTAATTTCCTCTTCAGCTGGAAGCTGGTTTGTCCTCTGCCTGAATATGTTGTTGCTGATGATGTTTGCTCAACGGATATGGAGTGTCTTGCGTGGAAAGCTGTATATAAGTATCTGTATCTTTTTGGATGATAGTTGTAGTACTGCATGTTTCAGCTCTGTACAGTAGAACTATGTTGACGTTTGTATTAAGCATTCTGACTTCGGTGTTGTTTTGAGTTCTAGATATTCTTCAATTATAAGAATTCTCCCCTTGCTTTGTCAATCTGTGCCTTCATATCTCCTCCTGGTACCCCAGCGTTTATGAGTAATGCTGTACAGGTACATAGTAGTTTCGATCTCTTCCAAAGCGTCTCCATCAATTGTGATTTGGTTGGTGCTCGTCATGCTGTATTTCAGGATCTTTTTTTCCCGTGTGAATGTTGAAACATAGTGCCGCAGGGACTGCTGGTATGCTGGCTTTCTTCGCCTGGATTGGTTGTTGTGTATGGGGTAGAAGAGCTAGAACATCTACAGAACCCAAGTCATTTAGCTGAATCCAAGCTGTCAACTAAAATGTGGAGTTCTTCATAATCCATTCAACCATCAGAAGAAAAAGGAGAGAATAAGCAGCTTTGTCTGACACTGGTCTTCAATTGGAATGCATTTGTTAGTTGCCCTCTGTGGAGGACTGTGCATTGCGATCTGTCGTAAGAAGTCCGTATGATAATGACAATCTTAGGTACACCAGTGTCGAAGAGGATTCCATAAGGTTCTCTTATCTGCCCTGTCAAATGATTTTTCTTAGTCAATGAAGTTGATGTTTGGTGATTAGTTCCATTTGATTGACTGTTCGACAGTGATCCGTTGTGTCTCGAATTTTTCGGTACATGGTTGATCCGTACAAACTATAGACTGTTGGTATCAAAATTGATCGTCCACTGGATTTGTCATTCGGTTCAACAACACTGCGTTGGAGATTTTGCTTGTTACTAGTAGTAGTGTTATGTCTTTTTACCTCCTACACTTAACCGAATCTCCTTTCTTCGATTTCTTGAGGTGTCGTTCTTTTTAGTTTATCGGCATTTGTCATTCCGCCCCCAGTGTTCCAACTGATATGCCATCAGATTCTAATGCTTTCCCACTCTTGTTTAATCTGATGGACATGCTGATTTCTTCGATGGTTGGTGGAGCGACGTGTACAGGGAGGTCTGTAGGTGCTGCATAGATGTCCGGTGGGGTTTCGATAGAGATCCATTCCTTATGATGATTATAAGTGCTGTCCATAACCTCCAGGCATGTTGAAGTTAGTGCTTCTGTAATCCATTTCCGTTTGTTCTCTATAGTAGTTTCCTTTCATTTAAGTAGATCTTGTAAGGTTTGAAACTTGTTGCTGAGAGCTATCTTGAATTCGCTGAGTTCGTTGGTCTCTCTATAGAAAACTGTACCAGACGTTTATTATGGTATTTGTCCAGTGCTCCTTTAGCTTCGGTTTCAGCTTGGCCACCACCAGGTGGTGATCCGAGGTTATATCAATTCCTCTCTTTGTTATGTTTTCCATGAATCTTCTGATGCAAATGTGATCAGTCAGATTCCTTGTAGTGTGGTCCGGTGAAACCCATGTAGCTTTGTGTATGAGTTTGCCGAGAAAATAGTGAAACCCATAAGCATTTTGCTAAAAACACATGGATTTGCAAATCCCTCACCGTTTCGTTTCTTTTTCCTAGTCAATGTCGTCCCATGATATCTCCATACCTGATGTTGTCCATTCCAACCTTGGAGGTTAGGTCTCCCATCAGGATGGTCAGGCCCTTTCCTAGGCATCTCTCTGCGATCGACTGCAGTCTCATTAAACTGATCTTTATCGCCTTCACTGCTATCATTATTGGCCCATAGCACTGGGTGATATTCATTGTAATCTGTTCTTTCTTTTTTTGAAGGATGATTCGAGGATCCTGGATCCATGAGATTCGCATCCTATAGGTGCTTTCCGCACTTCTTTGGAGAGCATCGGCGCAACTTATGTGTGAGAGGCGTTTTCTTCATGACCAGAATACAACAGCACCTTTCCCGCGACTTGCGTCAAATGGGTTTTACTTATTTCAAGCGTCGACAGGTTATATCTTATGATTTCTGCCGCTAATAGAATGGTCCTTCCGGTCTCCTTGGTTGTGCGGAGATTCTATGTACCTATATTAATTGTTGCTCTGGTTTTCAAAAGCGGCATCGGCCTAGTAATTTCCTAAGAATCTCGGCTATCACCATGGGGCGTCATAACTTCGAAATGAAGAGCTTTTAACTCCTAAGGGAGAATTTAGATGGTGAAACTTATTTTTTCTGGTTAACGTTTTTTGAGCAATGTTCTTTTCTGTGAGACGGGGTTTCTAGCCCCATGCCCAGTCCTCCTTTATTCGGGCTTGGAGCTGGCAGTAAACCTAGTGGGGCTCCCAGTGAAGTTGTTGACACAAAGTGAAAAAAGATTAAAAGACCCAAAATAATCTCAGTAAACTTCGTTTTCTTTGGTGGTTACTAGTCCCAACTTGAGGTCCGACTTTCTCATTTTCATAGTCTCAAATCGCAATGATTTACTTTTGTTTAAAAATTTGTAGATTATCGATTTCCTCAGAATACTATAGTTTACATACCATTGCTATTTATATGTTTCTTAAAGCTGAATGAAAATCTTTGTCTATTGGTTACATTTGCAGTTTGAAATCAACATCAATAGATAAACAGTATTCTGGGGAAGTTTTGGTTAAAACGTAGGTGTTATATATGTTAGTACAGATCTCTTCAGTGATTTAGTTCAGTAGTAATTTGGATATTATTTGTGTTATACACAGAACCTTTCATCACAACAGTAGTAGCAGGTTTAGACATGAAAAATGTACTCCCAGCTGTTATTTGTGTATACTTAGTTGATCTTAGTGATTTTAGTACTACATGCTCTTTATCGATGTTACATTTATATGTTTATGAAGTTCAACACTTGCCGTGAAGCTCGTTCTGTGATTGAACAGATAGCATTGTCCTTGGCTGCCGCTGAATCTGCTCTTCAATTTGAACATAGAGACTTACATTGGCATAATGTATTGGTCCGACCTACTCGACAATCAAAACTGCGTTATCGTGTTGGGGGAGTGAGTTATGCCGTTTTCACTGAAGGAATACAAGTTACAATAATTGATTTCACAGTATCCCGTCTTTGTCATGGTACGGATTATTTTTTACACATCTCTCCATACGCATTTAGAATGTTTCGTTCTATTCACTATTATACTTAATATATGAGTTCTGTTGACTTGAAACATCAAAGGATCTCTCGTATCTTATTTACTCCAGGTAGTACCTAGTCTATTTTAATGGATATTTATATATATGGATGTTTTTAATAGCTATAGTATTTGTTTATTTGAACATATTGGTACAAAAGGACACCACACAAAAAGAAAGTCAGGTTGTAAAGATATAAACGAAGGAAGATGAGTGTAATAAAGAAAAAAAACAAGTAAATAGAGCAAAGAATTGTGGGAAGGGCAGTTCTGTTAAGGAAAAATACATCCAGAAAAAATTCTTTCAGTTCAAAAAGTTCTTTTCACTTATATGAAGAAAGTAAAAAGAAATTACAGTTATGAGTCGTATCTGGTGACATATCAAGCCAATTATGTTGTACTCTATGACCTCATCCAGGGAGTCGTAAAGAACCGACAGACATTAATCCTGCACAACTTTCATAACATGGTACTATCATAACCTAACTAAACAGGTTAGTTTGGACGGGATACACGGCTTCAGGAAGGCTTGTTCAAAATTCAGTGGTAGCATCCAACTGTCGACCAGTTCGTGACCTGATATCGTTTAGATGGGAAAGGATTTCTACCACAAGCGAGCTGTTGGGTAAGTTAAAGACCAAAAAAGTACACAAAGTGGATATGAAAGGAAATAGACAAGTGATGAAATGCAAAATAAAAATGAGTGCTACTAAATAGTTGAATATAAGTTGAGAGAGTATTTCCTTCAGTTATAGTCACCATCCACGAGGCAGTAGAGCAACGTCAGGGAATACTATGATAGCCGGTGACCAAGTATAGGTTCATATGCCGTTAGTTTGGAATCAGACTTTTCCCCTACATGCCTCCTGCATATTGACCAGTCCAGTTTAAGCATCGGACATTTGTCTTCCATCCTCTCACTCTTCCAGTGAATATCCCCGTCACGAGAAGGCGTTGAGTAGAGCTTACCTAGTAATGGCCATATGAGAGTATTTCGAGAGGGGAAGCGAACTTTCCCCACCCTCGGCCGTCCCAGGGCATTTGAAGGCAAAGCCGTAGGTGAACGCTCGTCCAACCCGGCTAAAGACTTAATTCTAGACAGAATAGTTAATCTCTTTTCACATCACTTTACTAAAGTAATGAATAAACGCAAACAGTGAGAACTAAAGATAAAACAAAACTTAGATGCTCATTTCTGCAAATCACATAGAACTTGTTCCTAATGTATGATTTTTCACCAAATAGAATTCAAAGTTAATCAATATAAAGACCAAATCATACTAGCTAAAGTAGTGAAAAACTAATAATGTATTCTGTACTTGCATAGATTCTGTTTTAACTTTTCCGGATTTCGTAAGTTGACTCCCTCACTAAGCACTTGGATATGGAGCACACTGGGTATCAGGGTTAATTATATTAACCAACTGCCCAAACCCAAGTAGGTGGTGAGGGTTTCGAACCTGAGACTTAGTGCCCTACATATTATTTAATTATTCAAAAACAGGAATGGTAATTAAGCAGTTCGTAGGGTTGACTTGAGAATGTAAATATACATAAATAATTTTATGGAGAAATTTAATGCAACAACCTGGTGAGGAATACAGTCCTTTAATTTCATTACTTATTTATTTAAACACATAAATATTGGTACAAAAAGCACCAGATAAATATGCGCCTCACAAATCTCACTTGATTTGTGTGAGGGCTGAGATACTGCTCAGGTGCCCAAACTGAAGCAGGTGGTTTTCTTAGGGGGCCACACCACGAGCCTTTGACCTAAAGGTCTGATCCACAAGGCAGTGGAGCATCGTGAGAAGATGCAGTCCCATGATAGCCGGTGACCAACAGTTGGTTCATACGCCATTCGTTCCTTCAAGATACTGGAGCCCATGTGCACCATTGGTTTGGAATCAGGGTTTTCCAACTCCCCTAGGTGGATCCTCCACATCCACCAACCCGGTTAAAGCGCCGGACATTCGCTTTTCGTCCTCTCACTTTTGTGAACAACACGCCCGCCACGAGAAGGCAGTGAGTAGGACTTCCCTGGCAGAGGCTATATATTCGCGTGGCCATATGAGAGCATTTCGAGAGGGAGAGCGGACTCTCTCATTTAAATAACAGCCTAAATGATTTGACTCTACTGAAGGTAGTCATAAAAAACTAAAATAAACGTCTGATCATATTATCTAACTTTCTTTCTCACATTCTTAACCCCATTAGTGATATTAAGCGGTATTTAGTTTCTGAAGAAAATGGCTGAAGTCTCGCAAATGCATTCTATTTAGTTATATTTCTTACCTTTAACAGTGAATCTTACTAACTATTGTTGTTGTATACATTCACTACAAAATATTACTACTATCAATTGTCTCTAGAAATCTCATACTCTGGTATTGGACCATCTTGCTTGTTAAAGGTTATTAAATTAGAAACAGTAACTTTCCTGACTATGACCGGAAATAAATACAGAGGTGAATTTCCAATAGCATGCGTTTTCCTTTGGAACCGTAAATTCGTACCATCGATTACTTACGAACATTCGACACCTCACAGAACAGTTTCTTATCACTTAGTGATCAGATTGCATTATTGTATGGGCCACCCGGCGTCAATTTAGCATTTAGATTCAGTGTTTACATTATTTGCTTTTTCCTTGGGTAGCTTGAAAAAATTACATCTCATGTATTAATAAACTAGTAATATAACTTCTGATCTATCCATTTTTAATTTCTAGAAGGCAACATTGTTTACGTTGATATGTCAGAGTCACCAGAAATTTTTGAGTGTGAAGGGGATTATCAATTCGACATTTACCGTATAATGCGCGAAAACAATGGGTATGTTATAAGTGGCATTTTTGTTCTCGTACTTTCTTTTAAGTGATGTAATCATTTCGTCTTATGTTTACATGCATAACTTCCCAGAATTAGTTGCATTTAGGCTTCGTGATGCTTTCTTAGTATTCACTAACGCATCTGTTACAATTGGATGAGCACTCCACCCCACGATACGTCTATTTATAAACTTTCAGAAAAACGAGTGAAAACGGACTAATCATAAACCATTTGATTTGAGATCTTTACTGTTAATGATTATATACTGAACTTGTGCTAAAAACTAGTCTCAATAATTCACCGTACATATGTTGAACACAAAATATTTCAAAAATAACTTTATTTGCGGACTGCTGCAAAGGACGGGTTTACTGTGCAGCAGTCCGTTCCGTCCTACTTTATGGCAGTGAAGCGTGGCCGATAAGAGTAGAGGATATTCGTAGACTACTAGTGTTCGATCATAGGTGTCTTCGAAGCATTGCTCGTATATCCTGGGACCACCGGGTAAGTAATGCAGTTGTTTGGAAACGGGTACTAGGTAAGGATGGCAAATCGATTGATGAAGTAGTAAAACTTCATCAGTTGAGATGGCTGGGACATGTGTTACCTATGCCCAACCACCGACTGCCCTGACGTGCAATGCTTTATGGTGTAGGAGTAGGTTGGAAAAAAGCTATAGGCGGCCAGACCAAAACATGGCATAAATCCATGAAGTCGCTGACAAGTGGACTGGGCCATGTTGGTAAGTGTAGACTACGTGGTTGGGATTCGCGAGATGATAGCAACCGATGATTAGAGACCTTAAATGACATTGCTCAAAATCGTTTGCAATGGTGAAGGTGCATCCACTCTTTGTGTTCTACCAAATTCTAATCTGAATTCTTCATGTCTGTATCCTTTTTCGCTTTCCAAATTTATTTCACCCTATTATACTTTTTCAATAACATCTTCAAACCCTTATCTTTCACATAACACTTATACTCTTACTACTTCTACCACTATGGGATTTGAATCAGCAACTTCATCTCTGTGCTAATGTGGTATGGCAACTCGAACTGATGTACGCACGTACGAAGTTCTACGTTGTAGCTGACTGACTTATTTTTCACGTGCTCTGCAAATTAATCATCAATCAGTCACGGCATATAGCCTGTTTGAAATATCTCTTAACCCAAGTTTATATATCATATTACAAAAGTGAGATAAAATTATTCCAAGACACCCTAGATTACATGATTCAGCCTCTAAAGTGAATACATTTGCGCCATTACAACTGATTTTGAGCCATGTCACTCAAAGTCTGTACATTTTGGTTGCGATAATCACGTGGATCTTAACCAGGTAGCCTGTACATTTTGTCAGTTCAATTATCAATGACTTCGTGGAATAGTACCAAGTTAAGGCAAGTAACAATTAAACACGTCCCAAACATGTCAGTTGATGAAGATTTACTACACCCTCAACCGATTCGCCATCCATACCTAGTACCATATTCCCAAGCCAGGGGTTGCTTACTCAGTAGTCCCGAAATGCACGAACAATGCTTCATAGACACCCATAGTCGAATACCTGTAACCTACGAACATCGCCTACTCCTAATGGCCATGTTTCACATCCATAAAGTAGAACGAAATAAACTACTGCATTATAAACTGGTTCTTTGGTTGGTAAACGAATATATTGCCTACTCCATTAGTGGCGCATATTGGATAAAACCAATCGAGCTTCCTGAATTCGTGCCAAGATTTCCTCAGACACCCGACCATCAGGACTAATGAGACTCCCAAGATAACTGAAGCGGTCGATGTACCCAACCACTTCACTTCCTATCATTAGTTCGGGCGCTGGTACAGGTCAATCCTAAAGCAACATTATGCATTTTGAAGGTGAGGATCTCATCTCAAACATGCTTGCATTGTTGTTCAGTGGTCTAAAGACTACATTTTATCAATGTCTTCAAGCAGAACTATATCGTCTGCGTATTTTAAGTCAACAAGTGAATCTCTTAGTAGAAGATCGACCCTTGGAAAGTTTGACAATGAGCGCGCTAACTCTAAAGGAATGTCTGTGACAAAGTTAGATAAAAGTGGAGAAATCAGGCAACCCTGATGAACACTTGAAGTTACCAACTCTGATAACAGTTCCCCATAAGTTTCGACTCGGCCAGTAGTGTTCGAGTAGAGAGCCTGCACAAGGTTTTAGTTACAGTTATAACTTCTCCATTATCATAATACTAAGTCTTTTATTTATTTTGTCTTACAGGAATGATTGGCGTCCCTTTCATCCAAGTTCCAATCTTTATTGGCTTCATTATCTTATGGGGAAACTTTTAAACGAAACATCTTATCCCAGACGTGATCCTGATTCTCAACCTGTGGAATCTGAATTGCGCGCATTGTATGACATGGTATTAGCAGGTGATTATAATTCTGCCACGCAACTTGTAAGCTCAAGTTTCTACTTCGATTCTTGTCGAATCGGTTAACAGGGACTTGACGGACTTCCCAAAACGTCAAAGATTGTTGCTGTTTAGTTTGGTTCCGCCTTTTGATCCTTATAATCTTTCATACAAAACTCCTTCGTTTTTTGTTTTGATAAATGATATGTGTAAAGTAGAACTCTTCCCATTCACATTCTAATTCTTTAGAAGAGGGACGCTAGCTTTATGAAAACGTTTATCATGAAGTTCGATAATTTTTCCGGTTTCTTGACATACGTTCTATGTTTGTGGTTAGTTTTGGATCTTTTTTGTAGACCTCGTCTCGAAATCGCTTTTTGTATCATAAAATATTTAGTGATCAGGTTACTTATCGTTTAGTTATGAGTGTTAGCGCTTCCGCTGGGTCTTGCTTATTATGCCACAACTAGATAGTTGCTGTAACAGATTTTCACTCTTATGCGACGGCATATATTATTTTCTTGCTATTAGTTTAGTAACTACTTGAAGCTTACCAACTACTATTGCTTGCCTAAAACACAGCAGAGGAATAGGGGCGTGCAACGTCTGTTAAGCCCAGATTATAGTCAATATTTTCCGGACGTATCAATATCACCCCGAGAAAGCGCGCCACGGTGGCTATCGCATCAGAAAAATAACGAGTCAACCAGTGACCTCATTAGGAAGAGGGTTCCACAATGTGAAACGACTGGAGAACACTACAAAATCGAAGCGACCAGTGAGGACCTGCCATTTGCGAACATCCAGTCAGCTATAACTTAGGACCTAGCGCATATATGCATCGGTCCAAATTGCCACACATCATTACCTCAACAAAATGAACACTGAATTAATAAAATAGTTACTTCAATGGTAGTAATATATAAAAGATTGTGTATAACGATATAATACAGGAAGAATAAATAAGTTGGTAGAAAGAAAGATATAAAGCAAATTAAACCTCACAGTTTGAGGGAAGACAGAGTGCATACACCTACGCCATTGTGGTTGATCCAGAGCCATGTCACAGAGTTCCCAACCATTCGTTACGGCAGTCACATGGACCCCGACCAACTAGTCTGTATCTACCAACATGGCTCAGACCAGAGTTAGTGACTTTAAGCACTTATGCCACGTTTTGGTTTAGCCGTCCCTAAGTTTATTCCAACCATCCCCAACACTAATCAGCATTGAGTATCGTAGTAACCGGTGTCCAGGCATACGTGACTCAACCATCCCAGCCGATGTTTCAAACATCCACCGCTAAATGTATTAGGATATAGAAACCGGTGATGGGCAGTATCTGTCAAATGTGCTTTTCGGAGATTACTTAACTGGTGGTAGAACTAGTCCTTGGTAGCACCCAGGTTTCAATCTATCAGGGCCTAGGCAATAACGGGAAGACACGGAGATGCCACAGGATTCCCGGGTAAATGTAGATGAAACAAGCTATACGAGTCGACAAATGGACAGTGAGTATGTACTGCTTTGATAGACTCAAGCAACAGACACCAATTTTAAGGCGTTCTAAAGACAAAGCCAACACTACGTGTTGTCCTATCTGCATTAATGTGAGAATATTGAAAGAAGTCAATTTGAACGATACACAAAGTTTCAGGAAGGCTGATTCGTAATCATAGCAGCTTTCGACCGGTTAATGATCTGAGATCGTCTAAATTCCTACCATGATCGGGCTGTTGGGTAAGTTGAAAACTTAGGGAATATGCGAGAGGAAAGGAACAGAGAAACTCTGTAGAGCAAAAGTGATTGCCACGATACAACCGTGAGAATGCAAACTGAGTTGAAAAATTTTCAGTCGTAACCATTTTTACGTGGGCTAAAATAACCTCGAGGGTCAAGACCGGAGCAGATGGTTTCCTTCTGGTCATCTACAGATTGAGCTAAAGATCTAACCCAAAAGGTAGTGAGGCAAGGTCGAGACGCTATCCCATGGTAGCCAACGACCAAGAATAAGTTAATGCGCCATTTTTCTGGCACTAGGGTTGTCCAACCCTTCAAGGTGGGAAAGAGACCTAGGTGGATCTTTTAGTATCGTGACTGAAAGAACAGATAATGGCAACCGTCTGTTGCAGCTATGCTCAGATAACCGCCCATTTCTTGCAAATACTAACCTTAAGCACGAGGAAAAACATCTTTTGACATGGTGATTCCCGAATTCGTCCCAACGTCGGACCCAACTAGATCACATCGCTATCAGCCAACAATGGAGCGGCTCGATAAAAAACTGTCGCGCATTCTGGAGCGCATGTTTATATTCAGATCATGCTCTAGTGCGAGCACGTACCTGTCTGCGTCTCAATGGACGTAGGAAAGACACTGTAGGGAATCCTCAGGTTTCTACTTGATGATAGGCAAGCTAAGAATATATTTCAGGAAAAACAGTTAAGCAGCATGTAACTTGTAACCACCCCGAGTCAGCGTGGAACGACATCCGGAAAGCTGTGGAAACAGCAGTTATATCTGCTAATACAGTAAATCATAAGGTTAGGGAGAAACACTGGATCTCAGCAGCATCTACCACACTGATATATGCACGAAAATTCATCCTATCTGGCTCTAAACATAATGAAGAGCGAAGTCAGTTGAAGTGCAGGCTAATATGAAGTCTACGCAATGATCGCGAACAGTGGTGGGTAGCGAAAGCAAGAGAGATGGAAAAGGCAGCGGCAATAAACAACAGAAGACAACTGTTCAGACTTCTTAAAGAAGCCGGTACTATGAACCCAACTGTCAGCGAAACTATCTCGGGAAAAGAGGGACATATTATTCATTCTCGATCCAGGATATTGGATCGATGGGCAGAACACTTAGGGGATCAGTTCAACTGGCCTTCAGCAACACTTCGGTTTCCCACGAACCCCAGTCGACCTGAATGGCAAGTTAATGTAAATCATCCAACTCTTTACGAGGGTGTTAACTATGTCTGAAGGCTACTAAACGAGACTCATTATTTCTACTATTTGATTTGAGTATAAAATGTATGCATAATCGAAACACTAACTTGAGTAAACCTTCGTAGCTGAAATCTCTATTTTGATTAGATAGTAGAGATATCTACACGCTGGTGGTGAGACATCAGATGTATTACAGATTTGATACTTCCGAGTTCTTGGCTAGAGATTCAATCCATATGACAATGAAACTGCGAGCAAAAGTAGTCTCCACAAGTTATATCACGTTTTAAAGTACGACCAACGTCAACAGATAGTTTAATCCTGTGGTGTTCCTTGAATCAACTAGTTTCATAAATAATACCAAAATGGTCGGAATCTAAAGGTTATTAAAGTTGACGTTTTTAAACCTACGGAGGAAAAATGTCCCTAAAACAGAATCAAATGATTGCGAATCTATGCTCTGCAGGAAAAGCCATATCATGAGAGGTCCTTACGAACGTAAAACATTGTGCAATTATGTCCCAGGATAATTGGACCTGTGAATTCCACGGACTTTGTGAAGACCAGTTGAGAGTTAAAATGAAAACATTCATAAACAAACTCGAACACTACACGAACAAAATTCTAATAATTCTCAAGCAGTCTACTCCAACAAATTAGTAAGCAGTTCACTGTCAATTCTTTTCATCTTGGATTACTGTGGCCTAATTATGTCTAGTATTCGGAAGAGACGAGATGTCGTGAGTATCACGACACACACCAATATACTTACCGATTCGAAAACCTTAGAATTACTGAAGTGGGAGTATTTGAAAAGTTAACTCATGTAGTTTTATTGTAATAAGTTTTTCTACGGCAGCCAAATGCTTAACTGAAAATTTAAGATAACAGAAAATAAAAAATAGTAGCAAACGCGGTTAATAGTACGTTACGTACAATGAAGCTAAGGACCTTAGTATTGAGGCCCGGTTGGTGGCGGAAATAAAAGTTTATTAAAAATAAATCACAGGAAAGCCAGAAAAAACTTTCTGATATTGTTCAGATGTAAAGTACATGCTAGAATAACGAGAGCGCATAAGAAAAACGATGAGCTGTATTTTGTTTATCACCGATAAAGTGAACACAAATGGAGTCCTTGATTAAACAGTACTTTGGAGCTTCCCAGATCCGACAGGAGAAACAAGTAAAAAGGAATCGGAGTTCGTGCTATTGTATTAACGTGAGTCGGGACGCATTATTCATTTGATCACATTACTACGCCGGAAGAGCAAAAGCTTTACCCTTGATAACTGAAAAATCATATGTATTTAGACAAATACTTACCTCTGGTTATGTACAAGTAAAAAAGTCGCAATACAGCAAAGTTTGCAACACACCCGCAGATATCGCGATCAAATCGTAATAGTTTTGGACATAATACCGGTATATCCAGTTGAGTATGTACAGGCCACGGTAAGAACCAAGCGAAAATAGGTAGTGAGAAGTGATGGTTTCTGCTTCTCCAGTTTTGCTAATAAGAAACAACTGAGGCAGGATGGCAACTGATTCCAAATATATGGAGAAGGTCCACAACAACTATGGTAAGACTGAGCGTTATTTATTATGACTTGCCTCGACAACTTGAAAACGATGATTGACAATCAACGCCAGTAGAGCGCATGGAACAAAAAGGAACTCCAGTCGGAACGTGTCATGATTCCCATCATGTGTAGCCTTGAATCTAAAATATATTAAATACAATGTTGCGTAAGACGAAAATATGAAGATGATCTTTGCAAGCGAATTGTATAGAGACACATAAGATGTCAGAAGATCAACATAACGTGTAGTGAATACAATAGCGAACGCAATTTGACTACGTCCTGACAGACCTGAAACGTAGCGTTGGTTGCATTCATCAGATCGTACCTGCACAAGATCGTGTTTTCCAAATCTTCAGTAGTAAAATTATAATAGCTGCAAAATGTGAAGCATCACCAAGAAACCGGAATACATTCATGACAACAGTTATTTGACGAACAGAACGTCAGATGGGACTCGATCGATGCTGAGATGGACCTGTTTAAACACAACCAGTATCCAACATCCAATAATTTAATGACGTGCTCGAATAAACCAATTGATTTCTTTGGTCTCCCTTGTTGCTGTTGTTTCCGCACGGTTCCAGGTCTTTGGTAATCTCCAATTGGCTGTGGTTTAGCCACCACATTGCACAGATTCTGATCAGTTTGATATATGTTTGTGGGTTTGTATATCTTATAATCTGAGTGTGTGATTTCTTCTCAACTCATTAGGGCTTTTAAGGCCAGCTGCTATCATTTCATCAGGCGAGAGCTTGGTCGGTTGCAATGTAAACAATAATGAATAAAAATTAGAGTATAGAAGAGTGAAGAAAAGATGACGGTCAGAAAAAGTCGCTTAATTAATCAATTAATAATCCACATGATGTGAACAGATATAAATGAAAAAGTTATAGGTAATGGGGGATGATGGGAAGAAAGGTAGAGATAAACTGATGCTATTTGATAATGATAACGGTAAGTTAGTTACGAGAAGCCCATCAGGTACAGCTAGTTCAAAAGGAGATGGTAATCCATGGATGGGTACGTGTTTGTCAAGTCTCCTCTTAAAGGTATCCTTTGAGAATTCTGTGATCACCTCGGACGGGAGAACGTTTTATATGCTGAGAATTTATAATGAAAAATGTGGGAGTAAACCTGGACTTCTCATCGCGTAACGCAGTAGTATGTTCGTAGAGGCATATTTGTGTTGGGGCAACTTGCCAGTACGAGGCCATCTCCCATTCTCATATGGGTCAAGTAGAATAATCTAGAGTACTAGGGTCTGCCTCAGTAAGATTTGTTCACTAACCCCCATTCACCTACTTAGTTTACCCCCACTGTGCCTGATCTACTTTTATGTCTCTTTTGAGGAGAAGGGCTGCAATAACGTTGTGGACTTCAAGGTGAGGTCTCGAGTATATTTAGGTCAGTATTATAAATAATTCTAACGGGAGGGTGCCAAGTATCCTCCGAGTAAAGTAAGGAGTAACAGTTGCTTTGGCTAAGTCCTCGATGAAGTTTGAGCTATAGTGCAAACTCTCTGGCTAACAATTTTAGATGGTGCTTTGTGAGGCCGGTTACGAGTAGACTTCCATGGTGGGTGTGAGTTTTTTGCATTTTGTGGGGCGGAGTGTTTGTAGGATGACATTTTGATGAGTAAAACTTGTTTCGGGGTCCTCTGGTAGCTCAAGCGAACCCGATTCGCTCAATGTGGACCTCCATGTCTCAGTATTGTCAGCTTATGTGAAGGGCAATGACCTAGTTTTATCCAGGAGGTTGTTAGTAAAAGTTAGGGAGAGGAGTGATCCTCAAATGAGCCTCGTAAAGCCCTCGATGTTGAGACCTTCTAGCTAACGTGCACTCTGCTTGCCTAAATAAGGAACATTCAGTTTTCAGGCAGCTTCGAAGTCAATAAAGGAATGAGCAAGTGAAACTCTTCCTTTCAAACTTTGCCTTAAGGGGTGCATGTATCACTGTGTCAAATGCCTTTGTGAAGTCAAGAAATGTCATATAGACTGGCACCTTTTACTTTCTACAGGTTTACCGGCTGTCTCATACTAAAAGAATGTTGGACGTTCAGGATCTGGGTTCTCTGGTCCTATGTTGGTCCTCATGAACGATGTTGTTTCTGTCCACATCCTACCTGATTGAGCCATGTAACCAGACAGTCATTCTACAGCCAAACTTAGTTTGGATTCTACACCACTGATTTAAGTACACACAACCGAAATATTGATCAAATACATTAATAGAACAAAGTGAATTTGTTTCGGATGCTGTTATTGATTCTGATACTAACGAATACATTCTAAAGAGCACAGAGTTTATATACGAAACAGCCATACGGACACATGATGGAGCTACAGAAAAAACGTATTAGATATTACAGAAATCTGGATTTTTAATCAGGCTGTGACGGCCGTGGTATTCGCACTAACTGATGATTTCTTACGTGGATGATTCCACGATTGATTTGGTTTCCGATTCTCATGCTCTTGCTAGAACATGTTGATTTAAAGCGGTTTGTAGACAATATAGGAATTTTCATGTGATCGTTATTGACTTATGTTCGTATTGTGGTTCTTGTTATACCTTTGTTGAGTAATGCTGTGAAAAGGGTGCTGACTTTCAGAAAAACGACTTTCAACCCCTTGATGATGATGTTAATATGGTTGCGTTCTTGTCAACGCTATAACACTGCGACTTGGGAAATTTATAGGATTCTTTAAGGCTTGCGTCAAGTGGTTCGAGTGGTTATTAATTACCCAAAAGGCATCTCTACCATGATGCAAGACAAATAAAATGAAGTAAATTTATGGCGGACGAACGAGTTACTAGACAAACTTAAAATGTTTGTAAACTGTCACAAAATAAGGGTTCGGATCTATATTCAGCGAAAATATAGGGAATCTGAGAGTTCATCTGAACGTCCGAGGGTCGCGCTGTAAACGAAGTCGGGTCCATCCGGAGTTTATCTCCACCTGCCACGAATTCCTGATGAGATAGGAGGAAATGCATTGTATCACCCATGTTAAGAGATAAGAACATACCCTTGATTCAGGAGGGAACATGTCCACTCAATCGTACATTTATTTATATTAGAAGAAAAGTTGCTAAGCAATGAACTTGATGGTCTGTCAAAAAGTCAAATGATGTAGGCTATGCAGCGAAATGAAAATGTTGTGACTGCAATGCTGTCTCTGAATTGGATCACCCATACCTCAATTCAGAACTTCTCTAGATCATGCACAATAAATTAGACCTTGTCTTTACCAACCGGCTTATAAATAGTATCTCTTACTCCTCGGTATTCACCTCTTCCTGTTCTATCATATCATCCCCCAAACTTAGCAATAAAAAGAATATCCTGTGAGTGCCGGGAACCTACGTAAGCCTATATCAGAATTTCTTTAGTATTCGTTATTAAACTATGCGGAAAAGGCTCCTTGCAAGCACCCGTTACTGTAACACTATAACCTGGTCCCAAAGTGTAGTTGATAATTTACTCTGGGAATGTTGTTTATATTACCTGTTAAATATCAGTGCGATTGCCAACAATCTATACAAACAAGGTCCGGTACCTACTTAATCGCTGTTAAATAAAATAGAACCTTTGAACTTCTGTTAACTTGCTTATTTATTTATTATTTAATTTCTCACATGTAAGTATCCGAAGTCCGTTTATTTTCATATTCACTATTATTATTATTGTGAATGGTGCGCTGACACATCAGATATTCTTCTTCTTCTCTCTCTTCCTTCTACATAGACTTTGTTCCTGCTCATTCAGAGTTATTAACTTGAAGCACACTATCTTGTATTAGATTTACATAAATGAGTTGACTTATGCATTTTTTCCTCACCATATATATTCCATACAAATTGATATTTTACGATTATCCTTTTCAATTAATTAAGATATTACTGCACAAACCCTTATTCCAACGCCAAATTTTATCACATCGTTGATTTGTTTTTTTATTCTTCCTGCAATACATTTAATATCGTTTACACTTATTCTATCTCACAAGCATACTTATCACATTATTTAATCCTTTTAGTTTTCTTTCTACCACTTTTGTTCCTTAATGTTAGGTTGATATTCTCCTAAGTACTACAAAGCCTGTTTAAATATTACGAATGTCATGTATACATCATTGAAACTCGTTTCATAATTTTACCTATGAAAAGCCCAGAAATGGTTACTTCACGGCATTTGTGTGCTAATAAGCTGTTTGTGAATGACAACAATCATATGTCACCTGGTACGTGTCATTGCCTGTTCCACTCTGTTAGATTCGTAGCTATAGAGCTTTCCACAGAGACTCATGTGGATGACAATCGTCTTCTTTTGAATATTGTATATGTCTGAAGTAAACTATCAAATGGAGCTTGACTGACACGAATCTCAGGGAGAGGATCTATCTCGCTATTGTTCAAGAGAAGAACTTTAGATTTATGATCCTCAAAACGAGTAGGTCATCAGTCTTACGCAGAGTACCAAGCATGTTGTATGACACAATATATAGCTAGAAGCTCCCTGCCGAGAGAACTACACTTCTATTCAGTGTCTTATGGCACTTTCCAGGAAAATTTCAAGGATTGCCAAGTTGCACGTGCCCACCGTTGTAAGGCTTCTCCGAGTGTTGAGTTGGATGGGCCTGCAGTCACATAATTGGGTTGATATGTGTTGCGATGCACAAACACTGTTGGCCTGGAGATGCTTGTAAAATCCTGTCCATGTTTGTCAGAATCCATGCATATATACCTTCCTGATGATAATAACAACCTGTTTAACCTTAAATGTTGGATTGGGATTCTCAATAGTTTTTTCGTGCGTTTCGCTTGTTTTTGTACCCAGAAGATACTTCTATTTTGATTTCCCTAGCGTAACACTTTATTTATTTTTCATTGACCTTAATGATAATAATGAAGGTTTTACTCTTTATCATACGTTCAGCACAATTTGGAATTCTCACCCTACAATATACTTTACTTACTCTTATCATATCACAATACGTAAACAATAAGTAAATAAATTATCTTGAACCCAACAAAACACTTTTACGAAAGTAGAAATCTGGGAGCTGTAAACTAATCACAGAGAAAATAACAGCAATATATTTCTGATAGGGCAGTAACATACCATTTTCATAAGCGTGATCGTCAGTATACAACAAAGATTGGCCATAGAGTTCAAGTCCGCTGGAGTAGTTGAAAAGAGACATTAATCAATGAAGAAAGATCTACGGTAAAATGATTGCGGAAACTTACCGGCCAAGTATTTGTGTGCTATGACTGTTTAATAGTTTTATAGTTGTTTGAAGTAGGTAAAACATATGGAATGGTATTATACGTTTACACTCCTTGAGGCAACTCTTGAAGGACTGCACATCAAAGAGCGAACATCCAGGTACACTTTCACATTTTACCATTA